GTCATGAATCGAGATCATGGGTCGAGTCATGAATCGGGATCATGGGTCGAGTCATGAATCGGGATCATGGGTCGGGGTCATGAATCGGGATCATGGGTCGAGTCATGGAGTCATGAGTCATGAATCGGGATCATGGGTCGAGGTCATGAATCGGGGTCATGAATCGGGATCATGGGTCGAGGTCATGAATCGGGATCATGGGTCGGGATCATGGAGTCGAGTCATGGGTCCAGAGTCATGGGTCAGAAGTCAATGGAGTCGGGTCATGGAATCGAGGTCATGAATCGGGATCATGGGTCGGGTCATGAATCGGGGTCGGTGTCATGAATCGAGGATCTTGAAGTCGAGATCATGAATCGGGATCATGGAGTCGGGATCATGGGTCGAGGTCATGAATCGATCATGAGTCGGGGTCATGAATCGGGATCATGGAGTCGGGGTCATGAATCGAGATCGGTGTCATGAATCGGGATCATGGGTCAGGGGTCATGAATCGGGATCATGGGTCAGGAGTAATGAATCGAGGTCATGGGTCGAGTCATGGGTCGGGGTCATGGGTCCAGGTCATGGGTCGAGTCATGAATCGGGATCATGGGTCGAGATCATGGGTCGAGTCATGGGTCGAGTCATGGAGTCGAGTCATGGGTCAGGGGTCATGAATCGGATCATGGAGTCGGGGTCATGAATCGGGATCATGGGTCGAGTCATGAATCGAGGATCATATGTTCGGAGTCATGAATCGGGATCATGGAGTCGAGGATGGAATCAGGAACCAGATCCGGGATCATGGGTCAAGTCATGAATCGGGATCATGGGTCGAGTCATGAATCGGGATCATGGGTCGGGGTCATGAATCGAGGTCATGAGATCGGGATCATGGGTCCGGGGTCATGAATCTGGGATCATGGGTCCGGGATCATGGGTCCGGGTCATGAATCCGGGATCATGGGTCCAGGGTCATGGGTCAGGGTCATGGGTCCGGGTCATGAATCCGGGATCATGGGTCCGAGGTCATGAATCCGGGATCATGGGTCCGGGGTCATGAATCCGGGATCATGGGTCCGGGGTCATGGGTCCGGGTCATGAATCCGGGATCATGGGTCCGGGGTCATGAATCCGGGATCATGGGTCCGGGGTCAATGATTTTTCAAAAGTAATGATTTTTCGTCACGAAAGCGATGATCTTTCGTCACGAAAGCGATGATCTTTCGTCACGAAAGCGATGATCTTTCGTCACGAAAGCGATGATCTTTCGTCACGAAAGCGATGATCTTTCGTCACGAAAGCGATGATCTTTCGTCACGAAAGCGATGATTTTTCGTCACGAAAGCGATGATCTTTCGTCACGAAAGCGATGATCTTTCGTCACGAAAGCGATGATCTTTCGTCACGAAAGCGATGATCTTTCGTCACGAAAGCGATGATCTTTCGTCACGAAAGCGATGATCTTTCGTCACGAAAGCGATGATGTTTCGTCACGAAAGCGATGATGTTTCGTCACGAAAGCGATGATCTTTCGTCACGAAAGCGATGATCTTTCGTCACGAAAGCGATGATCTTTCGTCACGAAAGCGATGATCTTTCGTCACGAAAGCGATGATCTTTCGTCACGAAAGCGATGATCTTTCGTCACGAAAGCGATGATCTTTCGTCACGAAAGCGATGATTTTTCGTCACGAAAGCGATGATCTTTCGTCACGAAAGCGATGATCTTTCGTCACGAAAGCGATGATCTTTCGTCACGAAAGCGATGATCTTTCGTCACGAAAGCGATGATCTTTCGTCACGAAAGCGATGATCTTTCGTCACGAAAGCGATGATCTTTCGTCACGAAAGCGATGATCTTTCGTCACGAAAGCGATGATCTTTCGTCACGAAAGCGATGATCTTTCGTCACGAAAGCGATGATCTTTCGTCACGAAAGCGATGATCTTTCGTCACGAAAGCGATGATCTTTCGTCACGAAAGCGATGATCTTTCGTCACGAAAGCGATGATCTTTCGTCACGAAAGCGATGATCTTTCGTCACGAAAGCGATGATCTTTCGTCACGAAAGCGATGATCTTTTGTCACGAAAGCGATGATCTTTCGTCGCGAAAGCGATGCTTTTTCGTCACGAAAGCGATGATCTTTCGTCACGAAAGCGATGATCTTTCGTCACGAAAGCGATGATCTTTCGTCACGAAAGCGATGATCTTTCGTCACGAAAGCGATGATCTTTTGTCAGGAAAGCGATGATCTTTCGTCACGAAAGCGATGATCTTTCATCACGAAAGCGATGATCTTTCGTCAGGAAAGCGATGATTTTTCGTCACGAAAGCGATGATCTTTCGTCACGAAAGCGATGATCTTTCGTCACGAAAGCGATGATCTTTCGTCACGAAAGCGATGATCTTTCGTCACGAAAGCGATGATCTTTCGTCACGAAAGCGATGATCTTTTGTCACGAAAGCGATGATCTTTCGTCACGAAAGCGATGATCTTTCGTCACGAAAGCGATGATCTTTCGTCACGAAAGCGATGATTTTTCGTCACGAAAGCGATGATTTTTCGTCACGAAAGCGATGATTTTTAGTCACGAAAGCGATGATTTTTTGTCACGACAGTAATGATTCTTGGTCACGAAAGTAATGATTTTTCGTCACGAAAGTAATGATTCTTCGTTACGAAAGTAATGATTCTTCGTTACGAAAGTAATGATTTTTCGTCACGAAAGTAATGATTTTTCGTCACGAAAGTAATGATTTTTCGTCACGAAAGCAATGATTCTTCGTTACGAAAGTAATGATTCTTCGTTACGAAAGTAATGATTCTTCGTTACGAAAGTAATGATTCTTCGTTACGAAAGTAATGATTCTTCGTTACGAAAGTAATGATTCTTCGTTACGAAAGTAATGATTTTTCGTTACGAAAGATGTGATTTTGAAACTTCAACCTTTTTTTCTCAGAGCCCAAGCCGGAGATGAGTTTATCAGCAGCAACTAATCGTCTCTCCATGATCTCGGCTTCTTGTTGTAACGCCGCTTTTTCTGACATGGCCGCCTCATATTTATCATTCAATGCCTTTAATTCATCTTCTAAATTCTTTAATTCTTTTTCGATCTTGCTCAACTCACGTTTGCTCAGCAAAAAGTTGCGTTCAAGTCTCGCCACCTGTTAAATGAAATTATGTGAAAAGCTTCTAGGTCAAGCCCACTTATATGTACACAAGTTACTTATCGCAATTGAGGCTATTATATGGGAATAGAATTCAACATGAAGAGATAGACGTTGGTTCATAGATCTCGAGGTTGGTTCATAGAGATGGAGGTTGGTTCATAGAGATGGAGGTTGGTCCATAGAGATGGAGGTTGGTTCATAGAGATGGAAGTTGGTTCATAGAGATGGAGGTTGGTCCATAGAGATGGAGGTTGGTTCATAGAGATGGAGGTTTGTTCATAGAGATGGGGGTTGGTTCATAGAGATAGACGTTGTTTCATAAATCTCGAGGTTGATATAAAGAGAATGAGGATGGTTCATAGAGATGGAAGTTGGTATTTAGAGATATAAGTTTGTATGTAGAGACAAACAACAGATAAAAGATAGACGTCGATCCATTAAGATCTCATACCTTTTCTCGCTTGGGTTTAATCTCTCTAGCTACGGAACAATATCCCATAACGGCCAATACAAACTTGTACAGACCCGCTCCAGCTTTACTAATTGCTTGCATTTCATCCATGCTATAATTGGACTGCTTCAAAATGTCTTTTGTTTTCTTCACTTGAGCACTAGTTATTCCATCAACATCCAATTCCTGTACAAAATGACATTTAATAATTGTAAGAAGGGACAGATTCCTTTGACAGTATCATTACTATGAGATATAGGCGCGGTCATGAATCCGGGATCATGGGTCCGGGGTCATGAATCCGGGATCATGGGTCCGGGCATTGGCATTGAATCCGAGAATTCATTGACATTGAATCCGGACATTGGCATTGAATTCCGAGATCATGACCCTGGAATTTAGCATTGAATAACTCATTTTTATGAATTTATCAAATACTTTAGGCCATGGGAGGTATAATACAGGAAGCACAGCAAATAAATGCATTGAAAGATCGAAAGCTCTTTGTGGAGAAACATGGAACAGGTTCAATAAGACCTGTTGATATGCCTTGAAAAATGACCAACATGATTTTTGCATGTTGAATGACATCTTAGTGAGAAAAACAAGTTGTGGATGACACATTTTATTACGCACATTATAAATTAAATAAAAATTATTTTGATAGATTGAATGGCGCTCCCTATAATATTCATGATGATAAATGACAATATTTTTGAATGAATTTGAATAAAAGTTTTGAATGTGTACATGCTGGCTAACCGGCAAAACCTCGAATAAAAAGATCATCTATAAAAATATAACATCAAGTATTCAACCTTCACGAAGTCTCCATGTTCTTTTTTTTGCAAAGACAATCCGAAATTTTGAAATATTCGACGAACAACCTTGTTTTGATACCCTTTCAGTCATTGCTAGGTTTTTCCAATCGCGTGAAAGGTATACACGATTGTTTGCATAAAAGAAAAATTAAATCGTATACATATGTAAACGTAAGAACTGGAAGACGAACAAGAACAAGAAGAGGTATGATGACTACAACTTCAGGGAAAAAAGCCAATCGTTTGCTAAAGGAAAGATCACCTTATCTTCTTCAACATGCATATAATCCTGTTGAATGGTAAGTTTTTCTGAAACTATGATGAGAGAAAGGCGAGAGGATAGAATAGATAGTTATCGGAGCAGAAATTTATCGTCTCCAACGTTTGTGGGTTTGTAAATCTTTAATTCATCCCTGAATTAATAATGACAAGAATTGAAAAACTCAGAATTTTACGCTAGTTCTTCATGTTATTGCTTGTGGAAACGTAAACCTTCTAGATGTGTGAAATTTTGGAATAAACCTTTGTGTTTATTTGTTTGAGGTGTAGATATGTACAGCTCAAAGACTCCCTTCATTGTATTTAGGTATCCATGGGGTGATGAAGCTTTTGAAAAATCAAAGATGGATGAAAAACCAATCTTTTTGTCAGGTGTGTATTCATTTTAAATATATGGAGGGTTAAGAATCTTGATTCAAGATGCTGACAAACAGCCTGATTGATAGTTACACATTGACTAGATTTAATAAACTTGTGGTTTGCACCAAACAATGGCGTAGCCAGCCAGGAAATTTGTTTATGTTTATGGAAATATTTTCTTGTTCACACAATGTCAAAACAATTTATTTTTAAAGAAATGAATGATACTGATGTTGAAAATCTTACATCACATTAACCAATTTGCAGGCTATGTAGCTACATCACTTGCAATAAGAGTGAATTCACATTCATATATATTCCTTTAATCGAACATTGACCACTTTCATTCATTTTATTTCATTTTAGTTGGATACTCAACTTGCCACTGGTGTCATGTTATGGAAAGAGAATCATTTGAAAACGACAAAATTGCCGCCATTCTTAATGAGTATTTTGTTCCAATCAAGGTTGATCGTGAAGAGAGACCAGATGTTGATAGAGTGTATATGAACTTTGTTCAGGTGTTTACATTAAATATGTTTGTGACTTTTTCTATCCATAGTAACATTGCAATTCTTTCATCACTAGGCAACCACAGGGCATGGTGGTTGGCCAATGAGTGTTTGGTTGATGCCAGATCTTCAACCATTTCTTGGTGGGACGTACTTTCCTCCTGAAGATAGCAACGGGAGACATGGCTTTAAAAGTATTTTAACCCTTATCATTCAACAGGTTTAGATGTTGTTGATTTTTGGTTGTAAACAAATATCTTTGTCATTGAATGTTATCGTTTAGTTATATTTTTAGTGGAAAGAGAACAAAAATCGTCTTGGTAAGCAAGGTAGCTTGGTGATGACAGCAATTAAACGTCAACTTGATGTCATAATGAATTCCAATCAGAAATCTCCTGAAGTCAAATGCATCGATGATTTATTTACGAAGCTCACAAACTGTTATAATGAAAAGCAAGGTGGTTTTGGTGGAGCTCCACGATTTCCTCAACCCAGTGAGAAAGGATTTTGTTGCAATCCTCTTTGTTATGACCAAATGTATGTTTAAAATCAGTTGATTGCCGATGATAAATTTCTTTCAAACTTATAACAGGTAATTTGAGTTTTTTGTTGAATTACTACGCATGGAAACCTGACACGAAGAACGGAAAGAAAGCGTTGGAAATGACACTGAGAATATTAGATGCTATGGATGATGGAGGAATACATGATCATGTTGGTCAGGTAAATTATTAACTCACTTTAGTATTTGGATTGTTTATGTATGATCAGACTTTTTCTTCATATAAATCTGTGATTTTTCATGATTGACATTGTTTGTAAAAGTGATGTATTTTTCTTCAATCTTCAGGGCTTCCATCGTTATTCTACAGATGGGGATTGGCATGTGCCTCATTTTGAGAAAATGTTATATGATCAAAGTCAAATTGCTGATATTTACCTGAATGCATATCAGGTAAAATCAAGTATAAATTTTGCAATGAAAAAGAAAACATACATGTGTTTTGTGTTTTTTCTCCGCATCAGATAAGTCAGGATGAGAAGTATTCAAGTACTGCCAAAGATATATTACTTTATGTAATGAGGGATTTGAGTGACAAGGTATGCATAGATGAATCAGAAAACCATGTCTATCCAAAGAGGTACATTGAGTCATCAGTCATCAAAAAGTCCTTTGCAGTAGAGACACAGCAATCTATATTTAAGAAATGAAAGATGTTTACTGTATTTGCACGGGCTTATGCAAACCGAGGAGGCCTTTGTGAGAACTCGAGAGCAGATCAGTGCAAGCCCAAAACCGAAGGTTGAAGGTTGCACATGCTCGAGAGTTCTCCCAAATGTCTCTGAGGTTTGCTTAAGCCAGTGCAAACATGAAAAACATCTTTTATTTCTTTTATGAAATAAAAATAATGCAAAACAGACAAATTTAAAACAAACGTTTTGATATTTCTTTTTTCATATATTCATGATCGATTTGCAAATTCTCGTTTATTGATTTGATTTGTTGAGCTCAGGTCTGTTTGCACAGCTATACACCCATCACCGCGCGCGTTTTATTCTTTTCTTTTTATAATAATGCAATACCATACTATTAAAGACACGAGAATCCACATCCATCCAAAGCCATACCTTAATCCTTTCTTCTTTTTTTTTTAAAGCACGGTGGATTTTATGCTGCAGAAGATGCGGATTCACTGCCATCATTTGAATCTAAAGAAAAAAAAGAGGGAGCATTTTGTGTATGGGAGGAAGAGGAAATACGAACGAAACTTTCTGAAACTGCGAACGATGATGTTAAAACAACATTAGCAGATCTCTTTATTTTCTATTATGGTGTTGAAAAAAATGGAAATGTTAAATCATCGCAGGTAAAAACAGTTTAAAATTTATGCGAGTTTCTGTGAATGAATAAAATTGTCGAATTTATTTCTTTTCACTTCAAGGACCCTCACGGCGAACTTAAAAATAAGAATGTGTTAATTGTTCGAAAGAGTGTTGAAGAAACGGCCAAGCATTTTGAACTTGATGAAAGTACTGTACGAAATAGTTTATGTAGAGCGCGGGAAATTCTATTTGAAGAAAGACTTAAAAGGCCAAAGCCTCATTTGGATAGTAAAATGGTCACTTCCTGGAATGGTGCGTGCGTTGCTTAATGAATTCATAGAATTCAGCTTTGGAGTTGAAGTTTTCAAGGTGTTGTGAGCAATGTTTGTTTTTTATTCAGGTCTTATGATTGCTGCTTTTGCAAAAGCATCGTGTGTGTTGAAAAACGACATTTATTTAAAAAGAGCCTTGAAAGCTGCCGAGTTTGTTCAGAAATATTTGTGGCTCGAGGAAAGTAAAAAATTGATTAGAAGTTGTTATAAAGGAGAAAACAACGATATAGTTCAACTGTAAGTATATATTAATTTTTGAATTATTAATAACACTTTTAAATAAGCCCTCGTTTCCCAACGTTGTGTTTTAATGCTACCCGTTACACGAAGCCTAGAGCTCGTTGCACGAAGCCCGAGGCTGGTCGCTCGAAGCCTGAGGCTGGTTGCTCGAAACTTGGGCGTTGGTTGCACGAAGTGTGGAGCTGATTGCACGAAACTTGGAAATGTTTACACGAAGTCTTAAGGCGCAATAACTGACTTGTATCAAGGATTTGTGTTTTCGTTTATGCAAAAGCTATGGAGAAGCTGATGACTTCATTGCATTTTTGGTCTTTTTTAGCGAGAACCCTGTTGAAGCGTTCTCGGACGATTATTCATTTCTTATATATGGTTTACTGGAACTTTATCACGCTTGTTTTGATGAAAAGTGGTTGAAATGGGCTGAAGTCTTGCAAGAAAGACAAAATGAACTTTTGTGGGATGACGAAGCCGGAGGATATTTTGAAGCGGGAAAAAACTCGAATTTGTTGATAAGATTGAAACAAGGTGAGAACCAGGGGTAAATGAAGGATTGAAGGGGACGAATATTATTTATGTTAGCGTTAAACAAGGTGAGAACCAAGGGTAAATGAAGGATTGAAGGGGACGAATATTATTTATGTTAGCGTTAAACTAAAATTCTTGATTTCATCCAGCAAATTGAGATTATGTTCATGACTGATTATGAAACCAGATTATTTTCAATTTATTTAAATCCAGCTCATTTTTTAGTTATTTAAATGTAGATCGTTGTTGATAGAATTAGTTCAAAATTATGTAATTGATTTAGATCAAGATAATTGTGATTGATTTAGATTAAGATTATTGTGATTGATTTAGATCAAGATTATTGTGATTGATTTAGATCAAGATTATTGTGATTGATTTAGATCAAGATGGTGCAGAACCAAGTGGTAGTTCCATTGCCGCCTTAAATCTTATGCGATTGGCTTCGTTTCTTGAAAAACACGAGTATCGAGACAGGGCTGGAAAGATTTTTGCTGTTTTTGAACAAAGATTAAGTAAATTACCAAACGCTCTTCCTAAACTAATGGCTGCCTTCATCACATATACTACTAACCAGAAACAGGTAATATTAAGTCCTCAATAACCGAGCGCGAGGTGTTTACGGAGAAATAACGGACCGAAGTGTTTTTGTACAGACCGAACCCGTAGGGCGAGGTTTGTACAAAAAGATAAAGGTCTGATATTTCTCAGTAAAGACCGAGAAAGCGAGGTTATTAAAAGGTTTATTATATGGCATTATTTTACTTGAAATAAAGCTTGCTTTCTTTCTCGTCCTTGCTTGTTTTTTACCGGGTTGACTTTCAGTTTTCCTTCGAATGACATTCGTAAATGTTTTTTGTTTCGTTTTTATTTGCGTTTTGCTGTTTGCTTTACGAAGTTTGTTTAAACTTGACTGTAAAATTACGCGTTTTGCACCGTGGTCGATTACGCGAGAATAATGGAATGGACCGGTAAAAATGTTTCTCAGCTAATCAAAACGCGCAATTTTGCAGCGAGTGACGCTTGGCTTATAGTTATATTTAATTTTCGTTTCATTAGATTAACACCTCTTTAAACAAGAAATTCTTTCTTCACAGATCATCATCGTTGGTGAGAGAGATTCAAACGACACAAAGTCTTTATTGCATGTAGTTCACTCGCATTTTATGCCAAACATGATCCTTATTTTGCATGATGAAAAAGAACAAGGTTTCCTTGATTCGAAACTTGAGGTTTTAAAGACATTACACAAAGTTAATGAAAAAAGTACTGTATATGTGTGTGAGAATTTCACCTGTAACTTACCTGTTACATCGTGCGAAAAACTCGAAGAATTATTGAAAGAAAAACTTTGAATGAAAATAGTAAATTAGTTTATTTACAATTATAAACCTTATTTTATCGTTCTGTATATTTTCTTTGGTATCAGCAGATGTATTTATTTTTGATGCTCGTCTACGGCACCACCCAGTTCAAGATTGGATATTTCTGTACTTCTCAGTCAAACTTGCATGTTGAGTCAAAAACCCGTTTGCTTGCATGTCAGTTTCGAGAGACATTTGTCAACGAATGGAAAACTGATATCTATTGCTTAAATAGTTTCCTCATTGCTTATACTTTTGATAGCTTAAAATTTAGTCTTCACTGAACTAATTGTGGTACGTCTCAAAAATAAGCGATGAAAATGAACGATGTATATTAACGCCGCGACAAGACTAAGATGAAAGACACAAATGCTCTTATTTTTTTCTTATGAGTGCTGCGTTGTTTTCTAATTATTGTTTTTCTAAAACACAATTTGACACAATTTTAAACCGTAGTAATGAAATTATCTTTTCTTGATTATTGGAATGCAAACCGCATAAATATACACCTTCGATAGTTTTACTTTCAATGCTAACTAACATCTTCAAGAAGGGCAGTGCAGTCTCGCGTCAAATTCATGTGAAAACCATTTTATGTTCAATTCAGCCTTCAATCTGAGCCTACAGTTTAACGATTACAATGTAATAGATCACATTATTACACAGTAATTTATTACACGATTATACTATAATTCATTACACGATTGCAATGCAATCGATTACGCGATTACACTGTAATTTATTCCCCGATTAAATTGATTAAATTATACTGTAATTTATTACACGGCTGCGTTGTAATTGATTACATGGTTACAATTGTAATTGATTACATTAGTAAACTGTAATTGATTACACAAATACACATTTTCAATCAAAGACTAAAATTCAAGCATTTCCAAACATTCTCATACAAAGACAATAATTCACATATTATCACACATTTTTATAAAGACTATAATTCAAGCATTTTCACAGGTTTTCACGAAGACTATAATTTACATATTTTCACACATTTTCATGCCAAAGATTATAGTCTTTGCATTTTTACACAGTTTCACGCTAGAGACTATAGTCTGCATTCTTACACACTTTCACGCAAAAGACTATAGTCTGCATTTTTCCACACTTTCACACTATAGACTATAGTCTTTGCATTTTTACACACTTTTACATAGAAGACTATAGTCTTTGCATTTTCACACACTTTCACACATAAGACTATAGTCTTTCATTTTTAAACACTTTCACACTAAAGACTATAGTCTTTGAATTTTTACACACTTTTACCCAAAAGACTATAGTCTGCATTTTTACACACTTTTACGCAACAGACTATAGTCTTTGCATTTTAACACACTTTTACGCCAGAGACTATATTCTTTTCTTTTTTACACACTTTTACTCAAAAGACTATGGTCTTTGCATTTTTACACACTTTTCGCAAAAGACTATAGTCTTTGCATTTTCACACACTTTTACGCAAAAGACTATAGTCTTTGCATTTTTACAAACTTTTACGCAAAAGACTATATTCTTCGCGTTTTTACACACTTTTATGCATTTTTACACACTTTTACACAAAAGACTATAGTCTTTGCATTTTTACACACTTTTATACATCAGACTATAAACTTTGCATTTTTACACACTTTTACGCAAAAAACTATAGTCTTTGCATTTTTACACACTTTTATGCAAAAGACTATAGTCTTTGCATTTTACACACTTTTACGCAAAAGACTATAGTCTTTGCATTTTACAAACTTTACGCAAAGACTATATTCTTCATGTTTTTACACACTTATGCATTTTACACACTCTTTACACAAAGACTATATCTTTGCATTTACACACTTTTATACATCAGACTATAAACTTTGCATTTTTATTACACTTTTTAAAAACTATAGTCTTTAGATTTTATTGACTTTTATGCAAAGACTATAGTCTTTGCATTTTTAACATCTTTACTAAAAAGACTATATCTTTGCATTTTTACACACTTTTATGCATTTTTACACACTTACGCAAAAGACTGAGTCTTTTGCATTTTACACTCTTTTACACAAAAAGACTATAGTCTTAACACACACTTTTACTAAAAGACTATAGTCTTTGCATTTTCATTACTTTTACTTAAAGACTATAGTCTTTGCATTTACAAACCTTTACGCAAAAAAGACTATATTCTTCACATTTTTACACACTTTTATGCATTTTTACACACTTTTATTAATAAAAGACTATATCTTTGCATTTTTACACACTTTTATACATCAGATCTATGAACTTTGATGCATAACACTTTACGCTAAAGACTATAGTCTTTGCATTTTACACTTTACTAAAGACTGTCTTGTTTTACACTTTTAACAAGAATATCTTTTATTTTTTTACCAGCAAAGACATAGTCTTTAGATGCATTAAAGACTTAGGTCTAGATGCAAGACAGTCTTTGTTTTACACTTTTACGCAAAAGACTTAGTCTGCATTATCCTTTTACGCAAAAGACTATATTCACATTTTTACACTTTATGATGCACACACTTTTACGTAAAGACTATAATTTTTACACACTTCTTTAACAAAGACTGAGTCTTATTTTATATTATCAAAAGACTATTTTTCACACTTACGCTAAAGACTGAGTCTTTGCATTTTCACCATTTTTATGCAAAGACTATAACTTTACTTTTACAAGCTTTTACTTAAAAGACTATATTTTTTAGACATTTTTTAACGCAAAAGACCAAGTCTTTGTCTTTTTACACACTTTTACATCAAAGACTATTCTGATTTACACACTTATGCAAAGACTATATTTTTTTATATCATTATGCAAAAGACTATTTGATTTTTTACACACTTACACCAAAGACTATAGTCTTTGCATTTACACACTTTAATGCAAAGACTATATTTTTGCATTTTTACACACTTTTTATTTAAAGACTATAGTCTTTGTATTTTTACACATCTTTATGAAGACTATATTTTGCATTTTTATTAAACTTTACTTAAAGACTGTCTTGCATTTTTTACACACTTTTATGCATCAGACTATAAATTTTGCATTTTTACACACTTCTATGTAAAAGACTATAGTCTTTGAATTTTACATCTTTTGTTAGTGATCATCTTTTGCATTTTACATCTTTCCACAAAAGACTATAGTTCCTTTGCATTTTTATATAGTGATACGCAAAGACTATAGTCTTCAGATTTACAAGCTTTTTACATCAAAGATTATAGCCTTGTATTTTCTTTTTAATAAAAGACTATCTTCAGATACACTTTTTATGCTAAAGACTGATAGTCTTTATTTTTATTTTACGAAAAGATCAGAGATTTGTATTTTATTACAATTTAATGTAAAAGACTATAGTCTTTTAAAAGTGTAAAATCAAAAGACTATAGTCTTTGAATAAAAGTGTAAAACAGACTATAGTCTTAAAAGCAAAAATGTGTAAAGTGTAAAAAATGCAAAGACTATAGTCTTGCGAAAAAGTGTAAAAATGCAAAGACCATTGTCTCATGCTAAAGTAAAAACGCAGACCATAGTCTTTAAAGCAAAAAAACGTAAAAGGAAATGCAAAGACCATAGTCTCGTGCAAGTGGTAAAATGCAAAGATCCATTATCTCATGGTGCAAAAACGCAAAAGACCATAGTCTTTAAAGTAAAACGTAAAGATCTCATAGTCTCTTTGCGTAAAAGAGTATAAAACGTGGCGGTAAAACGCAAAGATCCATAGTCTCGATCATAGGTAAAAATGCAAAGACTATAGTCTTTGTGTAAGTGGTAAGCAAAGATCTATAGTCTTTACATAAAAGCAGAACATGCAAAGATCATAAGCTTAAAAGGCATATTAATGCAAAAACTGATAGTCCTTGCGACAAGGTAAATGCAAACGACTATAGTCTTAAGAAAAGCGGTGAAAATCAGGAAGACTACATTTATGCGAAAGTTTAAAAATGCCAAGATCCGATAGTCTTTTGCCAGGTAGTAAAAATGTAATCGCGATTGTCTCATACCTGTGTGTAAAATCAAGACTATAGTCTTTGCATAATGGTAAAACGCAAAGACCATAGTCTTTGTGATAAAAGTGAAAATGCAAAGACTATAGTCTTTTGTGAAAAGTATTTAAAATGCAAAGACTATAGTCTTTATGCGGTGAAAGTAAAGACCATATTTGCATGCGAAAGTGTAAAATGCAAAGATCCATAGTCACCAGGCAGTAAATGCAAAGACTATGGTCTTTTTATAAAGGTAGAAAATGCAAAAGATCTATAGTCTCTTTATGCAGTGGTAAACGCAAAGATCCATATCTCTTTTTATAGGCAGGTAGTGGTGCAAAGATCTGAGAACTATTAAAAGTAAAAACGCAAAGACCATAGTCGCCATGGTAAAACAAAGATTCAGTCTTGCCTGTGCGAAAAACGAAGATAGTCCTTTATGCTAAAAATGCAAAGACTTCGTTTCATGTGCAGAAAATGCAAAGACTGAGTCCATGCGAAAAGTGAACGTAAAGATCTCTTATAGTGGTAACGAAGATCTAAGTCTTATGAGGTCTTGAAAAGGAATGGAAAGATAGTCTTATAGGTGGAGGGTCTTGAAGGAATTAAGGAATGAAGATCTGAAGAACGGAAGAATCTGATAGTCTTAGTGGAATGGAAGGAATGGAATGGAAGGAATGGAATGGAAAAGTGGTAGAAAGATCTAGTCTTATGAAAGGGAAAATGAAAGACTATAGTCGCTTTAGGGAAAGTGGAATGAAAGACTATAGTCTTTATGTAGTGGAATGGAAGATCTGAGAATGGAATGAAGACGAGGTCTTATGGAAGAATGCATGTAAGGAATGAAGACTGAGGAATGGATAGGAATGAACTGAGAATGGAGTCTTAGACAGGCAAAGATCTAGTCTTAGGACAAAGACTATAGTCTTTTGCGTAAAAGTGTGTAAAAATGCAAAAACTATAGTCTTTTGTGTAAAAGTGTGTAAAAATGCAAAGACTATAGTGTTTTGCATGAAAGCGTGTGAAAATTTAAAGACTAAAGTCTTTGGTGTGAAAGTGAGTAAAATAGTCTTTTGCATAAAATTGGTGTAGAAGTGTGTAAAAATGGAAATAACATTTTCACACATTTTCATGCAAAAGACTATAGCCTTTGAATTTTCACACATTTTCATGGCAACACTAAGACCAACACAAACAATAAGACTAACACCAACACTAAGACTAACACCAACACTAAGACTAACACAAACACTAAGACTAACATCAACACTAAGACTAACACAAACACTAAGACTAAAACCAACACTAAGACTAACACCAACACAAAGACTAACACCAACACTAAGACTAACACCAACACTAAGACTAACACGAACACTAAGACTAACACAAATACTAAGACTAACACAAACACAAAGACTAACACCAACACTAAGACTAACACAAACACTAAGACTAACACCAACACTAAGACTAACACCAACACTAAGACTAACACCAACACTAAGACTAACACCAACACTAAGACTAACACCAACACTAAGACTAACACCAACACTAAGACTAACACCAACACTAAGACTAACACCAACACTAAGACTAACACCAACACAAAGACTAACACAAACACTAAGACTAACACCAACACTAAGACTAACACCAACACTAAGACTAACACCAACACTAAGACTAACACAAACACTAAGACTAACACCAACACTAAGACTAACACAAACACTAAGACTAACACCAACACTAAGACTAACACCAACACTAAGACTAACACAAACACAAAGACTAACACCAGCACTAAGACTAACACCAACACTAAGACTAACACAAACACAAAGACTAACACCAACACTAAGACTAACACCAACACTAAGACTAACACCAACACTAAGACTAACACCAACACTAAGACTAACACCAACACTAAGACTAACACCAACACTAAGACTAACACAAACACTAAGACTAACACCAACACTAAGACTAACACAAACACTAAGACTAACACCAACACTAAGACTAACACCAACACTAAGACTAACACAAACACAAAGACTAACACCAGCACTAAGACTAACACCAACACTAAGACTAACACAAACACAAAGACTAACACCAGCACTAAGACTAACACAAACACTAAGACTAACACCAGCACTAAGACTAACACAAACACAAACACTAAGACTAACACCAACACTAAGACTAACACCAACACTAAGACTAACACAAACACAAAGACTAACACCAACACTAAGACTAACACCAACACTAAGACTAACACAAACACAAAGACTAACACCAGCACTAAGACTAACACAAACACTAAGACTAACACCAACACTAAGACTAACACCAACACTAAGACTAACACCAACACTAAGACTAACACCTACACTAAGACTAACACAAACACTAAGACTAACACCAACACTAAGACTAACACAAACACTAAGACTAACATCAACACTAAGACTAACACAAACACTAAGACTAACACCAGCACTAAGACTAACACAAACACAAAGACTAACACCTACACTAAGACTAACACAAACACAAAGACTAACACAAACACTAAGACTAACACCAACACTAAGACTAACACCAACACTAAGACTAACACAAACACTAAGACTAACACAAACACTAAGACTAACACCAACAATAAGACTAACACCAACATTAAGACTAACACCAACACTAAGACAAACACAAACACTAAGACTAACACCAACACTAAGACTAACACAAACACTAAGACTAACACAAACACTAAGACTAACACCAAAACCAAGACTAACACAAACACTAAGAATAACACCAACACTAAGACTAACACCAAACCAACACTAACACAAACACTAAGACTAACACCAAAACCAAGACTAACACAAACACTAAGATTAACACAAACACTAAGACTAAAACCAACACTAAGACTAACACCAACACTAAGACTAAGACAAACACTAAGACTAACACCAACACAAAGACTAACACCAACACTAAGACTAACACCAACACTAAGACTAAGACAAACACTAAGACTAACACCAACACTAAGACTAACACAAACACAAAGACTAACACAAACACAAAGACTAACACAAACACTAAGATTAACACAAACACTAAGACTAACACCAAAACCAACACTAACACAAACACTAAGACTAACACCAAAACCAAGACTAACACAAACACTAAGACTAACACAAACACAAAGACTAACACAAACACTAAGACTAACACAAACAGAAAGACTAACACAAACACTAACACTAACACAAACACAAACACAAAGACTAACACAAACAGAAAGATTAAATGAAGATATGATCTTCGCACTTTGCTGGACAATTTAAGCAATCGTCTCAGGACCTGAAAAAATCAGGTGACTCAACGGGATATCATACCTTCATTTAATTTCAAACACCGCACTGCATAAAACATTCATACAAACAGAAAGACTAACACAAAGACTAACACAAACACAAAGACTAACACAAACACAAAGACTAACACAAACAGAAAGACTAACACAAACACAAAGACCAACACAAACACCAAGACTAACACCAACACTAAGACTAACACCAACACAAAGACCAACACAAACACAAAGACTAACACCAGCACTAAGACTAACACCAACACAAAGACTAACACAAACACTAAGACTAACACCAACACAAAGACTAACACAAACACTAAGACTAACACCAACACTAAGACTAACACAAACACAAAGACTAACACCAACACTAAGACTAACACCAACACAAAGACCAACACAAACACAAAGACTAACACCAGCACTAAGACTAACACCAACACAAAGACTAACACAAACACTAAGACTAAAACCAACACTAAGACTAACACAAACACAAAGACTAACACCAACACTAAGACTAACACCAACACAAAGACTAACACAAACACAAAGACTAACACCAGCACTAAGACTAACACCAACACAAAGACTAACACAAACACTAAGACTAACACCAACACAAAGACTAACACAAACACTAAGACTAACACCAACACTAAGACTAACACAAACACCAAGACTAACACAAACACTAAGACCAACACAAACACCAAGACTAACACCAACACTAAGACTAACACCAACACTAAGACTAACACCAGACTAACACCAACACTAAGACTAACACAAACACAAAGACTAACACAAACAGAAAGACTAACACAAACACTAACACTAACACAAACACAAACACAAAGACTAACACAAAGACTAACACAAACACAAAGACTAACACAAACAGAAAGACTAACACTAACCTCAATAACCTATTCTTCATAACTGTCATAAGTCATCATCCTCTTCCAAACTTTGAGCATTTTTTAGCTAACTTTGATTTAAATCTTGTTCTTGAAATCTTTCTGCAGCATTTTTTTTGAATTTGATTGATGAAGAAGTGATCCTATTAAAATCATGAAACATCACTTAGCATTGTGAATAAACTTGAAAAGATGAAATCTTTTCTAGTCAACCGTTTAATAGACGGTTCAGGGAGACAGAATGAATTTCAAGGATGGTCTAAAGAGATATGATATTTCTTTAACTTCTCTACCCACATTGGTCCATTGTATTCAGCCAAATCTTGTTTACATTATAGTTCATATTTGTCGTTGCCATTTTAACTGTCAACATCTTTGCTGAGTTCGTTAACGATTTTTCCAACATCCTTGAAATAAATAGTCGTGTATTAGACGAGTTAAATTCACGGCCATGCAATAAATCTTATCAATTGAGCATGTAACATATTATTTCACATAATACTTACAAATTACGATCAAGACTGATTAGTAAGAAACTTTTAAAACATGGCGCGGAGCGCGAAGAACTGCATGCGTCGTTATGAAATGTAATTGGTCAAATTTGATCACGTGTTACGTAAAGAGACGGCCAATTGACATCGTAAAGAGCCGTATTCGTTGACCATTGTGGCATTGTCCGTTGCAAATGTTTTGGTCATACGGATTACTCTGTCCCGTTTGAATTTTCATATTTCTAGCCATAGGCTAACTAGTGAAATACTAGCGAAATATATCCATCTAACTGCCATATCAACAGTGTAAACAACTCATAATTCATCGGCAGACATTTCTAACTTCTGAGAAGTTGAGAACGACAACTAATCATCGTTAGACCAAAAGGAAGAAATCCGCCCCTTAGGCAGCTACTGGGAAATCAAAATAAGCCCTCATTACCTCATTACCTACCCTTAAAAAATTTTAAAAATATGCGGGGATAGTTTTCAGAGGTCGAGTTGAAGCCAGTCCTGCTGAGCCTGGATTTCCAAGAATCCAAACCACAGTCTGAGAATCAAGGCAATAATTCCCAAAAGAACAGTAAATAGATAGAACAGTAAATTAGAACAACAGCGCATAAAACTAAAGAACATAGAACTGAACTATTTCAATCAAGTTGATCTGTACTTCTAGCTAATAGACCAAATAACTCTAAGACCTTATTTAGAGGAAGTATTTAATTATGCAAAAGATGTAATTTGTTTCTGTTGACTTCTGAACTGAATATCGTCTATTCGCATATTTGCATCTACCCATCTACTTCTCTCCCCCCCCCCTGCCAAGTTCAGTTAGCGCGCCATTACTATCCCATAGTGCACTATTTCTGTGTGTGAAAATCCATCGCAAATGAAAGAAAGATAGATTTTGAACGAAAATATGATTTCTTCGGCAAGTTTTCATGTTGTTGTAGTTAGAGTGTAGGAAAGTAGAGACATTCAAATGTACGTTCTGGTATAACGCTAGCGAAATTATGAAAAGAAAAGGCTCAAAAATCAGGTGATGGCCGACAAACGAAAACTGCAAGGTAAAGATGGCAGCCTTGTGAACGAGTTCCAATATAATCCGCGTGTGTGAACTATGATATTTCGAATTAAAGAGATATTTTCTCAATCTTGTTTTCACCGTAGCTGAGATCGATAGATGTCTCAAGAAGATTACCGAAGGCGTCGAAACGTTTGATGACATTTGGAAAAAAGTATTTTATCGTATTTGTAATAGTACTTCTATTGTTTTATTGTCAATAATTATGTACAAACTTTTGTAATTATGTTGGAATATATATGAACTGCATAGGACGTATTTCATTAAATATGCCATTATGAATTTTTGACAATTGCTACAGGTTCACAATGCTGCAAATGCAAATCAAAAAGAAAAATATGAAGCAGATCTTAAGAAAGAAATTAAGAAGTTACAGGTCTGACATACTGTAATTTTTCTTTTTACACAAGTAACATTTCCTTCTATTTCATCAAACATTGCATTGTTTTACAGCGACTTCGTGACCAGATTAAGACGTGGATAGCATCAAATGACATCAAGGACAAACAAGTCCTTATTGACAAGAGGAAACTAATTGAAACTGTATGTTTTTTATGTGTATGACATCTTAACTTGTGTATACATTCTCATATCTCATAACATGTAAAATTAATAAGAAGTTAAGTACATAAAAGTATACTTTTTGACTTACTTCTTCATCAAATTACCATATCTTTGCCATTTATTTTGAAATTGTATTTCTTTAATGCCAATTGTGTTTATTTCTTATTTTAAAACTTGAGAAATTGTTTTTGTTTGGAGTAATATCAAAGCAAATTTTATGTGTCACAGCAAATGGAGCGATTTAAAGTGGTTGAGCGGGAGACAAAGACTAAAGCATACTCAAAGGAAGGTCTTGGTTTGGCAACAAAAATTGACCCTGCAACTAGAGAGAAGGAAGAATTTCGAAACTGGTTAACTGTAAGATATAACATTTTTGTTTATTTTGCTGCTAGTTTAACATTTTGATTGAGTCTTTCTTTCTTTTATCTAGGAATCAATTGATCGGCTGAATGTTCAGGTAGAAACTTGTCTCTATTCATTTTTTGGTCAAGATGTCCACAAGGAACTCTTGCTATTGTGTTGATTGTCATATTTTTATTGAAATCTCACAGGTTGATCAAATTGAGTCGGAATTGGAAGGTTTAAACTCTGGTCAAAAGAAAAGCCGACAAAGAGGTTTGAAAGGAATAGCTCAAGAAATAATATATTCTTAGCTTTTTTATCAATAAATATTGTGGGTTTTGTAGCGATTGGAGCGTATAGAAGAGTTGAATAGATTTATTGGCCGACATCATTATCATGTACAACAACTAGAGGTGTTACATGTTGTTTACCATTTGATTTATAACACGTATTGCTGAGCATCTTTATTGATTATAGAAAATTCTTCGAATGCTTGATAATTCAACCATATCACCAGCGGATGTGAGTGTTTTATTAAGTTTTTCATATACTTTGACTATTTCTTTTTTACATGTACGTATGTTGTATTCTTGTTATGTTTCATGAAATTCAGATGAAAAATCTTCAAGAGGATATGGAGTATTATATTGATAATAACACGGTCAGTTTTATTTTAATTTGAACTATTTGGATTGAAAATTTCACAGTCAATTGTATTGTTCATGATTTTATAGAGTCCTGATTTTGAGGAGAATGAATATATGTACAATGATTTATTGTTGGATGATGGTGAAGTTGATGCAGGTATTTTATACATTCAAATGTCTTTCTAAGTTTGGTTAACCTTCACTTCACTTCACCTAATTTCATCTCACTTCACCTCACCTCTCTTCACCTCACCTCTCTTTACCTCTCTACACCTCTCTTCACCTCTCTACACTTTCACCTCACCTCATCCTCACTCATCTTCACCCCACCTCATTTCACCACCTCCATCATTTACCTCATTTTATTTCATTCTTTATTTTTTGATTTTATTTTTATCCTTTATTTATTTTTTTTTCATTTTATTTTTATTTTTCATCATTTTCTCATTTGATTTCTCCATCTCAATTTTATCTCTCTTTTCATCTCTTCACCTCACCTCACCTCACCTCACCTGCCTTGTTTGACCATTTTTCTTGTTTTTTAGTGAACAATTTAGCGACATCTCCAACTGATAATGAAGAAGAATTTTTATATCAAAAAGAGAACATAGTCAACAATTCCTTACCTCCTAATTCTCCAACAAGTTTAACCAATAGTTATAATCTTAAAAACACAAATGTGAGTATGTCATATTTATGCAGTGATGATTTCACCAATATATATACATGGAATATTTGTTGTTTTGCAGGCAAACTCTCCTAGGAAGAATTCAAAAGGCAGCTCAACAGCACCCCCTGTCAATAATATAGGCAATGGTTCACCTGTAAATAAAGTTCCTACCTCTGCAAAGATTAATGCTTCAAGTAACGGTCATGAAACTAGTAGAGGTAGACTATTTTTACAGCTATGAAATCATGAAATTCACAGTAAAATTTTTTTCAAACTATGAATTGACATCACTGGCATTGTCATGTAAAATTGATTTTAACAAATGTCAAAGTTTGGAAAAATTTGCTAAGATATTATACTTTAAAAAACCTTCCGTAGTATGTAGTTAAATGTAAATCTGGCAAATGGACATTTTTACAAGTACATGTAAAATTTTCATATTTTTGTGTTTAATTATAGGATCAACGACTTTACCTGTGAAATCTGTAAAGTAAGTTAATTTGTGTGCTTGCTTTCTGAATGAAATGAATGGTTTGTATGTCATGATGTTATTTTTGGCTCTATTTAAGATTTTGCTGTTTATAAGGAATTATATTTAACATTATATCATTTCTAATGATTTATATTTGACATTATATGGATTTTATTTTTAGTAATACACCTGTTGTAAATTCTGACCATTCAACGAACGAAGCGAAAACATCAGTCACTCCACCTCCTGTCTCTGGATATGCAGGGGTTGTTGGTGGTAATAATCATAATCCTACTATATCCCATGCTCAGAATGACATCACAGCTAAGACAGTCACTCCAAGCAAGAGAGCTCAGCCTTTGGTAACCATGTCTCAGAACTCCATATTAGATTATTCTGAAACTGGTGAGATTATAATTCATTGTTTGTTTTTCTTTTTCGTCTTCACTAGAAATTATTAATGAATCACGTTATTTTTCAGCAAACGACTCTTCTCTTGTTAACAATGTCATTACGTCATTATCCTCGTTATCAATGACGTCATCATCGTCAACGATAGTCAACTCATCTCAAACCAGTCCCCCAATCTCGTCTCAGACTTCTATTGATTCGACGATTTCCGAAGGACAAGTTTCTTCCCCAGGACCTATGCAAAAAGCTAACAGCTCTAGCGGTTTTATGACGAATGCAGGTTTTACCGCTGACCAGAGTACATCGTCGGATGTCAATCCTAGCACTACACCGACGACGTCGATTTTTGGGAACGTTACAAATAGTGAAGTGGAAACATCATCGACATCTCAAGCATCTCTTGATAACGTTGTCTTACAAACTCATGAAAATGAAGTAAGAACTTTTTCCACTGTTACTTTTACATCCATTAACAAGATAGCTTGAGCTGTTCTTCGAGTTTAAGTTTCGAACATGACGAGCAGAGCCGTTTAGAAGGCGAGGAGCCCCGGGCAAAATCCTCCCCCCCCCTGTTCCTTTTTCTCGGCGTGTTTGATGGTGAGGCATGGATCATTCAACCATGTATAATTTATCGGGCGATTTTACAGATTTACATTTAATAGATAGCCACTCAACAGCTTTTAAATTGTATCGTTGTCATATTGGCCATTGACTGTTTATGTATTTTAGGTATCAACCTCATTCACGACATTAAAAACAATGGCCGCTCAAGCTGTTGCTTCTGCAAGTATTGAAGAGTCTAGTAATGTTCAAAAACAATTCTCTACTTTACCAAACAGAGGTTTGAAATGAAAGCTTTCTTGTCTTCTATTTTTTATTATCTCGAAATGCGTTGATAGCGAATTGAGGTTATATTTTCTTTTGAACTAAACGACTAATTCTTCTTTTCCCATCTTGTTCTAGTTCTATTTGAGAACGCTGTAACGACCGCTGGTCAAGAAAGACGAAATGAGCCGGAAACTCACACGGCGCATCTTCAACCATTGTTAGGTGTCGCACCACTAGGACCAGTACCTCTAAATAAAGAAAAATTGTACCAGTTAGCTCTTGCAGAACCTGCATTTCATCATCTTCCATTTCCTAGTGACTCCGAAAGAGTCAGGTAAGAAAACCTTCTCCTCCCCTTTCCCTAATTATTTTGCTAAAAAGGCGGCAAAAATTAATTTTACATATTTATATTTTGTTTCAGACCATATCTTCCTCGCACTCCGTATCCTACAGTTACCCATCATCGTCATCTAATGCCCCCACATATAGATTCGATTGATTTTTTTCAAAGACTCTCAACAGAAACGCTCTTTTTTATATTTTACTATCAGGAGGTAGGCATAAAGTTATCATTCCCGTCATGCTTTTCGTTTTGTTTCAATTTGATAATTTTGTGGTTCATTATTTCCTCTTAGGGAACTCGTGCACAGTATTTAGCTGCGAAAGCTCTCAAGAAACAATCATGGCGTTATCATACTAAATACATGATGTGGTTTCAACGTCACGAAGAGCCCAAAGCAATTACAGACGAGTATGAACAGGTAATTTGCGAATAAAGGATTGAACAGAGTGTATACTATGGTGTGTACCCATGGAAAAAGTTCTTTAAAAAAGGACACGCGCGGAATATGCAAAAACATTATGTGATTCTAATTACTTTAACTTTGTCTGGTGCGGTTGGCCATGAAATTTTTGAAATAGCAATTTTTTATTGGTGAGAGAACTTTTGTGAAAAATCTTTCAAAACAGGACTTGTTGCGTTTCAAATCAACTTTTATTTTACTCCATTTCAAATTAACTTTGGAAATTGTAGCATTTTCCCGTAAATTGCAATGTGAAATTCACAAGCCAATTCTCAAAAGAAGAAATGTTAAAATTAAAAACTGGTTTGAATTGCAAAAATGCACGAAATTTCTTAAAATTTTGATAGTTTGTGGAACGGAGTCCGTATTTTGACTCAGGGTGATTCGATTGTCTTTCCAATGACTAATTTTTGTGTGCAAGAAGCGGTTTGAAGGACTTTTAACATCACATCTCTCATTGATGAAGAGCTCGCATTTTCAAAAAAATCATTGCCAGCTGTGAAGTAGAAGGTTAAAGTACTCTGAATCACTAAAAGTGTATTCCGGTCGTATTTTAGAGGAATTTTTTAATAGTATACATTTTTTTTGATGCACCTTGTATAATGCAAAGATTACTCCTGTGTGTTAGGGTTTGAGATAGCATGTACAGTTGTGATTGTTTCCACAAGTCAGACTTTAAAACTACGTAACGAGATTATTTCCACCAGTGAAACGTCTCATTTCTAATCTTTAGGGAACGTATATCTACTTTGATTTTGAAAAATGGATGCAACGGAAAAAAGATGGCTTTACATTTGAGTACAGATATCTCGAAGATAAAGATCTGCCATGAAGGCATTCACGAACTTGCACTATAGAAGAACGAATCAGACAACTTGTCCCTAATCATATGACCTCATCAACACTACGCTCTTTCGTGTTCTTTTGCTGGGTGGTAGAGGATACAGTCTTCACTTGCCGTTGTGTTGCATATTCATCGTTGTCCATTGAGAGGAATTTTAACACGTGCATGCAGACTTCATGGACAATCACCGGCAGAGCTGGATTGAAATTCGGTTTTAGTTAGTAGTTTAGTGAATGGTGGTATTCTATTATATACCACGTGTCATTGTAAATAAAGACTGTTGAATAAAATCTGGAACATTTTTCACAGACAAATTTTAATTGACTTTTAATAATTACATGTAAAAGGGTGGCTTCTTATCGTTTGTTTGATATTTCTTAACGTGTTTACCTGACTTCTTATTCCGGATGATCATAGTGAAGTATCTGGATTTATAAACCTTTGGTTCGCAACCCTTTTCATCATTTAGGGTGGGAATTATTCTCTGTGAATACACAAATATGGGCAGATGTTGTTTTGAATATGGAATGAGTTGAGCGCAGGTCTCAACCACCAGCAACCTGTCACGATTGTGATATGCCCAATGGATGGGCCTGTTCACACGGGGAGCTAAAGTAAGGGTAGGGTTATGGTGATAGCTATGGAAGAATTGCCCAAGGCAAACAAGGAAGACTGTCACTTTTTACATCATTGCATTAGATACTGAATAAATCAGAATAGCTTCCGTATCTCAAAAATATAATTTCGTTGTTATGTACAAGATGTGAAGTATTAGCTAGCTCGTCTTCTAAAAACGAATATTGTGTGTTCAACTGTACAAATCTTTAATTACAATGACCAAGTCAAGTAGCATTCATAAAACTTTAGTTGAGTCTTTGCTCATAAATAAAATGTGGCTAAAATTACTCCGTTATGTGGTGTTTTTCGAGTCACTTTTTTGACGTTTTCTTGGCGGGCTTCTTGGCAGGCGATTTCTTCGTCGCAGGTTTAGTCTTTTTCGTAGGTTTTTTCCCTGCTGGTTTTTTATTTTTTTTTGGAGAAGGTTTCTTAGTGCTCGTTGTTTTCTTTGCAGCAGCTTTTTTGGGTTTCTTAGCAGGCGTTTTCTTTTTTGGTGATTTAGCTGCCTTTTTCTTCGCTGGTGTCGAAGCTTTCTTTGTAGATGGTTTAGGTTTAACTTCCTTCGTTGGTTTCTTCGGAGCAGCCACAGGCTTTGCAATTTTAAAAGAACCAGAAGCTCCAGTTCCTTTAGGTTGGCTAAGAGCGCCCGATAATACACCTTTCTTGAGTGCGAGCTTCACGTGAACGCTACCGCTATCCCCAATTTTATAATGAGCTCTGATGTATTTCTCAATTGCCTGTCGCGACGATCCGCCGCGTTCTTTTAAAGATTTAATCGCTTCAACGATCATCTCCAGGTACTTAGGATGCTCAGCGGGCTTCGCCTTCTTCTTTTCCGCAGACATATCTCAAGTTCGGAATTAATTTCGATTCGTTTCGTCGTAAACCGTTGTACAATTGAGTTTGTCAAAGATGTGAACGTTTGAGATGTTCGCACGTTTATATATCATTGAGCCGGACCTCCGTGTAAGCACCCAAACAAAACCTTAAATTCAAGCAATATGGTGGACGAACTTTGACAATTTGTGCTTCTTTGCTGATTTTATTGGCGTTTTGCGTTTCTTTTGTTGCCGAAAGCTCATCGTGAGGTGCTTCGGTAGGTAGGATTATTTCTTGAGTATGTTTTTATGATTTTTTGCGGTGTATTTGTTGCGGTGTTGGCTTATGAATTGCAAAAATTGAAGTAAAAGTCATGACTGTCAAACTGGATAAGTTCACTCATTCTTGTTCCTTGTGCATGACGAGTTTGGAATGAAACTGTTTTTTGCATTTCTGTAATTTTCAACAATCTATCTTTGATTCTGTTTCAATGAAACTTTGAAATATGAAAGATTTTTATGAGAAAACTGAAGTTATACTTTCACAAGAAACACAAATATGTCGTTGCGGCCATGACAGTTGACTTGGTCCTTTCTCAATTTTTCCACAAAATTGCTTCCAAAATGTTACGCCAAGCTTTGATACTTTCCCAATATGTGAATTTAAGGTATTGAAATTATATAATATTGTAAAAAGGGCAATTTTTCTAACGTTTATGTGATTAAATTTGAATTTTATGGTCACCCTTACAAGAGTTATCCGTCTGTCTTAGCGCTTGGGGGATCAAAATTTTCCTGCCCTATCTATATATTTGTCTATTTTTTCTAAAAATATCGTTATTCTATACCACTAAATTGATGAATTTTGCTCAAAATTAACTGTACGTACTTTAAAATACATTGTATTCATGAAAAAGTTGCGATAAGAATATAAATTAGAAAGAAATAGCGAAACGATATGCGATTAGATTTTGCTGTTGTTCTTGGTCGATCGTCAAATTTGCTTTTCAGTACGAAATAATATATTGCAAATATATGCCACTTTTATGACTTGAATGAGCATAAAAGAGTTCTATATTTTGTCATTGGGAAGAATTGTGCCTATCTGTGTGATTTTTAGTACTATAGTGATGAAAAAGTGCAAATATTCTTCTGCCAAAATTTTGGTTCGTCAAATTTTGAACGCCATTTTGCATTTATGAAACACGCTGTTTAAAATTTTCAACTTACGGTAACTTTAAACCTTTTCGCATTTCTTGTACAAAATTTACGGATTTGCACAGTATGAAAATGTTTTTATGTTTCTAATGAAAAAAATTTGTGTGTAAGGACTTTCGTAAACCGAAAATCAGCGACAAATATTTCGCAACGACTGCTCTTCAAACTTTGTGCTGTTGTCGTTTGTGAGGAAGGTCTTGAATGTTTGCATTGGATTTTGTCTATTTTTAAACGCGTCTTACAACTTTATATTTAATAGATGTGCTTGGTAATGGTTTTTCTTTAATATTTTAGTGATTCAAAGCTATTTATGACTTTACTTTGTATTTTATCTCGCAAATTCAATTGTTAAACCAACGCATTCACGTCTGTTCCTTCGAAGGGTTTTGTGGAACCACTTGAAGTGAGATTGTAGGATATATTGATAACTCGTTGCAAAATCTTTAAACTTAATAAAATTTTTAGTCTGCAAATGAAAATTCAGTAATGTTTCATGTGTATTTGATTTAAAAGCGTGTCATCCTCGCAATTTTGATCGAAAAGGCAGATTTTTCCTTCTTCTCCGAATAGACAACGACTCTATACAACTTTACCAAACTGCGCGCCCGAAAATTCCAAGGATTTAACGCTAAACGCTGGCCCATTTTTTTATAGTATTACAAAGAAATAAAGATAATATACATAGTGAACAGTCTCCAATTTCAATTACTGACAAAATAATAAAAATGAACAACGAAAATCTTCGTTACAAAAGTTAAAATCGTTAGCAACGGTAAGATCAATAATGACGTAGCATATAACATATGTCTTTTCGGTATTTCCATCTTTTGCATGCTGAAGAACCTAATATTTAGTTAGAGGCTCTGTACTTAAACGTTTAAAGGACATCACTTTGATATCTTTTGGTTAATAACGTTTTCTGCAGCACAAATTGTCAAATTCTTTTCATAATATTAGCTTTGTGTGTACTGCTTGTCTTGTCTTAAAGGGGGAAATGACATGATAACATTTACTTATAAATAAATGCTATTGTTTTGGTATATTTTTGTTCATAGAGTAAACTTGGAGTGAACATAGCTTTCATAAAGCTCTCGGTTTGAAATAGACTGAGGAATATTACTGTTTATTCAGAGAAAATGTGTTGTTCAATAATCATTAATGTTTTTCTTGTAATTTTATTGCTTGTTGCTGTTATAGTGCTAGCTGTTACTGAGTTGCATTTGGCTGTTTTAGGTTCAGTTTCATGCAAGCAACATTGTATAGTTTACAACTTGTACTAGAATGATCTAAAAATTCCACTTACTACATTTTAGTACTGAACTATTTGATTGTCCAAATTTGTTGTTTTGAAATTATTTTATGTTTTTTTCATAGGTTATCAAGAGTATTTCAGCCATACTTTGGAGCCGTCTAAAATGATAAAAGAAAGAGGAAGTCAATGGTAAGGTTTATTTCTTAATATAGAATAAACTTTTGGTTTCATTAGGGAACATTATTTTACATACTGAACATGGAGAATTGCCATAAGCAAATTTATTTTAAAATGTTTGTCAAGAATGAAATGTTGATTTTCAACTTTGTTTGATTTATAATTCTTTTATTACATGTTCGATCGGGTTCCTTTGAAGGGGGTTTTTTGGCATCTAAATGAATTTTTGTCAAGTTGTATTTTTGGGATGATTTTAAATGTAATTTAATTTTCATTCACTCAATTATACATGCCAAAAACCTCATGTGCTGCAATCTTTGTTTCAATTTCATAATCATCTTATTTCAATCATCATCCAGCCTCTTTTTGTGTTCCAAATCAAATGACAAATTACCTAATCAATTACGAAGTAACTCATTTCAATTTAAATATTTATGTCCTTTGTTAAATAAAGTGCAACCCCTAAAGAGTCATATGCATTTTTCTGTTAGTTTTTTTCTTGATATTTTACAAATTTGAGTTTTACACCACCCACGATGGTCAAAAACACACTGCAAAAAATCATCTTAAATTTTCGCAACGCTCATGTACTTCAAATCGTTTTAAATAATGACAAATGAATTGTTTTCATAAGTTGAATGACTTTCTGTTGTTAGAAGTAGTTTCACAGCTTGTTTTGTAAACGATTTTCAATAGGAATAAAGTACTTGAGTTTTTTTCCAATCTTGTGTGTTAGAGAGGCGTGTTATTGAAGTGTTTTTTGAAGTGAAATTGTCTACTTATGTTGGCCTTCGTATGGTTGTGTAAACTAATTAATTAAGATTTGCTTGTTTTTATCATAAAAGCAGATGGATTATTACAATGACAGATGTGTATATGATCTGACGCTTGTATAGATCTTTTATAAGAGCTGCTGTTTTGTTGATGATTCGTAGTTCATATTACTTTTTTACTAACATAATCTCCTGCTCTGTACGTTACGGAGGACTATGTTACATAAAAACCGGTATTTCATATAAACGATTCCACGTATTTTCACTCATATCTCTATGCGTCGGCTTTTCCTTGTTGAACTTTAATTATCGTCAACATGATTGAACATTTGTTAATATGTATTGCCATTGTAGGCAACTCTCATTGGTCTAACAATGCATTTGTATATGTTAAGTACGTGTAATATAGCCAGATACGTTTAACGTAATGAGACATTCTCTTCGCAAGCTTCTGTAGAAGGAGTTCTATTTTACTTGAAGAAAACAATTCATCTGCGCGTATGAATGAATGTTTTCACGTTAATTGGAGAAAGATAGTCTATGATGAAAAAGATTTTGCAGAAGGGAGATTGTTCTGGTCAATTCGAATGTGGTGCTAAATAGTTTATCGTTGAAACTTGTGCAAAAATAATCTCTGAAGTGTTTGAATATAAACTTGGGCTCATATTAAACTTTTAAAAGAGGCTTCGTCGAGGAAGAAATAGAAAACGACAACAGCTACTACATTATCCTTCAACAATACTCGTCTTCCTAAAGATTCCATCAGTTTTTCCTTATTTAAACACATTACAATACTCGTCTTCCTAAAGATTCCATCAGTTTTTCCTTATTTAAACACATTCCATACTGTCGTTGAAGGCCATGTCTTCTTATTCCTATGCCACGCTACGTTATCCCTATTCGTACATAATGAACAACCGTTACTCTATGTTGTACTCACCTTACAGATATCCTGGTATTCCGTCCTTTCCTGCAGTAGATCACCGTGGTTATATTGGACTCGAACCCACTCCCTACTCAACGTATGAAAGCGTCACTAGCCTTAGTCCTCGTGCGTTGCTTTATTCTCCATATGTCGCTGCACCACGTTTATCTCAAGCTTACCAATCATCGCGCTATCAACGACGCATGCGTATCCGTACAAACTTCTCTCAATGGCAAATTGATGAGCTGGAACGAGCGTTTGAGGCGACCCATTAAGGCTGAAACACACTGGGCAGTCGCTTCAGTCGCGCGTCCAAAGCGAATTGATGCGCACGCGTCAGTCGCTTGAACGCTAGAAACACACATGCAGCGACCATCGCGACATTTATCGTGGCGTCTATTGAACATGGCAGTGATTTTAGTTTGTTACAGACACAGATATCACTTAAACTTTTATTTTGGCCTTTATTATAGCTACTAATATATGAATATTTACTCAGTACAAACTACTATGTGGAGAAAAGAGAACAAGCCAGTTAAAACACGCCAATATGATCATAGCACATTACGCGTATATCGTGGATAATCCTATTCTGTGCATTTACGTTGTGCATTAGGGTTCCAGTTTGTAGCTCCTATTGTCCCTATTTGATAAGTCATATAAAAACTGAAAGATTCCAGTGTGAATTCACTATATATTGCCTTCGTTTTCCAAGGTATAATCTAAAATTTCGTATGATGCTTATGACAGGAAATATGATATGCATTTAGGAAGTTAAAATGTATCTATTGGCCAATCAGTGTAAAGCGACTGAAGCGACCAAAGTCAAAAGTTCAACATGTTGAACTTTCAAAGCGACTAGCTGACGCGACTACGCTACTAGCTTAGTAACCACGCAAAGCGGTAGTTTTAGACGCGCGACTAAAGCGACTGCCTAGTGTGTTTCAGCCTTTATCCTGACGTCTTTATGAGAGAATCTCTTGGTGCGAGGTTGGATCTCACTGAAGCAAGAGTACAGGTGTGGATAAAAAATTACCTGTGGGGGGGAGGGGTGGTTGGGAGTCAAAATAGGAATTTGGATTTCACTGAAGCTAGAGTACAGTTTTGGATAAAAATTCCTGTGGGGGTGGTTGGGAGTCAAAATAAGAATTTGGATTTCACTGAAGCAAGAGTACAGTTATGGATAAAAATTGCTGTGGGGTGGTTGGGAGTCAAATTAGGAATTTGGATTTCACTGAAGCAAGAGTACAAGTGTGGATAAAAAATTACCTGTGGGGTGGTAGGGAGTCAAAATAAGAATTTGGATTTCACTGAAGCAAGAGTACAGTTATGGATAAAATTGCTGTGGGTGGTTGGGAGTCAAATTAGGAATTTGGATTTCACTGAAGCAAGAGTACAAGTGTGGATAAAAATTACCTGTGGGGTGGTTGGGAGTCAAAATAAGAATTTGGATTTCACTGAAGCAAGAGTACAGTTATGGATAAAAATTGCTGTGGGGTGGTTGGGAGTCAAATTAGGAATTTGGATTTCACTGAAGCAAGAGTACAAGTGTGGATAAAAAATTACCTGTGGGGTGGTTGGGAGTCAAAATAAGAATTTGGATTTCACTGAAGCTAGAGTACAGTTATGGATGAAAATTCCTGTGGGGGTGGTAGGGAGTCAAATTAGGAACGAGAGGGTTGATAGTGATCTTCAAGTGTGGGTATTGTCTAAATATGGTATTGAGGTTAAAAATTTTCTTCCTGTTTTTGATTATTTAATCATCGTTCATTTCCATTTTCAGGTGTGGTTTCAAAATCGTCGTGCAAAATGGCGTAGAAAAAGAAGAACCGTTAATGAAGAAAATGAAAACGAGATGTTGACCTGCGACGACGAAGGTGGCGATGATGCTACGGGCTGTGAATATTTTGCTTCGGAGATTAAAACGAAGGAGAAAATTCAATTGAGAGAAAGTGATGAATTGGAAGACGTTAATGAAGAAAACGATGATGTTGAAAAAGCTCTGAATGGTGATTTGACCACTGGAACAAGTGATGATATGAATGTAACAAGAGAAAGCTTCCCTGGTTTGCATCCATCAGAAGAACAACACAGAGTGAATGTGTAGAAATTAAAAACTTCACTTCACAAAAGGATTATACTCCGAAGCAATATAAAAGTTCCGTTGTTTATAAATTCAATTGCCCTAAATGTAATGCTTCTTATGTTGCGAAGATTGACAGATGCCTTTACGCACGAATTAAAGAACATGCAAAATCAGACAAATCAGAGATTTACTATCATACAAATAATTGTGAGAAATTCAATTTCTTCACATAAAAAATCGGAGATTTTAAAGCATATTCACGTACAGGTCAGGTGCTCTACCTTATCTGAAATAGCCTCTATACATTATATATACATTCTTGAAAACCTTAAATTGATGAATCGCAAGGAAAAATGATCCCCAAATCAGTTTATATTATTGGCAAATGCTACGCATCTTTGACTAGACCACTGCCATATAGCAAATAAGCCAAGGATTTCCAACATGCAAAATGAACACAAAAATTAACCACTCGATACAGTGATACCATAAATTTTTCTCTTCATATAATCAAGCTATGTAATAACACGTACTGTCGAACAGAATTTTACGTTTCTACCTAAAATTTCTTTTTAATTTTTAATTTGAAACATTCCTTGTACAATAGTCATCAAAATTAACCGGAAAAAGCAAAGTAAAGAGGAACAAGCAACTCACTTAAAAAACCTATAATATCTCAATTATTCATTTTAACTCCTCTTAATAAGTAACATCAAAAATATGTTAACTATAAGAGAAGTGTTGTGTGAAAATAAAAGTCTCTCCCGCAACATAACCCAGCACAAAACCAACGTAGAGCAATCTTTCATAACCATTTGAGTACACCTAGTCTTGAACTTTATAAATTGCAACAGAGTTGCGACATTTGAATGCACACAACCTAAAATGAGGATCTCTAATCAAAACTTGAGATTTTTACCATTAACAAAAGAAGTAAATACCAAAGGATGTTAATCTTGACAAACCACGTCTTCATATCAACGCTCTGCACATGTTTTACAGATAAAACAATCTATCAGTGAAGGAAATATCTGGTTCTTCGTTTTCCATTTTATTTACTTTAAAATGATGATGAACCAGTAGCTACATAGACAGTGTTGTACGTAAGTGGATACATCTCACACAAAGGGAACTTCTTACTATAACCAATAATGGAGCATCCTCTCTGTTTTTATGTATTTACATTTTAAAAAAACAATACATTTCTAAAGATTTAAATGGTGACAATGTATCGAAACATTATAGCAGAACTAACGCTTGTCGACTGATTTGTTGAAAGTCACATGTTCAGAGTATAAATTAAAAATTTCCGTCAAAGATAGTGTTCACTTCTACGCTTTTATAAAAATGACTCATATTGTTGGTGACTTTTTGTAATCCCAAGTTTTTATTGTCTTGAGTAAAATCATGTTGGTAGTAAGCGGATGTCAAGAAAGAATGCCGGGAATGAAATAATGTAGGATAATGTAGGAAAAAAATATGAAAATACGTAAAAATGAAACATTTATTGTAATTATCAGTTGGATGAAATCAACAAAGAAATTCAATCCAACAATTCTCTGTAGACTCAACAAAATATTTTATCTATAGTGATCATTCAGTTCAATAGTCATTCTTTAAACTTTTAGAGATGCAGCACCACCTGATGCAGAGGTGACATAAATTGTTGCCCTGGAATAACCATTCTGAAATGATAAAGACAAAAGATGTTTGGATATATGAAGGTAGCAAGAAAAAACACAGGTTAATGAGAGGATTTTTTGATATTTCCATACACTTTTTTATGAATATGAGATGCGTATAACTTTTTTACCTTAATATGATTGGTTAATTTTTCTACTGAGCTTTTCTTCACTAATGTCACAGTGCATCCCCAAAACCACCTCCAGTCATTCTTGTACCATACACACCATCAACCTCCAAGGCCAGTTGTACGAGCTGGTCTAATTCCTCACAACTGACTTCAAAATCATCCCTAGATAAAATCAACGTCATACTGAAATGAAACAAATTTCAAATGAACTTTTTCCATAGCAACAACATATACCTTAGTGATTTGTGACTTTCTACCATCAATTCACCAAACATACCATAATCGTTCTTCTTTAATGCCTGTACAGCATCTTGGGTTCGCTTGATCTCTGTAATGACATGTCGACCTCTTCTAAAAATAACTTCATCCATTTTGACTTTTTTTCTGAAAATATAATCAAAATTTACATCAAATATAAAGTCTCCTGTTGTGATTTAACAAATGAAACAATAAAAAAATGGAAATTACCTTCTAACTGGGATATTGTGGCATCACGAAGACTCTTCACACCAAGAATACTTGCTGCATTCTCACATTGATTTCTTCTCTTTGGGTATTCACTCTCAGACAGATTGTGTTTGACATTTGTGTTTATAACAACAACTGCTATATTTGGATCATTCAGTGGAACTGACTGAGTTTCTATTGATCTAAGGCAAAATAAATAAATTTACTTTGTAAGAGGATGATCCTATGATGATCTAAAATGTACAAAAATGTTCATTGTTACCTGCAATCCAACAAAAGAGCGTGTCCTTCCTGTCCCATCACTGAGATGCATTGATCCATAATACCACATGGCATGTTTGCAAACTCATGTTCAGCTTTCTGACATAATTTGGCCTTCTCGATCATGGTACGTTCCTTGCTCTTAGGACAAAGCTCCTCGAGGAATGTACATGTTGCAACTTCTAGAGATGCCGAACTTGACAAACCACCTCCCAAGGGTACGGATGATGCAATGCTTGCATTGAATGCAGAAACATTATAACCAAAGTTTGCAATCACACCTTTCACATAGTTTGCCCACGATGGTTTGCCAGGAGTCAATGGTGTGGTATCAGAATGGTTAGTGAATGTAACCAGTGTTGGTTCATCAACACCACTAGCTGCAGTAACAATTTGACATTGCTCACCATCAACAGGTTTACCAACAACCACTGTCACCAAATCCAAAGCCTACATAAGTATAACTTCATGATTGATGGTTGGAAGGGGATGGGCTAGTCGGCCCCCTCATCTCCTCACATCTATTGATGCAAAGTTGTTGGACGTTGAAAAAATATTCAAGTACTTCATATATGCCTACCATGGGTAAAACAAAGCCATCGTTATAGTCGGTATGTTCGCCTATTAGGTTAACTCTTCCCGGAGCAAAAACAGCTATTGTTGGTTTACATTTAAAATATTTTTCAAATTGTTCTTTTGCGTCGCGCAGTAAATCCTCCGACATTTTCGCGTCTTATTGTCTATTCCTATATACAAAGAAGTTCTCCTTGGTTTTTCCTATAATTTTCCAAGATTGGAGTAACCAGCCTTGAGGAGAACTTCGACCACTTTTTTGTAAGTTTTTCCATTATATTTTTTAGTATACATAGTGCGTAGGTTTGCTAATAGCACTATATTACATATACTATATTATCTCTGCTATTTCTCCTTGATTTTGTAAAAAAATGTAATGTCCAGCAGTATGCAATTCCTTTCATTAAGGATATAACTGTGTGAAGGTCAAAGTTAAAATGGCTGCAAAGGTCACGAGAATGGCTTTTGGCAAGTCAAGATTTTGTTTTCAAAATTCATGGGCAGGTATGCATTTTCTTTAAATTCTGTGGAAACACTTTTAGTTGCTGCCCTCCGTTGCTTCAGAAAATACTGTGGTAGAAAAGTTAGTGAATGAAAAAACCAAAATTTCAGTTCAGTAAAGTAGTTCCTGATTATCATGTGTTATATTTTATCATGTGTTATATTTTGTCAATGAAAAAAAAATTTAATGTTTCTCTAGTTTTAGGAAATTGGCATAATTTTGTTTTGAAGCCTTCAACCAAAGTTCAACCCACACTTGGTATTTGTCGACTATCAACTGAAGCTACCACAAATTTTGTGAATGTTGTAAATGAAGGGTCATATTGCATTGTTGAAATGAAGAGGAGTCCAGTCAACTCATTGAATTTAGAAATGATGCAGGAACTAGCAAATGTGATTGAAAATTTGGGAGAAGATTCCTCATGCAAAGGAATGATTCTCACATCTGTAAGTTCATGAAATACAGTAAAATTGCAAAGAAATTTTACAGTGTTTTATCTGCTCTCTCCCAAAATTGCAATAATGCAATTTTCAAGCAAGTTGCAGCTGCAGTTACTGTAAAATTAATTGGCAAAAGTACATTGAAATTAAGTTATAAAGGTCTCAACAATTTGATATTTCAACATGAGAGGATACTGGATGCAAAGTATGTCAATAGCTGTTGCAAAAGATGTGGAACAATCGTTGAACTTATGGTGCAACCTACTTGTAAATTTGTCTATAAACATTCCAATAACAAATATCCTGTTGCTGTATTGAAATTTTCATTTGGAAGATCAGGTTTGACTATTATACAAATTTCATACTTTATGTAGGCTATATCGAAGATCTTCTCAGCTGGACTTGATATCACAGAGTTTTTGAGTGGGGATGAAGATCGATTAAGAGAATTTTGGAAATCATTTCAGAATATTTGGATAAAACTTTATGGTTCTACCTTGGCAACTATTGCTGCAGTCAATGTATGTATTGAGGTCATGAATCACAAATTCGCTAATCTTAAATGAAATATGGTGCTATTAATAACCAGTGGTGTATTTGGGGTTAGGGGCCGCACCTGCTGGTGGCTGTCTTTTAGCACTATCATGTGATTACAGAATTATGGCAAGTGATGCCAGTATTGGTCCTAATGAAACACAGTTGGTAAGTACTTCATGTATGCATCATTGAATGTACAGATCTGAGAACTCATTTTTATACCATTTTTTCCAGGGCATTGTTGCTCCCACTTGGTAAGGTACTTGAAGCTGATGTGAATCATAAATTATTTTAATTGTTGGCAAACTCTGTTCAACAAGTTTCAAAATTTCTTGTAGGTTTGCCGACACCATAGTAAACACACTGGGTCATCGTAAAACTGAACATATTCTTTGTCTTGGACAAATGCTTAGTAGTAATGAGGCAAAAACCATAGGTCTGGTTGATGAAGTTGTAAAAAAAGATGATTTGCTATCAACAGCAAAGAAGGAAATTGAAAAATGGCTTGCTATACCAGGTATTTACGTCATTTCCCATGAAAGCTGTAAAAACTGAGTTGTAATGTAAATTATCACATAGATTTCTTGCTGTACAATTTTCTTTTCTTGTGTATGATGCAAACATTAAATTTTTCCTACAGACAAAGCAAGATCTATAACAAAGTTGATGCTAAGACGCGCAACTTTGGAGACTATTAATGAACAGAGAGGCAGATACTGAACAATTTGTGAATTTAACACAGCAAGAATCCACACAAAAATGATTGCCATGTACATGAAAAACTGGCCCAAAAATCAAAATCTTGAAGATAAGAGGTGATGATTGAGTAAGAAGACAAGATATTTTGACACAAGTGTTGTTTGTACACAGTTAAGTAACTACAATGTTATAAATATGTCCAAGAAAATTAAATTATTATTTCACACTTTCCATAAAACAATCTTCATTGTCTCCATCAATTTTAGTGTTAATGTTTATGTGTATATGTTCAGTCATCATTTCTGAAACTTCAGATGAACGTTTGTTGCATTTGAACCGATGACTACGGCAACTTAGATGCTCTATAAATGTTTTCTCTCGACAACATGCACGACATAATTTGAACAAGCATTTCCTCCCCTAAGGAAAATAATATCATAAAGATATCATATTTACCATTAATCTTATAATGTCTCTGGTAGCAAGGGTAAAGCGTCCGTTTAACATGAACATAAATGAAGGAGTGGAATAAACTTTAGAGAAGTTTTGTAGAGATAAACAAACCTTTGGATTCACTGAACATTTTTCACATCTGTCCCATTTAAACGACACTGTTGAAGTAATACTTTATGTAAGATTCTTTTATTTTTGCTATAAAACTTCCATGTGCAATCGTAGATAATTTTACCTGTTGTTGGAGATTGTTTCCTCTGCTCTCGTTGCTCAAGTTTTCTTTGCTTTTTTAGCATTCGTTTCAGTTGTGTTTTACTCAAACCATCTTTTATTTCTTCTTGTTTTTTCTCTGGCTTTTTCTCATTTGTTCTACAGTTTCAAATGCATTAAATAGTTTGAGTGATAAATATGAAAGAAATGAAACTGTAACCAATTTAATAAACCTCTATACCTTATATATGGCTGACAAATCCAATAATTATGTTTCCCAGGAGAAATGGTAGTTTCTTTACTTTCTAGCTAATATGACAAAAAGAGCTGTTGAAGACAATATTCATCATATCAATATATCAGCATTATAAATTTTTACCACACACTTGAGCTAACTTCTTGAGATCATCATTTATAACTTTCATTTCCTCTAATGTTCCAGCCTTGCTTAATCTTTCTCTGATATCAGTGTGAACACATAAACTACAAAACGAGATACTCATTATAAAAAAATTTCGTGGGGGGTAAGTCATGTGACATTGTACTCTTACCCATGATGCCACATTCTAAATAAATGTGCTCTGACAGAAGATAATGCACAAGGATACATATCAACTAGCTCAAGGTATTCTGCAGTTACTTCCCATGCTGGAGGTTCATTACCAGTAAAAAGAGACGGATTACGAAGATTGCCTTCTGTTTAGAATTTGTAAGTTAGTAGTTTTGAAATTGAATATTTTGTGATTGGCAGTACATGTGATTTAGAAACTAACAATTACCCGCTGTCATAACACCATCAGCTCCAGTATAGTCTAAACATTTTTGTATATCTTCAAAGTACAAAATATTACCATTGGCAAACACTGGAATGGATAAATGCTCTCTGTGAAAAAGTGGAAGACATTTGATTTTGTTTCAAAATTACAAGTACTATACGATAAGATGCAGTGTGAAACATACTTAACAGCTTTGATGTGGTCCCAACTCGCTAAACCACTTAATTCCTTCTTTTGTTCTCTAGTTCTTCCATGAACTGTAAGTAGCTGACAAAATAACAATTTTGATTGGTGAGTACAACATAAAGTTCATGATGAAAGTATATAGTTTGATTTTTGTACCTGGCATCCCGCTTCTTCAAGCATCTTGGCATAATCTAAAGTCTTTTGGATGTCCTCAAATATACGAATTTTACAGGTGATTGGAATGGACAACTTGTCTGCCGCCAAACTGACTGGAATTAAGGTTGCACATCAAAATACAGATTATAAATGGCAGAATTATATTAGGGATAAGGGGAATTACAGGGTCACAATGGATAAATGTTGTATTGTTGTAAGGATGAGAAGAATTATGTTTGAGGTATTGGAAATGGCAATTGGGACATAGGGAATGATTGTAGAGATCTGGGTGATTATATTAGGGATAAGGAAGCACACAAAAGGGTAGTGATCTATACTTTGGGATGGAAATGATCACAAAACCTCCTACCATACACTTCGACATACGTAAATATTTATATTTACCAATTTTTCGTATAAGTTCCCATTCATCCTGTAAAAAGCTCCATAATGACCTGAAACAACAAAAACACATAAAAATAAAGACGTTTAAAATGGTGTACATTATAAAGTTAGTTTAATGAACATCAACAGATACCTCGCCTTGCTATTCCTTGTGGACAACCCAGATTCAAGTCAATTGCATCGCAGTGAGGCTGAGCCAAAAGTGCAGCATTTAAAAAGGTTTCTGGATCATTTGCACAGAACTTAAGAACGTATGATTATTTAATATAAGACAAAAAATATAACCACAATATCAAACTCAATATAATTTTTCATCTCATATTCACGTTTTTTGGGAAAAGATCTTCAACGTTGTTTCGTTTAGGAATTTAAGATGAAGGCATTTTGAGTGACCATCATAGAAACTTAAATGTCGATACCTGTACTATCAGTGGTCTATCCTCTTCACAACTTGCTAAAGCAGCTTTACGGTAATGAGCTTCTCTCAAAAACACAGAAGCGTGATACATGGGTGTATAACATAACTGAGCTCCATGTCTTCGACTTAAAATACGCCAAGGTAACTCTGATTGGTCGACCATTGGTGCAACTATATAACGTGGTTTTTTTAAAACCTTCTCGTAAAACTCAAATCCTTTATATTTTGCGGGCATTCTAGTCAAAAACGTCTATAACTTTCCTCAATTTCCAAGAGAAAGTAAGAAACCATTGTTTATCAATGACAGCGCTAGAAAGTAACAAATGAGTGCAGCCGCTGATATTGTTGTTTACATTGACGGCTCAGTTTATTGAAGCAAATGTTGAAATTCTTTCAAATGAAAGTTTAGATCAATTATAGATCGTGTTCTTTTAAATTACGTTCTGCTTTTTGATGTTATATTTATTGTACTTAAATTTCTATTATGTTTCATTTAAGTCTTGACTAGGCTGTTTAGCCTTGAGGAAGCGTAGTCCCGTTTTTAGAGATCAGTGGTGTCCTAAACAAATGGCTTTTTCATCAAAGGAAGAATGTCGTGTTCCCGTTTGAAAATATTGTAAAATAGTCATTGGTAATTAGATCTGCGCTCTTCATTTCGTTCAAATGAATGGGGGGAAAACCGGTAAGTTATAATGTTTGGTTTGTCAAGTGTTTTTTCTGGTAACAACTCAAGAAGTTTGAATATTTGTCAGTTACTCGTTTGTGTGGGCTGGGTTGAGGGATTTTGTCTTTGTATTTTGAAATAGCTTTTTCTCTTGTGATCAACGAATTGAAAAATTGAAAAATCTACACTTACTACATTATAGAAGAAATTTCGTCCAATCATAATCATGTTCGTCATTGGAAGAAATTTGCAAGCAAACTCAAACAATTGACGGATCCATGGGAGGCTTTTCATATTGATGAAAACTTTCCTGATGAAATTGGCATACGGCATCGTTATAACGCAGTAAAGAGATCCTGGGTCTGTGATGAGGTTCATGTGCGCATGGAAAAACAGGTCCTTTGATCTTTGTTTACTGAACCATAGATTTCATTGTATTTTGATTGAGACATTTGAGAGATTTGGTATTAATTCTTCTAGTATAAATGCTTATGATTAAATTTGGAAAAGGCTCTCATTGATTTCGTCATATTTCTTTAACATTTGTAGCCATTTGATCGAGGTGCAATGAGAGAATGTTTTCGTATGTAAGTACTTTACATGCTTCATTATGTCAATCAATGAGAGTATTCCATTTGAACAATGTACATCCCTATTTTCACTAGGAAAAAACTTTCAAACTTTACAAAAACACGGAACTGGAAGCATGCTGGGAACCATGTGGCAAAACGTTATATTAATGAAGTGGATAGAAAAACGTATTTTGATGATGTTGTTTTACAAATGGATGCAAAGCTTTGGGGAGAGGAGTATAATAGACATTCTCCTCCTAAGAAGGTGACAACCTGATAAAAATGGTAGGATAGTGATGAGAATGGTAGGATAGTGATGAAAATGGTTGGATAGTGATGAGAATGGTAGGATAGTGATGAGAATGGTAGGATAGTGATGAGAATGGTAGGATAGTGATGAGAATGGTAGGATATGGTAGAAAGATGAATGGATAGAAGGTGGATAGGAATGGATAGTGATGAGAATGGTGGATAGTGATGGAATGGTAGTGGATGAAAATAGGATAGTGATGAAGGAAGGGATAAATAAGGATGAATGAGAGGATAAGGTGGATAAGATAGTGAGGGAATGGAATTATATGGATGCAATGGATAAGGTGGTGGATGAAGATAGTGGAAAATAGGTTGAGGATTACAAGGTACTACACAGGATCACTAGCAATGAAATTGTTTATAATGGACAAACATCTTTTCTAGGTTGACATTCTTCAGATTTCTGTTTTGGAAATGAAAAACAGAAAAGATTCTCCACTCTACCATATAGAGCATTTTATTGAAGGAAAATATATAAAATATAATTCAAACTCTGGATTCATTCATTCTGATGATACATTAAGAGCAACACCTCAAGTAAGAAAATCTTGAAAAAATGATCAATTGAAACTCCTGCTTTTCATTAATGCTTCATATGATTCAAATCACAGGCATTTAGCCATTTTACATTTGAAAGATCCAATCACAAGATTATGGTTGTTGATATTCAAGGTTAGCCACAAATACTTGTACAAACGTTGAGTAAATATATGGTTTTACTGAACTAAAACAGAAAGATGACTTCAAAATGAGTGTTATTTTAATATGACATGATTTTCACCATCTTATGGATTTGTAAAAATGAATCAGACGTCAAAATATCATGGTAAATAGTACATTTTTTCAGGTGTTGGTGATTTATACACTGATCCTCAAATACACAGTACATCTGATGTTGATTATGGGGAAGCTAACCTTGGAACCAGAGGAATGGCATTATTTTTTTCGTCGCATCGTTGTAATAAGTAAGTTTTAAACACATATCGTAGCATGCAGACTTTATGATATGCCCGTCGTCTACATGATAACCCGTCGTGCATGATAACCCCTTCGTCTCCATGATAACCCGTCGTCTGGATAACCCGTCGTCTGATAACCGTCGTCTACATGACAACCGTCGTCTACATGACAACCCGTCGTCTACATGATAACCCGTCGTCTACATGATAACCCGTCGTCTACAATACTAAGCAGATCAGAATTATTGGTATAGCTTTCGTTCTTGTGTTGATGAATGCGAAAAAATGAAAACGATAAGGTCAACTGTAGTACGTGTTTATTAAAAGGTCCAATCATTTGCTTCTACAGTTATTTATCAATTGTTTGAAATTTAATTTCGCTCTTTTTACTATTGAAAGATGGGATAATCTTGTTTTACCATCTATTCCATCAGAAGTCAAAAGCATGCGCACTGTGCAGCGTATATTGTTGTAAAAATGGCATAGAAAGAGATAAAGAAGTTTGATTTTTACCTGGTTACTGAACCGTATGTGTAGATGTATGTACGCAATAGTTATATATAGGCATCGTGGAATATTTGTCCCATGATCCTTTGTGTTATCATTTTAATGCTCAAACTGTGCTCAACATGTTTAGAGCGTTTGCACGTAGCTTGAAAAATACTTATCTGTTTCGTGAAACCATTTTAGGATCTGTGAATCACTGGGTTTATCTCGTTTTGACTTAAGTGAGTCGGAAATGAAGCGACTAGAAGACCAAGATCGGCGTTTGATGAATTCCTTAACAATAAAGAAAGATATTGCATGTTTATCCATATCAATCCCTCAAGAGCCTATCTTATCTCCGCCGTCTACACCAATTACACCTAATTCCTGCTATTCACCGTCGTCTGCTTCTTCACTGGAGTCGTCTGACGATTATTTTGGAAATGGCGAAATCAACTGTAAAGTATGAACAAAAATAGTAATGATGTTTTTACTCATCATCATCATCATATCTTTTCGCGTTTTTGTTACGCGTGTTGTAGCAATCAGTCGAAATCAGGGACGGCTTCAGCCTTGCTACTTGCCCCCCACCAAATTTCCCTCACATGGCTTTGGTCAACCCGGGCTAGGTTTACAGACACATTGCCAAATGTGCCACGAGCCGGGATTGAACCCGCGCCGTCTGGCTTACAGCTCACGCAATTAACCATTCAGCCACCCGCCCCGTGTTTTTACTTAAAACATTCTGATGTTGATTTCATGTTTAGATTAAATACGAAGATACTATTTCCGTCGTTCCTCGTTCTTCGTCTGTATCTGTCGAAAAACTAGAAATGTCAAAACTTATTGGAAAATGTGCTCAATCTGTTTTGGGAGAGGTAAGCAGAACTTGATTATTAGTGTTGATGTGGAGCTACATCCCACGGAGTCTTTTCTATTAAAAACAGACGTTACAAAAGTTGATCCCAGAATGAAGATCATCCTCCAAATAATGATAAAAATATGCCCCCTCCCCTCCCTCCCGATATCAGATATATTTACAGTGTTGTTCTGATATGTCATTTCCCTAGATTCATTACATCCTTGCTGAGTTCAATGAAGTTGGACGATTCACGAATCAAGAAATTCAAGTTGACTCTGCTTTATTTCATTTGGAACAATCTGCAGATTGCTTTTATCCTAAAGCTCTCATTACTTTAGCAAAGATATATCTTCAACTACCCCATGATAACCTGTCTTCTTTGACAATTGAGGTGTGTATATTATTATCCACCAACGTACCCCATGATAACCTGTCTTCTTTGACAATTGAGGTGTGTATATTATTATCCTCCAATGTATCCCATGATAACCTGCCTTTCTTGACGCATCTGTTCATTTTGCGTGGGTTTGAAAACCGAATAGACTGTATTTGTTCTCCCAGATAAGAGTGAACATCAAGTAAATGCCATTTCAGTCACTTTTCAACATCTAGAGTCAAAATGGGTCCAAATCAAAACGATTCCCAACTGCAAAATGTGTTTCCCACTATCAGAGATCTAGATCTAGAAATTTTAGGGACTCAAACATGAGAAACATTTGCACTTCAAAAAATTGTCGACTTTAGTGAAAATTGTAAACATGGCTTCGTTAACAGTTTCTATGACAACGTGTAGGAAAGCGGGAAAACAGATCACGTGGTGTGGAATGCATGGAGAACGCCTGCGATAGCGGTAATATTGAAGCAATGGTATATATGGCGCATGCGTGGGACACTGGCATTGGATTGGTCAACGGAAGGTAATTATGGATAAGAGAGGTCACTGTGACATGGAGACAAAATAAGAAACATACAAAAGGATAATTTCAATGAAGTGTCACAAATATTTTATTATGAATGTTATTACCAAAACATCAGCGAATATTTCTAACCAATAGGAACGGTGAGCTGGCTAAACACAGCCAGTAATCTATTTAAAATATACAGCACCAAGTTGTATAGTGAGCATTGTGTGACTGCTCTCTATATTCTATGGAGTGTTTGCATGTGACGTCATAGCGGCCATGTTGGGGAGTATGGCGACTGATGAAAACACTGTATATACTGTGGCTTTCAACAACTAATGGTTGTATAATTTGTTTTATTTTTAGGTCGAAATCGTGGTCTAAAGCTCTTTGTCTCTATGAAAATTTGATTCAAATACTGGAAAACGACACGAACATCAACAATCGTTGATTGATCCTCTCTCAAAATTATGCTCGCGCGTGGCAGAGATGTATCGAGAGGGTGGTGATGGGATTGAACGGGACTTAAGAAAAGCCGGAGATATGTACAATAGAGCTGGCGAACATGCGATGACTGAAATGAAAGGAAAGCTTTCGAATAAATATTTCATTCTTTCGGAGGAAATCATCTCTCAACTGGAGGATGTCGAATGACGTCATCATATTATGGAGTGAGTTGATTGTTGTTGCAATTATCGGTGACTTTTTTAACTGTCTTTTATCCGAATTTACTTTGTTTACGAAAATTTTACATTATAAAATAAGAGCTTTGTTCGGATTCTTTTTGAGAAAAGGTATAACTTTTACAAATTCTAGGTATTAAACAGATTCTTTGCCTTCGATGGTTGTTTATAAATCTTCGCACAGATTTTCTTGAACTTCCCAATCTTTCCGCCATCTTTGATTTTGCTCGTCATCGCTTTGATGCTTGCCTGAGTTTCGATGTCTTTTTCCCTCTTCTTTGCATAATGTTTCCTCGGCGGCCATTCTGGCTGCGACGCCTGCCGTTGTATGTTTAAGGTTGCCAAGTTCTTTTTCAATGCCTTCTCTTGTTCGCCTTAACATTTCGTCTTCGTTATTTTCGGACACGTTATCATCTCGGTTCTAAAGAAAAACGCGTTTTTCAGTGTGGACACGATCGTCAGTTTTTCGTCGTTTCATTTAAAATACCGTGGGAAAAGTTGGGTTCCAAGACATTTTTCTCGAGTAAACGGCAGCTTGTTGTGGTGACATAACACGGACATCTGTTGCCAGTGACAGTTTTCTTTCTGTTATGGATTGCCTTCGCCGTTGGTTTACCAGACTTTTCTCGCCTTTAACGACGTCACTGACCAATGAACTACGACGTCTTTCGTTTGAATTTTGTAACTTTCTGAGAAAGGGGCAAAAGTCATTTGATTAATCTTTAATAAATGTCGAGCGGCTCACCATTGTGTGGCAAAATTTATGAAATTGGGATGTCTAATACGTGAAATTGAGCACGAAAGGAACTCAATCATTCGAACAAAACAGAAGGAAAAAAAACACGAGACTTATCTATTCTTACACGAGTTTGTATTGTTGATGGGTTTTTTCTGATGTTGCCTTGTGATAAAACTTTTTTTTAGTTTAATTTGACATGAAAATGTTTTGAAGATGGGAAAGTGTTTGCTGAAGTTTCAAATTAAACAAATTGTCACAAATGTCGGCAGCACTTGCAAGACTGTCGTCTATGTCTCATCTTACCGTCACATTGATATTGTTTTATTCTTGATTTGTTTGCGAAGTTTGATGCAACCTGAGTAATTTCATCTTTGAAACTTAGTCGTCGTTCGTCTTTGTTGCTTGGAGACTTTTCTATTTCGTTATTGTCCGTCGCTAGAAAATGAAATATTATTTGTTTTCATTGGGAAGTAACTTAATTTTCTTTTTTTCTACATTTCAGTTCGTCAGATGAAACAAAATGTCGTCACTTCTTACTTTGTGCGAGAGCAGGTGGTAATTGTGGTGCGTTAGGAGTGCGTGTGGATCTTCGACGACTGCTGACTATAGGAGGCTGAGCGAGGGATGGCCTTCGCATTTCATTGAGCACGTCATCGATATCCTTTTTGCACCAAATATTTTCAAGAATTTGCACACCAGTGATGCGAGTTTCCTCATTTGGATCGAGCATTTGACGTATGAGATCGCGACAATCTAAAATATCATTGTAAGACATACTCCGTTCGCGAAACGCAACTGTCCATCGAGGAAAATATGTCATGAATAACAGACCTTTCGTCACGTTTCTTGTGAACATTAATTTCTTAGGTGTTCCTTTTTTTACGAACGTTTTTAATTCATCATCTCCGTACGGTAATCTGGAACAACACAAGGCGTAGAGCACCACACCTACACTCCAAATGTCTGCTGCAGCACCGTTGTAACTATCGCCACGTAATATCTGAGGACATGCGTAAGCAAAAGATCCACAAAACGTCTCCAGTGGTTTTTCTTTAAAAGTACTCGTAGCAAAACCAAAATCTTAACATAGATATCATGAATTAGGTCGTAGAAAGATCGGAATTTGTCGTGACGAATTGAAATAACCTCCTACCTGAAAGTTTAACTCGTCCTTTATTATCCATTAGTATATTCTCCAATTTTATATCGCGATGAACAACTTTTTCTTGATGACAATAATTCACAGCCAAAACCAACTGTTGAAACATCCTACGTATTTCCGCTTCGACTAAATTATCACTTTTGTTTAAGTGTTCTAACAAATCTCCCTTTTCTGCGTACTCCATAATGAGAAAAACCTTTGTTTGTGTTTCAATTACTTCGTAGAATTTCGTCTTGAACAAAAAAAGAAATGTTTTATTGCTAATTTTAAATCACGAAGAAAATAATCCACGACATACCACGTGAGGATGTTTTAATCTTTGAAGAACTTGAATTTCCCTTGGCAGGAATTTCGCAAGATATTCCTTTGATGCTCGACGTTTGTTAATGATCTTTATAGCAACATGACAGTTTTGTTTAGCAGATATTCCCAACTTAACCTTAGCGTATGCCCCTTCACCCAAGGTTTGCCCTAAGGTGTAACCTTTTGCCTCTAAGGTTGACTTCCGTTCAGATCTTTGAGGTAGCAATGAGCCTTTTTTCTGAACCAAAGTGATTGATGATATATTTGTGGTCATTTTTTAGTAAAATTACTCAAATTTTCATCATCTAGTCGTTTCTGTCAAAATTTCCATTCTTTCCGCAGATCTTTTTGTGACGTCATCGTTAATCAAAATTTAGTAATGCCCATTTAAATGAAGTATATACGTGGTATACTGAAACCGCTGAAGGTCTAATCTGCGGGCTTTTCCAAAAGAAACTTCGACAACAAAAATATCAGAAAAATGGCGAAGTGACTAAAGTTAATATGTTGAGAAGATTTGGATCTGGCTGTTTTTCAAGAGTATTTTCCTCTTTTAGCAGCTATAGAATCCCTGTTGTCTGTCTATTTCATAATGGAAATTCGGCAACTACAGAGGAAAAGGTACAAAATAAATTTTTGGTCTGTTTTTTGCCCTTTCACCTCTGGTTAAGTTCTTTAGTCGACTGTAGATTGAACATAAAAGTAATATTACTATAAAATGTGTTTTTATAGAAAGAACAGTTCAAAGGTCCTATTCCAATCGGTAAGAGAAGACAAAATTTTTTGCTTGATATCATTTTTACAAACAAACGTCTTTATTTTACAATGTTTTTGTTTTTGTTTCATCAGAAAACTTAACGATAAAATATTCAAGAAGTCCAGGACCTGGTGGACAAAACGTCAACAAAGGTGATATGCAGACTAAAATGTTTTTATTTTAAAAAAAGTCACGAAAATCTAACTCATTTTTTAACATGCAGTGAATACCAAAGTGGATATTCGTTTTCATGTGATGACTGCTGACTGGATTCCTTTGTGGATAAGGAAAAAACTATTTATTGAAGTAAATAACATTATTTGATTTTTGATATTAAATATGTTGTCAATAAAGATGAAGTGTATATGTGATATTGTACAGGAAGGAAGTCGTATCAATAAAGATGGTGAAATGGTTTTACAGTCGAGCAGGTTTAGAGATCAAAAGAAAAATTTGAATGATGTAATCGCGAGAATTGAAAGAATTTTACAAAATGTTTCCGCTGTGCCTAAAGAGACGTCTGAGGAGAAGAAAAACAAGATCAATAACATGTAAAACTTATTTATCCTCAACACACCTCACCATTTTTTGTCATAACTTTTCTAAGGTAAACATGTATTGATTTCTAGGATAAGATCACAGGATGAAAGACGCTTAAAGGAAAAAAAATTTCGATCTCAAAGAAAGTCAGAAAGATCTGGTCAACAATTGTGAAATTTTGACTTTTCTCATAACTAGCAATGTCTAAAAAATCATGTTGATGCTAATTTCATGCATGATACATGTGGTTGAATTTGCAAATAGTCTCAAAGACTGGAGAACTCTTTATCTATGTACTAAAGAAATTGGTTTGAGGTGGGGGGTATCGTTTAGAGTGATGATGACAACTGCATAGATTGTTGAAATGTTAGTCATCATCAACTCCAACAGTCTTTCTCAGGACTGAACTAACCTTTTTATCTACCTTAATGTTAGCCTTATGTCATGTCTACCTTTATGTCTACCTTAATGTAAACCTTTATGTCTACCTTTATGTCTACCTTAATGTCAACCTTTATGTCTACGTTTATGTCTACCTTTATGTCTACCTTTATGTCTACCTTTATGTCTACCTTTGTGTCTACCTTTATGTCTACCTTTGTGTCTATCTTTATGTCTACGTTTATATCTACGTTTATGTCTACCTTTATGTCTACCTTTATGTCTACCTTTGTGTCTACCTTGATGTCAACCTTTATGTCTGCCTATGTCCAATGATGTAGTCAGTCGCAAACGTTATGTAAATCATTAGGTAGTAACTTATTGTAAAACAATATGTAGCTTTTTAAAGAAATGATTAATATGATAAAACATTTACACAGTATGTACAAACTAGTCTTCAATTTTGTCCAACTATTCATTGAATCTTGCAGTCATATCTTATTGAGTTAAGGTTAATAACGGTTTTTGTTATTTGCAATTTACGTATGTTAACGAAGGAAGAGAATAGTTCTTTAGTTCTTTTGTTCGGCAACAATACGTTTTGTTTCTTATAAATTAGATTTGATAGATATCCGGTAATTTGTTCAAGTACAAACAATGAATGTTAATCATGTGGAACAAATACTTATAATGATATGCGTAACACCATGTATAAAAATACTATTCCCTTCAAGTTTGCCATATAAACCACGAGGCGTCATGAAAAGCAGATGTTGTTCACATGAGATGGAAGAAGACTATACACATAGGCGACAAGTATAAAGATTTGTGACTGTGCAAAGCAAAATAAAGTTTGTTGCCTTCAACTGTCATCGATAACAAGCTACCAAAAGACGTCTCGCTTGATTGCAGTAGTTTTTTCAACACGGTTCAAATACATCGGCATGCTTTGACCGCCAAAATCTTTGAATGCGGCAGAAAAGAACTGGAATCCGTGACTTTGAAGAAACTGTTTTGATAACATGGAAAGGTACGGTTCAAAATACGTGCTTTAGGACTGAAGTACCTACAAAAGAAGGTAGGAAAAGATTGGTTATAGCCGATAATTTGGGCGTAATCCGATCAACAACATGCTCCTAAGGGAGCCAATCACCATAAAAAAATTTAGTCATGACGTCAATTAAAGAAATTTTAACAATGGAGAATTAGTCACTTTAACGTTGTACGAAGAAAGGTAAATTCTGTCATTTTACTGACGAATTATAATTTACATGGAATAATCAACTAGTCTTAGGGTAGGCCTTGTAATATTAAAGGTTTCACTGTAAAATATCTTGACCGCGATGTTAAGCCTTGGTTCGTTTGAAAGTTCTTGATGCATCGGTTAATTTTCAAACTCAACTGACTAAAGCTATTCGTGCAATGTAGCTGAATGTTCTACCATTTGAATAGTCAAACATAAAAATATTGTAATTCTCTCATTCTCTATATATCTGTTTCATATTTTCTTATATTGTAGATCCCACAAGAATGGAGTTGTGAAAGTCCCTTTACCACCTGTGTCATTCACTTCAATTACTCTCACTAGTTTGTCATTACTCATGTGTCATGGTGATTCATGGCCAAGAATGTTTATGTGTAGTTTGGATTCTTTGTGGATGTCAGTTGTTTGTTCATATAATGATGATGGGCCCCATTGTTATATGAGCCCACCTAAAGGTGGTCAGCTGATATTCACGGAAGATCAACTCTGCACTAAGCATTCTTTGAGTGATAATATAACTGGGGTATTGAAGTGATCCCTTTTCCTCCGCTTGAAATTACCCGAAGATTGCATTGTATCATGGTATCAGTTGCTACTTTATTGGTTGATGATGCTCGTTACTTCGTGTATGGAATGGTGTAAACTTGAATGGACATTGGCATAACGGCATATGTACGTATGAAGACGGAGTATACTCTTCGAAGATGGAAAACAAGCGAGTTTTACAAGCGAGAAAACAAGTAGTGCTACTTTATTGGTTGATGATGCTCGTTACTTCGTGTATGGAATGGTGTAAACTTGTATGGACATTGGCATAACGGCATATGTACGTATGAAGACGGAGTATACTCTTCGAAGATGGAAAACAAGCGAGTGGAAAAATACGACCCATTTCTGGTGGTTTGTAAGTTGAGTAGATAAGTGTTAAAATTAACTTGTATGAGTAACTGCATGAGATAGTTAAAAAGGATCCTGATGGTCTATTTTTATGATTTGAACCTTAGTCATGAAAAACACCCAAATTGAAAAAAATGTCTCTAAAAGATGTCTCTTGCTTTGAGAAAATAGCTGGCTTTTACTCGCTACTTTTTACTTATTTCATTCAACGTTTATAAAAAAAATTGCATTGCTGCAAGTAGGGTAAATGAATTATAAATTGATAAGATACACGTTATAAATTGATAAGATACACATAAAAAACTGCGCGGTGAAAAAAAAGGAAGACACCGACTAAGTCGCCTGCATCAGACTGACCCCGACAACGCTTCGAAATCAGGTATTAAAGTTTTGTTCCTTTCAATACATTCAATTTCTGTTTTTGTTCATTCATTATGCTGACATTTATAATATGTTTTTTATAGAGTAGCTATGTCTGTAGGCCTACTAACTGGACAATCAATGAACGATCAAGTCGGGCAGAAGCACCAAGACACAAGCGTCGTTTCGTCCTTTCGTCCAAAAGAGAAAAGTCTTATCTTTTGCATATCTGTTGAATTTGAAAATGCGTTTTACTGATAACCTTGGTTATCAGTAAAATTGGTTATCAATGGTTATCAATGGTTATCAGTAAAACGCATTTTCAAATTCAACAGTTAAAAATTTCCGTAAAACTAAATTTTCACAATTGTTAAATTTTTTGACAAAACACACGAGTGAAAGCCAGCTATTAATGAAGGTTTTAAAGAAGCAAAATAGAAATTTCGAATAGAATGAAGTCTGTAAGACATCAAAAATGGTCTGGTCGCACGTATTCCAAATATTTTTTATAAATGGCTGGTATTAGTTTTCATTTTTCGTCTATTTATTAAAATTTTCGTTAATACTCTGCGCTCTTTCATTTTTTGTTCTCTACCAAAATTTGCGTTTCTTTTGTTTGCGCACAAAATATTCGCGGTGTCAATAAGGTAGTCAGCCCGCTTTTTTTGTCGCTTTGTAAATTTAAATTTTTTTATACGACTGCATGTATACGACGCACGCTGCATGTTAAAGTAGATCATCAGGATCATTGAAAACAACAAAAACATGAAACATCATAAAACTAAAAAAAATGAAGGAAATTTTTCTAAATATTTGATCTTTTCTTTTATTGGAGGGTTTTTTACCGGATCCGCTGGTTTTCCCTCCCATTTCGTTTTGTTTTGGTAAAAAAAAAACAGTGTCCACATTTGGGGCCAAGCGAAGCCATTTTTCGTAACATTATTTATTGTAGTTATCATGAATATTCACGTTTCTTTTTCATTTCTTGGCCTTTGGGTATATCTCCCAAAACACTGCCTTTAATAAATCGTAAATACAATAGCATACATTTTAAAAAATAGGTACGCAGTGCGTACATGTTGGCTGTTGAATGAAGTAGATTTAATTAACATAGTTGAAGTAACATATATTTAATATTATACACGTAAAACTTGTTCAAGATTTGAAAATGCTCCATAGTTATATAACCAAGTAATTGACTTACCCTGGAATCCGATACTACCAAGTAATTGCAACTGTTGGAAAGCCTGGAATATGATACTACAGTTATTAAAGATGAAATGTACGGAATTCAAAGTTCGGAGGCAGTTACGCTCGAGAATACGTTTCAATTAAAGGCTATAAAGAGCGTTGAGAGCTATTCTTTTTGTACGGTATAGTAAAGACACAATAATAGCTTTCTCTTGTATTGTTTGTGGCAGCACGCCACTTGTAGCCATCAACAATCTCTCCAAAACATTTTTGCGTATCACTACATACTGATAACAGAACAGGTTACCCTGTCTTTTAAAGTCAAGAAATTAAATTCACTTTTATGATTTATTCAAGCAACTGCTTCGTCGTGACTTATAGTGCACATTATCTTCTTTTGCACCATTTAGGGAAATGAAACAACAGTGTATCTCTCCTTCATTGATCCCATTGCAGCCGTGGTAGAAGGATACTGCTTCTCTGCTTTGTAACTCGGCTAAATATGCCATAGAAACTTTATTTCCGTGCAGAAGCGTGTGACGATTGCAATGACTTTAACATCCGACTAACTTTCACTTCTTGCAAAATCAAAAACTACTTTTCATTCAAAGATCCTATCCCTGATTCTATTAAATCTATGTATGGTGGTATACCAATTCGATTGTGCGGGATGTAATTCCCGATATGTTGACGGAAATTCCCGTCACTTGTCCTCAAGAATCAGGGAACACACCACAACTGACAAAAACTCACATATCATGAAGTTAATATAAATGTACACAGTGAGAGCTGTGATGTTGGAACATGTGAAGATGCCTACAATTATGTTAATTCTGCTGAATATTTTGAAGAATATCGCCCACCTGATAACGATGCCAACATTGAAAACAAATACTTATACAATAAATGGTACTTAGTGACATGTTCTTAGTATGTTCACAAGGTTAAATAGTTGGAATGTTATTAAACAAAAAGAATGATAGCATAATGCTATAACCAACAACTACAAACAATAACGACCTTATCTAACAACATTTGAGAAAATTTTCCTTTCTTCAAAGCAGAGAGCCTTATACGCTACAAGTCCCGGGCTTGTGGCGAACTCTGCTATAACGGTCACAAGCCCGGGACTTGTAGCGTCTAAGGCTCTCTGCTTTTGAGTAGACTTGTCTCGTTTACAAGGAAGAGGAGTGAAAGGTTAATTTCTCAAATGTTGTTAGATAAGGTCGTTATTGTTTGTAGTTGTTGGTTATAGCGTTGTGCTATCATTCTTTTTGTTTAATAACATTCCGACTATTTAACCTTGTGATTATACTTATTCATATCGGCAAGCGGGATGCTTGTAACAATCTATGTTTAGCATCGATAATAGATTCATTCTTTTCCAGTGGAAAGGGGGGTGCTTTCACTGAAGGGCAATGATGTATTGTCTAACATCAACACCGGATTATGTTACTGATATTTAATATAGAATTCGAGCTTTGTCCGTATGAACTGTTCAACATGCAACAAACAACAAGCAAACAAACAACATTTGTATACCGGCCAGTATTAATCCCCGCCAGGGGCGTTGACCGGTCCATGAACTTTTCTACGCCAAACGTCTCTATCTCTCGCCATATCTCTCGTTATACCCATCGCCTTCATATCACTGTTCACAGCATCCATCCATCTCTTTCTCGGTCTACCTCGTTTGCGGACTCCATCAACATTCATATGCAACGTTCTACGAATTTCAGCACTTTCTTCCCTCCTTTCCACATGCCCAAACCACCTCAAACGCTGGCACCTTACCCAATTCTCGATACACTCAACACCAACTCTTTCTCTAATCTCTTCACTTCGAATCCTATCCATCAACGTTACAACGTTACATGCTTCGTTACAACGAACTGTTCAACATGCTTCCAAACAAAAATGAGCAGGAATATTCAGTTTATTAATCTATGACAAACCTTTCACCTTTTAACTCTGCCATACCGGTCACAAGCCCGGACTTGTAGCGTATAAGGCTCTCTGCTTTTGAGTAGACTTGTTTCGTTTACAAGGAAGAGGAGTAGAAGGCTAATTTTCTTAAATGTTGTTAGATAAGGTCGTTATTGTTTGTAGTTGTTGGTTATAGCATTATGCTATCATTCTTTTTGTTTTTCTTAGTATGTGCTATTGTCATATTCTAAAATATTGACAAATTTGATACAATGTTTTATGACACATAAAATTATGAAATTTTGCACAATGTGCTCCAGGAAGTGAGTGATACTGAGTGATAAACTTAATGAAGTTTTCAAAATTGATAAAGAAATGAACAGTTTTGGGTTTTGGGAAGATCGAACTTGTCATCGTGGCTACCTAACTGTAAAATGTTGTTAATATTTGTATTGATAAGAAATATTTTAAATGAAAAATTGTTTGTGGTAAGGATGTTGGTCATTTGACCAAAGATATATAAATAAATTTAACAACAGTTTTTCAATTGTCTGTTATTGTTAAAGATTTTTACAATATTACTATCCATTTTCTTCTATGTTGTCCACATTTTTATGCTCTACATCGTTTGTAGAAATATTTCTTCTGTAATTTCTTGCTATTTCCTTAAGTTTCATCTGCAAAAAATTCATCATATTTTATGTAATTATTTACTAAACTCAGAAATTACAATAATAGTACAGTCAAACCACAGTATAGAAACAATTCAAGAGTAGTCGCACTCCATAGAAATTTTTTGTGTAGTGCATATCTTATTACCCATGTGATTAGCAAAGTGGCAGCCAGCCAATTGCTTTTTTAGCAGTCAAGCCGCAGCCAGTAATCTAATAAAATATACAGCACCAAGTTGCTCAGTGGAGTGAGACTACTGTATGTTTTCATACTGTGGTCAAACTTCTAGCTACTGGCACTTTGGAAGCAGACATTGCTCTTTAATCCTTGAAGCTATGCTATTACTGTACCTCTATTAAATGGACACTTCCCATAAATAAACACCAGTTACCACATGTATCAGTACATGCAAGATTTGACATGACACATAGGTCAATTATTTGTTATATGCTCAGAAATAAATCTCACATATTCACCTTATGGTCATTGACACATTTCCAAAAATTCTCCATCTCGCTATGACATCCTCCGACCCAACTATTTCTGTAACACTCGATCAATATTTTATGATAGTTTTCACATGCAGCAAGGGATCTACGAAAAACCAGAGAATGATTGTTAAAACACAACTTCATTTGCTTCTGTAGCAACAATCCCTTACAAAGATTTGATCATTTCATTTTCTTCTTTTTCTCCTTTCGCGTCCTCTGATTGTCCGAAAAATAATTTGAACACATCTCCAAAACCCATTCTCAAGTTATGAAGTTTGTTGGTGGGATCTTCGGACAAAGTGGAAACACTTTACAAATTTCCGTTGTCATCATCATCGAAGTCGCGTGATCACTTCGAGACAGAGAAGATCGTCCATTGAGAATGCTACTTCTTCGCTTTAATATCTGAGGTTTTAGCCGTATTGTAAGTTATAAAAGCAGCAGTATTGTTGCAAGTGATTGACTCTAGCTATGTCTCGCCCGCCTGATAAAATACGTTCCCGCATAAAGCAGTTGTTCGGCTTAAAACGAGAGACGAGCGACACTTCATCTCCTCAGTCACCAGCGAGTGTGATTGAGGAACCCGTTGATTGTTATGAATTACTGAAGGTAAGGTAAAGATGCAAAGGAAATAATAATGCTTTAGTTTGCATGATCTTTCGTTTTGTACTGACTAATAATGAGTATTTGTTGCATTTAGGAAGTGACACAAGAATCTGGCAACACTCGATCGTCACGTGCCAGGATTCTGAAGGAACTCTGTGAGGTCGTGGCTGCCAAACAACTGGAGCCGGTATGTCTCATCTTGAAAATTGGTAGATTTCATATTAATCAGATGTTGTGTACAATTATTGCATACCTTGCCACAGACTGTCAGGGTTAGGGTTATGGTAGGACTTGCAGGTGGTACAAGTGTGTGGTAGGGTTAGGTTAGGGTTATGGTAGGACTTGCAGGTGGTACAAGTGTGTGGTAGGGTTAGGGTTAGGGTTATGGTAGGACTTGCAGGTGGTACAAGTGTGTGATAGGGTATTCTATGATTGCTCCTATTGTTTGTGGCAGCCTATTAGGAAGGTCTTTATGTCCTTGAGAATGAGGTCAAAGAAATTTTTTATATCAATATTTTTAAACATTATAGCGTGGAGTTCAATCAATGTGGGAAGCTGTAAAAGATTTACTGAATGAGGAGAATACCGTGGATATTCGACATGTAACATTGCAATTTCTTACAGCACTTGTGACTGGTCAGGTCTGTCAAAATTGTCTGTTACAAGTATTTTTTGTTTACACAGAGAACCTGTTATATGTTGATGATAATCTTCTGTTGTAGTATGATCATTTAAAGTTATTGCGCGCTCATTTTTTCTCTGTAATGGAAAATCAAAACATTACTGAAGACCTGACACCAAGGTAAAAGACTGTGAACATTACTTATGCAGTCCATTGCCCAAGTTTCTCATTAAAAATTGGTTGATTTTAAGGTTGCATTTTCTGAAAGCATTATCATTAGATGGCAAAGATATTACATACTTTGAAGAGAAGATTGGTAAAGAATACACCTGTAGTTGATTACATTGTTCATTTTGTCTTAATAAATATCTTTTTTCATGTATTTCAGGGCCATTTCTCTTGTCAACTATGCCTGCTGTTATCTTTGCCGAAAAGTAAGTAAATGACTATATAAAAGAAGTTTTTTTATCCTATATTGATCCTCTATTGATCCTCTATTGATCCTATGTGTATCCCAGGTATCTCTAATGCTGGAAATCATGTTTGTCATGTTACTACAAACAAGTCTCCCCTCTCCCCCCCCATGTTAAGCATATCAACACATATAATATTCCTTCGTTCACTATTGAGTCTTTATCCATATATATCTGCGTTCACTATCTAACCTCTATCCATATATCTCATCTTTATCCACTCAAATCCCCTTGTACAGATCATGCACAAAATCTTGCAAAATCACGCATTATCTGGCAACTTCTTGTAAGATTACATCAAGATCTTATCCAAGATGTTCTACCTGGGTATCCACTTACATCCCCTGTTCACTATCTAAACTCTATCCATATATACTCCTCAGTGCACCATTTAATCTCTATCCATATATACTCCTCTGTGCACCATTTAATCTCTATCCATATATACTCCTCAGTGCACCATTTAATATCTATCCATATATACTCCTCAGTGCACCATTTAATCTCTATCCATATATACTCCTCTGTGCACCATTTAATCTCTATCCATATATACTCCTCAGTGCACCATTTAATCTCTATCCATATATACTCCTCAGTGCACCATTTAATCTCTATCCATATATACTCCTCAGTGCACCATTTAATCTCTATCCATATATACTCCTCTGTGCACCATTAAATCTCTATCCATATATACTCCTCTGTGCACCATTTGATCTCTATTCATATATACTCCTCAGTGCACCATTTTGATCTCTATCCATATATACTCCTCTGTGCACCATTTATTCTCTATCCATATATACTCCTCAGTGCACCATTTAATCTCTATCCATATATACTCCTCAGTGTACCATTTAATCTCTATCCATATATACTCCTCAGTGTACCATTTAATCTCTATCCATATATACTCCTCAGTGTACCATTTAATCTCTATCCATATATACTCCTCAGTGTACCATTTAATCTCTATCCATATATACTCCTCTGTGCACCATTTAATCTCTATCCATATATACTCCTCAGTGCACCATTTAATCTCTATCCATATATACTCCTCAGTGCACCATTTAATCTCTATCCATATTGTTTACAAGGTTGGACCTATTTCTGCCATTGCTTCGAAATTTCATTCGATATAATTCAAGTTATTTGGATGAAGATATTCTCGCTGGTTTAGTAAAGTTAGTTTTCATTCATTATAAAATATTTCTATTTCCTTTTGTAAAACATTTTCAATGTGTAGTATCTTTTAGACAAACATGTCACATTTGTACATCAACTGATCAAACAACTGAGCTTGAGGTGAATACAATTTGATTTTTAAAATTTCATCTAACTACGCACATACATTTTAATCTTTTTCTTTGCCAGCAATGTCTTGAAGTTCTTGACGCTATCGTACGCTACAGTTCTCTTCCATCTTCTGCTCTCTATTCATTTCTTGTTGCTGTCTGCAATACCGTAAATATCAAACAATTTGTGAACCCAGTTGGCGGGTAAGATAAGAACATTGTTTTTATTCTCTATGTAATACGTTTTGTGAATGCTTTTGATATTTTTTGATATTACTGCAGTTAATGCGTCATCTACTTGGCGGCCATCTTGGTCATAATGCAGTTCTTACAATGTGTTGCATCCTTGAGGACAGGTAAATGATTTTCGATATTAAATATTAAAGCAAATAATCGTTATAAATATGTTTTCATTTTCAAGCAACAATTGGAGCAAGTGTTCTTTATTACGTGGTGCTGTATTTTTCATTGGAATGTGTTTATGGGGATCGAAACGAGTGACAAGTTTGATGCATAAACCTGTTGCTGTTCTTCCTTCTTTTCTGAAGGTTTGTTCTCTTGTCACGTGATTTTATTACGTCATTCATCGTCTTAATAATGGTGTGACGTGTGCCAGAAAAACCCGCTGCTCTATCGCGTTGTTGTGTCTTATATTTCCCTATGTTATCCTCTATATCCCATATTCTTCCTGTGTTATCCACTATATCCCATATCTTTCCTATGTTATCCTCTATATCCCATATTCTTCCTATGTTATCCACTATATCTCATATCTTTCCTATGTTATCCTGTACATTTCTCTCAGGTCTTATCTTGTGCTCAACAAACCGTCATTTGTGAAGTCACATTGTCAATGCAAAGACTCGTCAAAAAATATGGTCTTCATCAACATGACGTTGCTTGGCAATCCATTTTGGAAATCACGTCAGCTTTACAAAAGTTCGTTGAGGTACAAAATATGATGTTCTAATCTGCGCTTAGTTCTTTTTTTGGTAAATTTTCTCGTGTATCATCTTCCACAGGACAATTCATCGTGTGGACCTGTTGTATCGGAAAGCTTTCATCTTCTTCTCTCTTATATTGAAGAACTTTATGAAAGACACGAGTTTAATGGATCAACTGATAAATTGTTTGAAATCGTCGCTAAATGTACAAAAAGTAGATCGGTAGGTATACGTCATGTAAGATATGATATACCTTTATAAGTTGACATTGATTTGTTGTGTTTTAGGAATCATCCGTAATTCTCCTTGTGTCCTATCGTGCCCAGTCCCTTCATCCATATTGTGAAAAGTGGTTTGAAAATATTCATGGTTTAATGAACAACTATTTCAAGTAGGTTGAATATCACATGTTGAATATTCAATTAACCCAAGTTGTTCTGTTTTTTTGATCTCTGAACTTACATTTTAACAGAGACGAAGAAAGACCCGCCATTCGACTTAAAGTTTTGGAAGTCCTTGGAAACATACTGGGAAAGTTTTCCCCCCTGTACGAGGTTTGTATCTGTGGGAAGTTTTTCCGCCTGTATGTTGTTTGTAGGTGTGGGAAGTTTTCCCCCTTCTACGAGGTTTGTATGTGTGGGAGGTTTTCCCCCTTCTACGAGGTTTGTATGTGTGGGAAGTTTTCCCCCTTCTACGAGGTTTGTATGTGTGGGAAGTTTTCCCCCTTCTACGAGTTTTGTATGTGTGGGAAGTTTTCCCCTTCTACGAGTTTTGTATGTGTGGGAAGTTTTCCCCCTTCTACGAGTTTTGTATGTGTGGGAAGTCTCCTCCTAGACAAAGTGTGTGTGAATGGAGAAGGACAATTGGTTTATGTTTTATGTTTTTAGATTTAGATCTTCCAAGTTAGTAAAGTCCTGAGAAGGACTGTCGGTGTTGATGTTGGTGTTTGACTCTGACGTTTCGACATCCTTACCTGCAGTTGTTACTAACCTGGATTATGTACATCTACAAATATGTAACGATACCCTGGTTCAAACCATTTACTTAATAGTTTGTTTAAACATTGATGATTTAGGAAGAAATCTTGGAAAATTCAGTCTTGCCATTTTTGGATAAAATCGCCGAAGATCCCCATTTATCTGTTCGTATTCGCGCCGTTGAACTCCTTGTCGATGTTGTCGAAAGCTCAGATTCTCCGAAAGTTGCTGATGTTTTGAATATTATTGAAAAAGTAAACGAAGTGACATTACTTCTATGGTCTATGTTTGCAGCTTTCCTTATTTTTAATTAGATCCTTGTTATAGGTTGCATTATCCCCAGTTGATCCCTTGAAACGTCAAGTTACCCAAATATATGACAGTCACAACATCAGTGTAATGCAGGATGATACGTCGTTGAGTGACATCAAGGAAGTCGTTTTGGCGTTAGTTCGTTTGTTCAAGGTACAAAATTCTTCATCAAGTCTTAAATTTTCTCTTAAAATGAAATGTTCGTCTTTTTTCTATAGATAAAATTATTTCGCAAACCTTCAGAACATGCTGAGAGAATGTTTGAAATTCTCGTCTCTCACATCAATGCACATTATAACCATGGTTACAGAACGTATATTGCAGCCGAGATAAGACTAGAAGTAGGACACGTGACATTGACGTTATGACGTCATCTGTATCGATAAGTTGTCGTTTTATTATTGAAGTTGGTTTTTTTTAGATTTTAAAATGTTTCCTAAGTCTACGCGCGGACAGTTATCGACGTTTGGGAATCAAGAATAAGGATGAAAAGATAAAGTTTAGCTCTTACTTTATCTGTAATGAAAGGTTAGTATGTTTTGTAGACATCGAAATTATCTTTCTATTTCCCCTAGTGATCATAGAAATCCATCATTGTCTATATGTATACCTCCCTTAGTGATCATAGATATCCATCATTGTCTATATGTATACCTCCCTTAGTGATCATAGGAATCCATCATTGTCTATATGTATATTTCCCCAAGTGATCATAGAAATCCATCATTGTCTATTTTTATGCCTCCACAAATGTTGAATGCATCAGTTTATTTTTCTTTATTTAGTTCATCTGAAATCACGACTCTCGTAGTTCTCCCATTCAGTTCAGCGATGAAAGTTATTTTAAAGTGTCTACAACAGGTATGCAGTTTATTATCAATATTTCATGTCATGGTACTGTCACTGGACGTCTTGTATATGACAGGAACTGGAGTGGGAGGTCCTTGATGTTGTCCTGACAACCATTCCACAGACCCTTGAAGATAAAAATCTGATTCTTTCTGGAAAACAATATCTTGGTTCTCTTTGCACCGTTCTTTCAAAAATGGTAGGATATTGAAATGTTTTTTGTCTTTATTGCAGAAATTTAATTTGAGCACTTTTGTTCTTTGTATCTTTTTACCAGGTTTCAAACTACGATTTTCTTACGGGATTATTTCGTGTTCCACACGAAATGCGTCGACCTCACTTGTATACGAAAATATTTCCGGTCTGTTATTTCCCGAGATTTCATTAGAAATTTTTTGTCTTAAATGAAGTAATGGATTGTTTAGGTACTCACGCAATTGTCTACATATCATTCTTATATTGGTGCAGAAGAACAAGTAAGTTAATGTTTATCAAAGATTGTTTGATCGTGGAATTAAAATGTATTTTAAAAATCCTAAGGCTGGTTGCACGAAGCCTGGATAGCGTTATCCATTGATTTGCAAGTTTTTTTAAACTTTTATAAAACGTTTTAAAAATCAAAAAAATACAAGATTCGAACTGAAATAAGATATTGTTTCGAAGATTACAAAATTTCTTTGTCATAAGAAAATATAAACACCTTTTTTACAAGTTTGAAAAATTGTGCTATCCAATGGATAACGCTATCCAGGTTTGTGCAACCGGTCCCAGAAGTATAAAAATGCATATGCAATGGTTTGTTTCGATAATTACCGCTCTGTAAGCTATTGCATTGCAGTTTTATTATATATACCCTGTATGTTTTTGTTTATTGAAACAGAAAGTTTACTTTGTAAATAACTCATTGATTTTTGTATTTTGATCTCACTTATATCGCAGTTATTCTCAATTAAAGTTTTCACTTTTATTAAAGTTTTGTCTCATGCACACTATGGAGATTGGTTTGGTTTCATATTCAGCAGCTTTATGCGTCTCCTGTCTTACTTTGTGTATGTTGGAGATGCCGTCGGTTATGGCAAAGTATGAGTACATTATGGATCATCGAGGGATAATAATTTTAATGCACTGAAATTACATAAATTTTACTATTTATAGGTTATTACCAACTTATTTGGAAAAATTTACGAAACTTTCACCAACACCTCAAGTGGCTTTACCACTTTTGGAATTCTTATCAGGTATCAGACAATCAATGGTCATCATTGAGCATTGTTTTCATACTGTTAAACGAGGAATTTTCCTATTTATTTCGTGTTTCTTTCTAGCTTTATCAAATCTTCGTCATTTATACGCAAACTTTACGTCTGTTCAGTTAAAACAAGTCTTTGGTGTTTGTCTTCATTTTATTGATTCCACAAGGTTTGTGATAGTGATCCATTTTAAACTATCGTGTTATTTTCATTATTTTTTTAATGTTTTTATCAGATACTCGCAATACACTGTTACTTTGGCTCATAATGTTATTTCATCGTGGTTTACTAATTGTCCTTTGTTATTGAGGAAGCAATTTGTATCATTTATAACAAAGGTAGACATTGCTCTCATCAACAGCCATCATGGACGATAATTGTACTCTCTTTATTTGCTTTTTTCCCACAGAGTCTTAGACTTACTGTTCAATCCCACAATACCCCATTATCGTACCCTAGTGTCCCTACTTCATCTAATATTTCACTGTTATCCAATGACGTTGGTACCAGCAGATTGAGTGCCGAAATGGTCGAGATCGCCATTGATATGATGGCAAAATATACATTCTCCTCCGAGCTCTCCCAGCCCAAGAGGACTGCTGTTATTGATAATCTCCTAGCCAATGGAACGTCGCGAAGTTGGTTACTAGGCAATGCTCTTGTTACCGTGACTGTGAGCAAGTGGTCACCTAGCAACATGTCATGCGTACACTGTTCTAGTGAAAGTTCATTATGTAAGGAGGCTTCCCCCCGGCTAAATAATATAAATACGGTGTTGACTGATGATAACAAATCAAATCAAACGGAAAATTTGGAAAGACCGCAGAACATTTATCATGCGGGCTCATCGTTTTGTTCTAAAGATAGTTCAAGTTGTTTGTGTCAGGGCTGGGCCGAGCTCTTTATTCGACGGCCAAGTGGAAATACGTCCTGGGTACTAAGGTTGCAGAATCGTCCAACATCTAGCGACATTTTTGTCGGCGGAGGTTCGCGATCTCAGGTTGAGTTGACGTCACCGGAGATTTACGATAGTTTGATTCCGAAAGAATTTTTTGGTGAGGAAGAAATTTTATGGAAATGACGAGCGAAATATTTGTTTTAATTCAATGTGTTTTTTGTCTGATTCAGATGATTTATGGGCAGAAGTGAGAGAAGAAAAATCAAAAGAAGTTTTAGCATCAACCACAGGATTACTCAGTAAAAGTGCTGACAGCGATACACTTATCGTAGATCTTGTAAAAGATGACGAAGTTCAAAATACGACCAAAATGAACGCTGAAGATGAAGTCGTTGGTAAAGAATCTTACGGTTGAATATTTATTAATCATAATATGATTGTGGTACAACGAGGGTTTCATTGGGACGATGGGGGACCTTTGTCACATTGATCACTTAAAATATTTATTTAGATAAAAATACTGGAAGGAAAGTGTCCTTTAGCCAGGATGGAGGACCTGAGAATGATAATAACATTGGTTCTTTCGTTAAACGAACACGGTATCTTAGTCATAGTCCGAGGGATGGACCAAGTGCCTTTATGGTACGCATGCTCAGTAATGAATAATATTTTACTGTGCTACGATTGCAATTTTGATGTTTATATAGGGTCTTGATGGAGTTAAAGATTCTATCGATGACGCACTTCACGAAAATCCACCTGAAAGTATGTTCTCCCCTTCCATATCCTTTCATATCTACCCTATTCTTTGCTTTTTCTAACTCTGCTTCCCTTCATCTCTTCTAAAACTCGTCTTTTCAATTTTTCATTTTTAGTGGAATGCGAAGATTTGTCCCAATCACCTGTATTTGAAAAGGTAGTCAACTTTTTTTTTCTATTTTGATTCTCTCTTTTTATCTTTTTGTGTAAAAACTCCCATAAATGTTCATTTCTTTAAGCCTGTCGTTGGGAAATCTCCATTGGATGCAAGTCCCTTGAAGAAATTTCTTCAACAAGATAAGAAATATTTGAACGAAGATTCTGTATGTTCACGTGATGAGCTCGTGTCGAAATAATGTCTTTTTTTTGAATGTCTTTCGTTTTTCAACAATTTCAGGACAGTGATAGCTTTGAGGAAACTCTTGTGAACTCAGGTAAGTGTTTATGCTAAAGGAAGGAAGAAAGGAAGGAATACATAAAATTTCTTTTTCAGATACGACGTCAGATCTTCAAGAAGACACCTTACAAAATAATTCTCCACTGATTTCAAGTAATTCTCACGATTTTGATAAAGATGAATCAACTTCTGTAGATGGTACAACTTCTGAAGATGTCACAACTTCATCACCAACATCTTGTGTTCTCAATACATCAAACTGCGAAGAAAATGAATCTACCAGGAGTTTTCACTCTCTGCCAAACTCCCCAACATCTCAAACTTCAGCTTGCAATTCATCACAGAATATAAAGCGAAGTTTTAGTCCATTGTTTGGCTTTACTGGAGATAAAGTCCCTACAAGAAACTTTCACGTTAAGACGAACAAAAGCGCCACGGTTGACATTGGTATGTTAAATCGATCTTCCTCCTATGTTGATGTCGAGGAAAGCGTTAAAGGAAAACGAGGTTGGAAGAAATTAATTAAATGTGTTTGCCTTCATTTTCATGATGTTAATTGAACGTTTTTGCTCCTGTGTAGGTATATCAAAGCTTTTCGAAAATGACAATGGAAAAAAACAAACAGTTTTACTAAGACGACAGACTATGTCTGGTAGTCAACTGCCTAAGAAAAAATTAAATCGCAGAAGTTACGATGGATCATTTTCCGATACAGCGACGATGAATCACGAAAACAATGACGAAGATATTCCGATGACTTATGACGCAATGAGTCCAAACTTCATTTTCTTACAATTATATCATTTGTCGTGGTTTGGCAAGGATCACACTCCACATGCAATACCTGAACAAGAGGTCAGTTGGTGTTCGTCTTCGGCGGCTAGAGAGTTGCTTACGACCTTATTGTTACATGTACTTCTATTTCACGACTGATTACACTCCTTTCGTCTCATCATGGCCAGTAAATTATGTTTTTCTTATGGCGTTGTGTTTTTAGTTCTTCCATCGCGCTGTCAAGAATCTTGATCGTATCATGCCTTACGATACACACAAGATAGCCGTCATTTATGTAGCTGAATATCAAGAAAATGACGAAGTAGCTATCCTTCGTAATCAATATGGGTCATCGAGATACATGGAGTTCCTGTCAGGTCTTGGGGAGCTAGTCAGACTTCGTGACTGCTCTGTTTGTGATGTTTATACTGGGGGACTGGAAAGGAATGGCGTTGATGGAGAATATGCATATTGTTGGAGGAGTGAGTTAGCTCAAGGTATGTTGGTCACGTGCTCAAGATATGTAGGTCACGTGCTCAAGATATGTCGGTCACGTGATGAGTTTAATTGTTAAAGTTTGATGGGTAGGTAGAAATGTAACACCTTTCAGTATTATGTAATGCATGAAGGGTAGACAGGTGTTAGGAGAGGGTAAAGGAGTATAGGAAAGGGTAAAGATGTGTTGTAGATGGTAAAGATTGGTAGGAGAGGGTAAAGAAGTGTAAGAGAGGGTAAAGATGTGTTGTAGATGGTAATGATGTGTAGGAGAGGGTAACGAAGTGTAGAAGAAGGGTAAAGATGTGTAAGAGAAAATAAAGACGTGTAGAGAGCATAAAGAATTGTTTGGGAACTCAGGCATTTGTAAAATATTTGTAACACAATGATGTTTTTGTTAGTGATGTTTCATATTGCAACGTTGATGCCAAACAAAGAAAAAGATCCAAATTGTCATTCAAAGAAACTTCACATAGGAAATGATAATGTAACCATTGTTTATAATGATTCAAAAACAGAATACAAGATGGGAGTCATAAAGGTAGAAATTTGTTGACGTTTTCTACTGATGTTGGTCGTAAGCGTAGGGGGGGGGGAGTTATCATTCCTAGGGACAAAGGGTTGGAGTAAATATTTTTTACAGTATATATTTATGTATAGTGGACTACCTGATTTCGAAATACACGTCATAATTTCTTTCTTTGTATTTTTTCGCCTGGCGAACTTTGTCTAATTATCAAACTTTTCCTCTCTTCAAACTTATCTGAGAATGTTGTTTCCTCCGGTCTCGCAAATGTGTGGATCATGTACGTTTTGTTGAATGTTTTCATGGATTGATTTTGTAGGGTCAGTTTAACTTTGTGGAAATTGTTATCAAACCGCTGGATAACCAAACCAACATCGTTTGTTTAAATATCAAAGATGAATTGAAAGAAATATTAATGAATTCTAACCTTACTCCGAGGATTATATCGGACAAGAATCTTGCAACATTGGTTCGCCATATGGCTTTACATGTAAACGTAAGTCTACATCATAACATAAACCCTCAGCATACTACTTCAAACTTCACAAATCTTTTCTTGTCTCGTTATAAGATGTCATCTGTCATTTATCAAAGTCAAAAAACACCAACTGATGCTTATTGTTGTAACAGACTACAACGTCTACGACAACTAAAAAGAATCAAGTCACGTATTCCTACTGCAGAAACTGAATCATTAATACACAAGAGAGAGACTTATAGTATTGTAGACTTTACAAAATATATTATTTAATTATATCCTATATTCCCTGTTGCAGAAACTGAATATAGTTCACCAGTGTGGTGAAGATTTCATCGTTATAAATTCTCTTTACTTTGTCACAACATGGCAAATTTGACCTAAAATTTCCCCAACATGTCAATTTTCACATTTCTGCTTGTAATGTAAACTTTACTCAAATATCAAATTTCTTGTTTGACCTATAATTTGAGTCTAGTAGACGTCCCCTCGTGTTTTGTTTCTTCTTCTGCGAATAAATTGTTTTCGTTTTGGAAATCAGCTGTTGAAAATATTCCAACGCTTTACAAGTTGATAAAGTATTGAGGTTCGTCTGGGTTGATTTACTCACTTCGCTCTTTTTTATATGAAATCGTTTTTGATAAAATTGCGGTTAAATGACTTAAATTCACTGGAATATCTTTTACTGTTTGTGATTCTAATTTGCATTTCACCCTTTGTTAGTGTTTGTTGCTTGAAACATAAGCAACGATTTATTTTTGTTTATTCCAATGTAGAAATGAGCTACGACGAAACAGCGTCTTCGTTTTCAAGGTAAACTGTTTATAAACTGCCAATCTGCACATTGAAATGGAAATTGGCAATAACCACTTATCTAATGCTTGTTAGTAAAGTAAGCGTTTCTCGAAAAAGTAATTTGTAACGCAGTTAAAAGCAAGAAAAGTGTGGCTTTTTATAAAAGAAAAATTTATGTTTTCGTTTGCGCGACTGTTATTTAGATATTTTTAACTGCACATGTTTTATTTTATGCTATCTATCTTTAAATTTTGAATGAAACCAATGGCTTTGAAATTGAACACTGTAATTGCTTGGAAGTCTTTTCCGTTGCTAAGCGCTGTGGGGCTGTGGAGAGTTGGGCCTACTGGTTGGGCCTCGTTCATACATCAAACGTTTACGGATATTTTTGAACTGAAGATTTTTGATAACGCCGTTTCCGTGTATACGAGTGGACGGGCGAAAACGGAGGTTTTTGAAAACGACGACTTTGACCATCGAGTCCAGTCAAAAGTAGATCAACTACTTTGAAAATGACGGATCATCAGTGCTCAGCAGTGCTTGCCTCTTTTACTTTGAAAGTTTCCCAGGAGACGCGCAAGATCGATAATTGGGGGGGAGGGGGGGCCGGGGGAATTCATATATGAATGTTCTATTTTAGTAGTTTCTACTGAAATCAGTTGCTGTCATGGATTAACACGGTGTAGCAGTCTGAGCGCTGCCCTAGTCTTTATGAGTTCCTATTTCTAAATGTAACAATAGTGAAATATAGTTCTAAATTATTAGTTTGCGAGACATAGTACTTTTGCCATGAGATCAGATCTTTTAATAGAAAGCGATGAATCACAATCTGTGTGGAAACCAGTCCCACCTGATGTGATAAAACGAAGCTCAGGCTTCTTTTCTTTAAAAGAATCGCAATGATGTGCTAGTATCACTTTACTCAACATAATTATATAGGGAATAAATTGTGTTTTGAGCCCAAGGGTCGTGTTTTTGTTACTTTTCTCTAATCACGTTTTGAAAAGTCTTTATTTCTGCGCATGCTCAGCGGCTACCCACAAAAAACTTTACTCAAGTGTCAAATTTCATGTTCGACGCCTCTATCTGCCCTCGTGTTGTGTCTTTCCTTCTGCGAATAAATTGTTTTCGTTTTGGATATTACCTGTTGATATTTTCCAACACTTTACAAGTTGATGAACTATTGAGGTACGTATGGGTTTATTTACTGTGTTTGTTTTATATGCATTTAGAAATAATTTCGAAAAAGCACTATTGCCAATACACATTTAATATACACGACAACTTTTTTGAAAATAGACATGTTTCGACCTCTCATGATGCCATCTTCAGTATGAATGAAATAATAGGTGATACAGGGTTTATATAAAAGTAATATGATACATAAATTAGAACAATAAAAAGGAAATAAGATAAATTAATGAGGAGCGTCCGAGCGTATTATAAACTAAATATTGTATTGAATTTAAAAACTTGAACATTGAGGTCAGGGTTAGTTTTGTTAATGTGGAGTGCTTCTTTGATTTTAAGAGTGAATGAGGTGTCGGCAGTATCGATGATTTTGAAACAAGAGGGTGAATAGTTGGTTTTGCATGAGTGAGATTTAAGAAGGTGCCGGTAGATGTGAGAGTTTTTGTCTGTTGTGGTATGTTCCCTGATTCTGGTGGATAAATGGCGCGAAGTTTCGCCAATGTATCGGGAATTACATCCCGCGCAATTGAATTCATATACCACTATAGATTTAATTGAATCAGGGATCGGGTCTTTAAATGAAAAAAGGTTTTTAATTTTGAATGATGTGAAAATTAGTCAAATGTCAATATCTGTACAGAAGCGTTTCATAATGTTTGTAAGGGCCTGTTCACACTTAGCTCACTTTAAGATCGATCCGAGAAGATCGATCTGAGATCGATCTTGTGAATGACCAAGCTGAATTTTGTGTGCGTTCACACTTATCTGACGCTACACGTAAACCGAGCTAGTTTCCTTGACAACAAAGTGTTGTATTTATATTATTGCAATCCTAATATGGCGGACGAAGTAATCGCAACCATTTTCAATATTACATCTGAATACCACAAAAAGATGCAAATGCGTCGTGTAAGGAGGAAGAAATATTGTTTGAAACTGAGAAAGCAGCGAAGTAAAAGAAGGGACGGCCTGTTTTATTTTTGGTTTATTGGCGCTCTAGGAAATAAATTAATGAGTGAAAGACGTTTCTGGGTGGATGCAAGCAAAGGCACCGGTTTGTTCTGGGAAAAAACTATCGATATGTGGAAAGATGATGGGTTGTGTCTAGAAAATTTTCGTATGTCTAAAGGCTGAAACACACTAGGCAGTCGCTTTAGTCGCGCGTCTAAAACTACCACTTTGCGTGGTTACTAAGCTAGTAGCTTAGTCGCGTCAGCTAGTCGCTTTGAAAGTTCAACATGTTGAACTTTTGACATTGGTCGCTTCAGTCGCTTTACACTGATTGGCCAATAGATACATTTTAACTTCCTAAATGCATATCATATTCCCTGTCATAAGCATCATGCGAAATTTATAGATTATACCTTGGAAAACGAAGGCAATATATAGTGAATTCACACTGGAATCTTTCAGTTTTTATATAACTTATCAAATAGGGACAATAGGAGTTACAAACTGGAACCCTAATGCACAACCTAAGTGCACAGAATAAGATTATCCACAATATACGCGTAATGGACTATGATCATATTGGCGTGTTTTAACTGGCTTGTTCTCTTTTCTCCACATAGTAGTCTGTACTGAGTAAATATTCATATATTAGTAGCTATAATAAAGGCCAAAATAAAAAGTTTAAGTGATATCTGTGTCTGTAACAAACTAAAATCACCGCCATGTTCAATAGACGCCAGGGTAAAAGTCGCGATGGTCGCTGCATGTGTGTTCCTAGCGTTCAAGCGACTGACGCGTGCGCATCAATTCGCTTTGGACGCGCGACTGAAGCGACTGCCCAGTGTGTTTCAGCCTTGAGGGAACATTCGATTTCATTTCCAACAAGATCAATGACACTCTTTTGCTTGAAGATACAAATTTCAGAAAGGCTATCCCTGTGCCAAAAAGAGTAGGAATTTGTCTTTGGCACTTGGCTACCAATGAAGACTTGCGTTCTTTAGCTTGGCGTTTTGGTATAGGAAAAAGTACAGCCTGTGAAATCGTGAACGAGGTTTGCCAAGCTATTGTTGACGTGTTACTGCGTCTTGTTATCAAATGGCCAACGGGCGATAGACTGCCGAGTATCGTTGATGCCTTTCTAACGAAATGGGGCTTCCCTCAATGCGCTGGAGCCATTGATGGCACTCATATTCAAATTGTAGCACCTTCAAATTCTGCACAACATTACTACAATCGAAAAGGATTCTACTCTATTGTTCTCCAAGCTATTGTTGATCATCAATACAGGTACCAAAACGTACTGCTTTTGTCAAGGTTGACTTAAAAAGTTTTTGCCTCCCTGTTATGCAACTGGCATTTTTCACATTCTAACAGTTTTTAGATCCCATGGGGTCAACAGTGATGTAAAATAGGTTTCTTATTAATTTAGACATGTGTTTCAACCAGTTGAGTAAGTAAGTTACACAAAGTGAATTAAATTACACACACTTAAAAAGTAAAAGAATATATATTTAAAAAATTTTGAAGATTCACTGACATTTGCAAAAAGTGGCTAGGTCGAGTCCATGATGCAAGAGTTTTAAACTCGGGAGTGCTTGCAAAAGCTAAAGCAGGAAAACCTTTCCCAGATGTAAGTTTTCTGTTCTTATAATGAAAAGCTTATCTCAGGTCAGAGGCAAATTTTACTGCATTTTTGATAATAGCCACTACAAAATTCATGGTCTTGATATACTCTAGGGAGGAAAAGAGATATGTAGTTGCAATGTACCATTCATGCTTATTGGTGATCCAGCATATCCACTGTTACCATGGTTGATGAAGAGGTATCCTAACGATGGCAATCTCAGTCCTGCTCAAAAGAAATTTAATTACTACATAAGTCAAGCAAGGAAAGTCGTGGAGTGTTCATTTGGCCGTTTAAAAAACAGATTCAGATGCCTACTTAACAAGAATTATACAAATTTAGATCATTTGCCTATGAAAATTGCAGCATGTTGTGTTGTACACAATATTTGTAAGAGTAGAGCTGACAAACTTTTTTCAGATTATGTTGAACTTATCCCTGATGATGAAATTTCAGAATTTGTTTTACAGAATACAGATGCAAGTGCAGAGCAAATTAGAAATTCTTTAACTGAGTTTTTGATAACACAATAAGCTGATGATAGCTAAATTACTCATGTTCTTAAATTAAATCAAAATTTGTAATAGGTTTGTTGACTTTCAGCATCATGGTGAACATTGTAGAATGGTTGTTGCACAGGCTGAGACCTCATTGCTATTGCATTTGCAAGAAGTGACATTGACTCCTTATAAACATTAAGCTCTTCCTTTCGCAACTCTCGCTCTTTTTCTGCTTCTTTTTTCATTTCTGACAAAAACATTTCATCGGACTCCTTGAGATATTTGTTATGCTCTTTCATTGCATTCTCAAATGCCACTTGCTTGCTGGAGGGCTTTGCCTTTCCCCTTGGTATTCTTTTCCTTGGCACTGATTTGTTTTCACTTTGAGATGGTAGGGATTCCTCATTTGCTTCACTAGGTAACTTCTCATCTGCGTTACTGACATCTACATAACATATCTCATAAATGTTACGACGTAATAAAACAAAATATAGTACACACATGCAATGCTCTACTATTCACCTGCTTCAATGTAATCGCAATATGGGCAAACAAGTCTGACATCATCAGCGTATACTGCAGTGCTGTTTCCAACATGGGCTCCTGCTGACCTAAGCTCCACAAACTCATCGCACTGAGGACATTTTTTTCAATGATCCTCCCGTGTCCGTATTTTCTTGTAAGCTCGTCTGCTATGAAACGCAAAACCAATATTTTCATTTGCAAAAAACCACTCGATATCAACTCATCCACGATAACTTACCATCATCATCATGCCCGTTAATGCTTTTTATTTCAGCATCAGCTGATGAACACGTCGATGACGTTTTGTAGACCCCTTGCTTCTGGTCTGTCACCCAAGAAATTGTCCATAACGTTAAAGAATTTAGGTTCCTTGCCTCTCCCAGCTCCTGATCGTGATAATGTGTCTTTGAACTTTTTGTATTCAGATTTCATATGCTTAAATTTAGTTCTACATTGAGTCCAATCACGATCTATCCCTTTTTTTTTCATTATAATGCTGATTTTTTTATAAATATCAGCGTTTTTGTGGGTACCTTTCAACTTTTGTTGAATTTCTTCTGTACCGTACGCTGAGAGGAGGGCTAAACAGTGTTTTTCTGACCAAACCTCTCGTTTTTGCGACATTTTCCAAGCTTTTTTCTCTGTTTTGATTTTCAATTTTGAGAATAATGTCCGCGTTTTGGCGGAAACGGCATGGGAGCGAAACTGTTCTATCGAAATAAGCTCACTTACGTTCACATATAAACCGGATCGATCTCAGATCGATCTCAGACCACCTTTCGAAGCGAGCTGACTGAGATCGATCTCAAATTTTAGCGAAGGTTCACACTTAGCTCGCTTTACGTTAGATCGATCTCAGATCGATCTAAACGACCAGTGTGAACAGGCCCTAAGTCTGCGTTGTGTGTGTCGTGAGTAATGTCCGATGTATCGTAGTTTGAAGTATAGAGTTGTTATTTTGGAATTTTCATTTGTGTTGGTTGTGATCGTCGTGTCTGGAGTTTCGGTGTCTAGGTTGAGGTTGTTGCTATGTTTGTTGTCGAGATATCATTTTACGGTTCTGTTAATAAAGTGAAGTGGGAAAGAGTTTCGTAAGAGAGTGGATGTGATGTTTTTTATGTCTCGTTGAAAGCCATTGTTCGTATTGTTAAGTTTGTATGCTCTGTCGATTAGTGTGCGTATAAGTCCGGTTTTGTATGAAAGTGGTGTGAAACTAAAATAGTTCGTCAGAAGTCCTGTGTACGTTGGTTTGTGGTATGTTGATGTTGTACAGCTGTCGTGAGATTTTGTTAGTAAAATGTCAAGAAATGGCAGTTGATCTTGTTGTTCAGTTTCAAAAGAAAATCTAATGTTTGCGTGCTGTGTGTTAATGTAATTATAAAACTTCATGGCCTCAGTTTCGTTAGTAAAAACACAAAAAATATCGTCAACGTATCTGCGGTAAAATAGTGGTTTAGTGTCGTTGTAGTTGTTTAGCCAGTTTCGTTCATGTGAGCCCATGAAAATGTTAGCAAGTATGAGAGCTAAGGGAGAGCCCATCGCAACACCGTCCGTCTGGTCATAAAATTTTCCATTAAATAAAAAATGCGTCTGTGCTGTTGCTATTAAAAACAGTTGTGTGAGGTCGGTCCTGTTTATACTGAACGTGGGGCTGTGAGTGAATATTAAGTCGATTGCTAGGTTGATGGTTTCAGTAAGTGGTATGTTAGTAAATAGGCTTTCAACGTCGTAGGAGATGAAGAATTTGTGACAAGAAGTTGATGAGTTGAAAGATGAGAAGTCGTCGAGGAAAGTGAAAGAATCTTTAGTGGAGTGGTCATCTGGTATGAGTGGTGTTAGTAGAGAACTAAGATACTTAGCTAAATTATAATTGTATGCGTTGATTGATGAAACTATCGGTCGTAGTGGAGGCGATTGTTCTGGTTCTCGTTTCTTGTGAAGTTTCGGTAAACCATAGAAGCGTGAGGGTTGAGAACCTCTGGGGAAGATATCATTATAAACTTTGTTGCTAATAGAGTCTTTCTTTAGAAGCTTCCTTAACAGTCGTTGTAGTTTGGCTTCACGTGGTAGTGTGACGTCTTCTTTGAGTGGGGTAAACTTTGCTGTATTGTTAATGATTTTAAGGCAGGAGTTACGGTACATTTGACGATCCATGATTACAACGCCGTTCAAAATCAAAAACGTTTTTTCATTTAAAGACCCGATCCCTAATTCAATTAAATCTATGGTGGTATATGAATTCAATTGCGCGGGATGTAATTCCCGATACATTGGCGAAACTTCGCGCCATTTATCCACCAGAATCAGGAAACATACCACAACAGACAAAAACTCTCATATCTACCGACACCTTCTTAAATCTCACTCATGCAAAACCAACTATTCACCCTCTTGTTTCAAAATCATCGACACTGCCGACACCTCATTCACCCTTAAAATCAAAGAAGCACTCCACATTAACAAAACTAACCCTGACCTCAATGTTCAAGTTTTTAAATTCAATACAATATTTAGTTTATAATACGCTCGGACGCTCCTCATTATATTATCTTATTTCCTTTTTATTGTTCTAATTTATGTATCATATTACTTTTATATAAACCCTGTATCACCTATTATTTCATTCATACTGAAGATGGCATCATGAGATGTCGAAACATGTCTATTTTCAAAAAAGTTGTCGTGCATTTAGAAATGCTATGTACGAGTATATTGTCAAACAATATTTGACAGAAGTAATTGTATATATCTACCTAAAATATTTTTACAAAGATTATGATTATAAATGTTCATTTTACGTTCCAGTGATTAACGATTGTGCTTACACTTGCAACATCCACCCCTATTTTGAATTTCAAATTATTATTGCCGAATACTATGCTCGTAAAGACGCAAAATATTGATCTCAATACTAAATAAGAATTTTGGGCATTTCTGGATTAAATTATTGCATTACTTGACAAAGTTGATAAAATACTAATAAGGTTAGCTTGGATTGGTTTACTGTGTTTGTATATTGGAAATCATCAACATGAGAAAGTGTGAAAAAAATTTATAAGAACAGCTTCTTATGTTTGTGATTACATTTTTTAACAAAGTTGTTTCCATCTTTTGTATATGATTATATACAGCAGTATTTTATCCTTAAGTTATGGGTTTTTCTTTAGGAGATGTACTGTAGAAATGTTTGAGGCTCTTCAACGCCAAATTTTTAATCTTCCGAATGTCTTAAACAAGACAGAATCGTTATTGTTGTTTGTTTCTATGTGTGCCGTCACGTTTGAAATTGGTCTTATGAACACGAGAAAAATGTGTGGACTAGGAACAGCTTTTTATTTTTGTTTGTGCTTATATTTTACAGGAAAAATTACCCACTTTGTTTCCATATTTAGTTTTAAATATATTATTATGTAGTTATATACGACAGTATATTATCGTCTTAGAATGAGTATTTTCTAGTGATGTGCAACAAATGTTTTAGGTTAGTTTTAAAACTGGAATTTTCAATGTTCCGAGTGCATAAATTAAGTCATTGTATAATTGTCTTTTGCGTTCACCTTTGAAAAATATTCTTTGTTTTGTTAAAGTATACAACATTATTGTAGACAGATATGACGAATTTCTTTACAAATGCTTATAATGAAATTTAGCTATAATTTTTCAATTTAGCAATGAATAATCCAAGTTCGTCAACCACAAGGTAAACATGTCTGTACTATACTCATTTTATTATATCAAACAAATGTATTTCTAGCATTATAAAGTGATGTCAGCTATATACATATGTTAAACAATCTTTGCAAAACAATTTCTATCATGAAAACACGTAAAGTAATGTGCCAAGTTCAAATGGGATTAGCAAAGTGATCTGGCATTGAAATTTCCCAGTAGCTTGATTTCTAAAGATGTTCTATTTTCATACATCTCCGCAGTTATTGGGACAATTTTATTGCGAGGAAGACGCAGTAATCATTATATAGTAATCATTATATGAAAATCATTAATATACAAATTACTTTTTTCAGCGGTCCTTGTCTGGAGGATCGTTATCATTTCCGTCACTCATTTTTAATTCCTGCTGTAAGATTTCTGTCAAATGAAATACTTTTAAAACTTGTTACATTCCATACAAATATGTTTTTTCCATTTCAGGCTGCAATATTGACAATATTAGCATCTTTGAATCGTCGTAAGAGCTTTAAAACTGAAATGTTTAAAGGTCGTCCTGGTGTTATGATGTAAGGAAAATATTATTGATAAATTAAAACTTGTTTGTGGTTAGATCTGTTGTTTGTTACTGGTTTGTTAACTGTCATATTGGTCTGTTGTAGTCCGATAGATTTTTGGGACAGAAATCGTAACACAATTGTAACTTTATTTGGAGCGATGACTGGTTTTATTTTGTTTCTTGTTGAGAAAAAATTTCCTTTTCCCAGGAACGATTGGTGGTTTAAACGTAAGTATTTCTTGTAATTCATTTAAATATATATATTAACGACGAATATGTCTTATTTATCTTCATTCGTATTCTTTATTTGCAGCATTATTCAACATTGCAATATGCATTGAGATTGCCTTTCTCTTTTATCCAATCTTTGCATGCTTGGCTTCACATTATCGTATTATTGGATCATTGTTAGGCTTTAGTTACAGTCTGTCGTTGTAAGTTAACGATAATCTTGTTTATATTTATAAAGCTTAAAGTTTTTATGTCTTAATGATGATTGTCATGATCTGGTTTCATAACTGCATAATAACCTTTTTCCAAATTTTTAATTCTTTTCAGCTTCTTGCTAGAAATTATTAAAGATATTGAATTTTATCAGAAGTGCGCGGTTTGTGATAATCCTTGTTTTACAAAAATATGATAAATATCTGATCTGTCATGAACATTGAATGCTTGTGCAACATTAAACATTTGTTTGTTGTATTTGCAGAACAATGATTCTCTTCTTCTTATTGTCGGAGACATCCCAGTAATTCTTTGTCAACTCTTTATTAATGGCAAATTTTTGATCGTGTTGTTTAAAGAGAGAAAGAATTTTGGTCAACTACTCTATGATGAGGTATTTTACTGTTTAATACAAAAAGATTTATTTATGTTTTGTTGAGTAAAATTTTAATATTTTAACAGACCAAGGATAATTCTATCAATGTAAAACTTTCATTACCATGGTTCAATGATTATGTCAAAAATATTTTTTATCCAAGGTAACATCACGAGTCTTTTTATCAGATCATGGTGCATGTATATAACTTGTTGTAAAGTTAAAGTCATTTTCTTTAATCTTTTCAGACAAACACCAGACCACTCCAAAGTTTTATCATATTTAAGGAAGATCTATAATCCTCATAAATGTAGGAATGATTTTACTCAAGTCAAGAAAAATAATTAAATTCCCTTGATTTCCCTACAATTTACAGTTTGCTAACTATACGTTTTGATATGTTTTCTTCAACAATTTTATAGATTTTAAATATTCAACTCAAACTCTATCTGTGTTTATGGTTTGTTCTATTATTTTATATAAAGTAAGTTTTCATTTTGTATGTTTCTTCCAGCTTGCTACTCTAGTTTTCCATGTTTATATGGTTGAGGAATGATGAATGATTGTTGTAAAAAATTCAGTCAAATGTTATTGAAAATATTTTGCGAAATTCGATGCTCTTTTTTGTTGTCGCTGCAACTGCGAGCATATGATGTAGAAAAACAGATTTAAATCATATAATAGGGTCATGTTCTGCAAGAATTAAAAGAAAAGAAAGACTGTTTTTATGACATTAACATTATAACATTAGTTCTTAATTTCAAGGTAACTCCCGTGTACGCATTGTGGACCTATGTTTTCTTTTGAAAGCAAATCCTTTTATCGTTTGTTAGGTAACAATTACTGAGATTACATATGTTGCTCGATACTATAACGCTCGCAAGCAAATTTCATCTTGGAAAGACGTTATTCTTAGCATTCCTGCCATTCGTGGTTGGTTGTTTTTATAAGTACAATGAATTCATTTTATTACTTTCTTACATATTTTTTTTATTAAACGTTGAATTTTTTTAGATTCCTTAATCGCAGTGTTTATTCTCATGTTTTTATTTGGTGCGATCTCCCTTCTTCGTTTTATGGAGAATCATAAGTAATATTTCATTAATTTTTTTGTTATTACCATTGCACAGTGTAAAAGTAGAATCATTCTTATCTTTCTTCATTTCATTCAGAAATAACATGTTACGAATGTTTAAAGGCGATAAGTCCTTCATTCCAAAAGGAATAAAATTTTCACAGTTTATGATTGTAAGTTAAATCATCAAAGTAAAAATGAAATTGTTCAGTTGAAGACAAAATTTGACGATTTTTTAGGGAAAATCTTTACAATATCAAGGTTTTCAAATTTGTTATTTTCTCCGGGGTAAGAAAGGTTTTATGTGTAAGCATTTAAGGAAGATCTGATTTATGGAAACCAAAAACGTTTCTCACGAGTGGAATCTACAATTAAAAACATTTTTTATTTCAGGATATAATTTGAATTTGCTTGTTTTGCTACTTATTGGTGGAATATTTTACTGTCTGAAGATTACCATTTTGCGAAAATGGAATTTGAATCATGTTATAGGAGCAAGGTAGGTCAAAGTCCAAGTAATTTTCCTTCTAAATAATCTATATCGAATTCTGGGTGCGATAGGATATTGGAAGATAATGGTGAATTTCTCCAAGATATATAAGCTACAGCGATTTAAACGGCGTGTCATGCAGTCGGTCTTTTTTAGCTTTTATTTGTTCTCCAATGACTTGTTGTGTTGATTTGTTTTAGAATGAGCTGGTGTTGTTCAAGTAGTACTTTATTAAAAGTGTTTTCTATCAGGCTGATGTGATTTTTTTCTTTGGTTACTGTGATGTTGACTTTCTCGCAGCAATTAAGTCTAATATTTGCGTTTTTGCTGAGCTTTTTTGGCATGCAGCCGGGTTAGTTGTGTTTCTACGAGGGACTCAGAATAAATGGTTTTTTGAAAGAACTCGTTAACTGAATTAAAAATATTAAAAAATTTCTTTTCGTTGTTTGTTTACATGTTAAAATTAAATTTAAAGTTAAAGTTATGTAGTGGATTGCACAAAAAACGTTTCTTTTTCATTGTCTTCTTTTTTCATTTTCACTACTTTTTGTAACTTTCAACTAATCATCATGAATATTTGTCATCTTTTCAGCGTTGTCTTTGCTGTGGGATTATTAATTAAGCTTCCTCTGACTGCTGTGACAATTTTCCGTGATCCTGATTACAATAAAAATGTAATATCCATGAACAACAGGTAGAAACAAATGTTTTCATGAAATCATCAAAATATTTTTAACAAATAATTTATTATAATCAAAATTTTCTCATACACAGGAATGTGTATTTAGTATTCTCATATTTTTGGTTCTTCATTGGTCTTCCCATGGAAATATTGTCAGCATTGTTTCGAATTCCCATAGCGATGATAATTGGGCTTATCTTGTCACCAAGATTGGATCGTAGTGTTTTGCCTGATGGTTTTCAACAATTTGATCCTGGTACGTCATTAATGTCTTTAATCACGTGATATTTATTCTTGTCAAAGACAGAGAGAGGTTAGAGTTCATTCAGTAGATCTGAAAACTTTGTTTTTGTTACATTATTTAAGGTTATGTTTCGTACATCGCCTATCTTCATGTTCAAGCTGCATTTAGAAATCCTGTTTTACGAGTATTTTGTCAAACAATTTTTGACAGAAGTAAGTATTTCTATCTACTTTAAGTATGTTTATATTGAGCATGCTTAAATATGTTCATATTACTTTACAGAAAATGATATCCGTCAATGGAAATGCTCACCTCAAGCCCGCACCAGGTGGTTCCTTGCCTTAACCTTGACCCGCAATCCTGAGATCATCAGTTATCGTAAAAATAAAGAAAAAACTTTGAATGATCCAGTTCGCACGAGTTCTTTGAAAATCAATTTGCCCAGTTCGGATGAAACCAACTTAGTTGTGTGAGATATAGTTATATCCACGACAACAACGTTTTAGTGGGGAATGTTAACAATTGTTTGTTTTGTTTTTTATATTTACTTTCATGGTTTGATAGTTAAGGAGATTGAAAATTGAAGTAATGATCAACTCACAATCCTCAGATCATCAGTTATCGTAAAGATAAAGAAAAAATTTCCAACGATAAAGGAAGCGTCAGTTCTGATATAGATAATTCGTTCGGTTTGGAAAAAACCAATTTAATTGTTTGAGTTATGATTGTTTGTTTCGTTTGTTATAGTTCTTTTCATATTTACATAGTTGAGAAGATGAATGAAACTAGAAATGTAATTTTCAATTTAAAGTTCAAATATGACAGGTACTAGAATAAAGCGATAGAGGAATTTTATTGCACAGAAAGTCCATTAAAGTACAAGCATTTATTAAAAAATAGAAATAAAAACATTGAAACTGTGAAAGATGAAAAGTGCTGAATTACTGACAAGAACAAAAAATAGACAGTTGTGGGCGTTAGTCGTGGTTTTGGCCATTTAAAAGATGATTGAAGGAAGATTCAACGGTAAAAGAAACGTAAGGATAAGGATTGAAATCTTCATATTTTTTAAAGAAAATATGTATGCTGTCTCAAAAAGAAGGTTCGATCCGAAAACAGAGTTTTTATGGTTATAGTAATTCACTTCACCTTCTTTTGGATGATGGAATTATGCAGCAATTATCACTGCAATGGCCGATTTCTTTAATAAATGCTATGACTTGTTTTCAGTTAAATTTTATAGTGTTAGAGTTTCGTAGTTATGGCATCATTCAATCCTAAGCTCATTTAACCAGTCTTAACGCTATTCATACGTCAGCAATCTATTGTTAATATTTTTATGATATTGACGCAATTTGAAAGAAGTATCTGGTTACACATGCATAAGAAAAAAACTATAATTTACTTTGTTTTTCTAGCAGTTGCGTCTCTAAGCATTTAATTAATAAAATAGAGACTTTGTCGTGGTGACAAATCTGAAAATAATTCTAAAGATAGCAAATACCATAGTGAATAGAAAAAGTAATATAATAAGTTGCTAGTTCTTAAAAGAACTGTTTTAAGTAAAGAGCACTAACCCAATAGCTCTAAATTAAACGACACGATGCATTTCGGCAACCAATCCCGTCCTTTGCCGACAAATGAATATGTTTTTAATTTATCCCTATTTTGAGCGTCATCTGCCCTTTTGCAGATGACGTACACTCATTCTTGGCATTATAAATTATAACTTTACAAAATATATTATTTAATTATATCCTATATTCCCTGTTGTAGAAAGTGAATATAGTTCACCTGTGTGCGTGACGATTTCATCGTTATAAATTCTCCTAATTTTGTCACAACATGGCAAATTTGACCTAAAATTCCCCCAACATGTCAATTTTCACATTTATGCTTGTAATATAAACTTTACTTAAATATCAAATTTCTTGTTTGACCTATAATTTGAGTCTAGTAGACGTCCCCACGTGTTTTGTTTCTTCATCTGCGAATAAATTGGTTTCGTTTTGGAAATCAGCTGTTGAAAATATTCCAACGCTTTACAAGTTGATAAAGTATTGAGGTTCGTCTGGGTTGATTTACTCACTTCGCTCTTTTTTATATGAAATCGTTTTTTGATAAAATTGCGGTTAAATGACTTAAATTTACTGGAATATCTTTTACTGTTTGTGATTCTAATTTGCATTTCACCCTTTGTTAGTATTTGTTGTTTGAAACATAAACAACGATTTATTTTTGTTTATTCCAATTTAGAAATGAGCAACAACGAAACAGCGTCTTCGTCTTTGAGGTAAACGGTTTATAAACTGCTAATCTGCACATTGAAATGGAAATTGGCAATAATCACTAATCTAATGCTTGTTAGTAAAGTAAGCGTTTCTCGAAAAAGTAATTTGTAACGCAGTCAAGAGCAAGAAAAGTGTGGCTTTTTCTAAAAGAAAAATTTATGTTTTCGTTTGCGCGACTATTATTTAGACATTTTTAACTGCACATCTTTTATTTTATGCTATCTATCTTTAAATTTTGAATGAAACCAATGGCTTTGAAATTGAACACTGTAATTGCTTGCAAGTCTTTTCCGTTGCTCAGCGCTGTGGGGCTGTGGAGAGTTGGGCCTACTGGTTGGGCCTCGTTCATACATCACACGTTTACGGATATTTTTGAAGTGAAGATTTTTGATAACGTCGTTTTTGTGTTTACGGGCGAAAACGGAGGTTTTTGAAAACGACGACGTTGACCATCGAGTCCAGTCAAAAGTAGATCAACTACTTTGAAAATGACGGATCATCAGTGCTCAGCAGTGCTTGCCTCTTTTACTTTGAATAGTTTCCCAGGAGACGCGCAAGATCGATAATTGTGTGGGGCTGGGGAATTCATATATGAATGTTCTATTTTAGTAGTTTCTTTTGAAATCAATTGCTGACATGAATTAACACGGCGTAGCAGTCTGAGCGCTGCCCTAGTCTGTATATGCCCCCCCCCAATTAACTTTCTTGCGCGGCCCCTGTTTCCAGTATATCGATGATTTGTTTTATCTTATACTCCTTCCGATTTAGAAGTGAAGCTTGACCTTTAGTTGATTTTGCCTTTTAACTGTTGATGCGAGAGACACGATTTTATAAAACAGTGAAAAGTCGAACTATTTTCATATTTTTTAAAAAAATCATTTTTTATATGCTAACTTTTTTCTGATCAATTGATTTAATCATCTTTAAACGTATTGTAGTTAGTGTAATAATACACAAAATAAAGTCTTACAAATTTTTTTGCTATATTTTCAGTGATCATTGTCTGGTGGATGATAATTACCGTCACTGGTTTTTGATTCCTGCTGTAAGATTTCTGTCAAATGAAATATTTTGAAATCCTGTTACATTTCATATAAATATATTTTTTCCATTTCAGGTTGCAATATTGACAATATTAGCATTTTTAAATCGTCGTAAGAGCTTTAAAACTGAAATGTTTAAAGGTCGTCCTGGTGTTGTGATGTAAGAAAAGTATTATTGATAAATTAAAACTTATTTATCTTTAAAATTATTGTTTTTTACTGACTTTAACTTTCATATTGGTCTGTTGTAGTCCGATAGATTTTCTAGACAGAAATCGTAACACAATTGTAACTTTATTTGGAGCAATAACTGGCTCTATTGCGTTGCTTGTTGAGGAAAATTTTATTTTCCCAGGAACGATTGGTGGTTTAAACGTAAGTATTTCTTGTACTTCATTTAAATATATACATTAACGACGAATATGTCTTATTTATCTTCATTCATATTTTTTATTTGCAGCATTATTCATCATTTTAATTTGTATTGAGATTGCCTTTTTCTTTTATCCAATCTTTGGATGTTTGGCTTCACATTATCGTATTATTGGATCATTGTTGGGTTTTAGTTACAGTCTGTCGTTGTAAGTTTACAGTAATCTTGTTTATATTTCTAAAGTTAAAAGTTTTTATGTCTTAATGACGATTGTCATGATCTGGTTTCCTAACTGTATAATGACAACCTTTTTCCAAATTTTTAATTGTTTTCAGGTTCTTGGTAGAAATTATTAAAGATATTGAATTTTATCAGAAGTGCGAGGTTGGTGATAATCCCTGTATTACAAAAATATGATAATTATCTGATCTGTCATAAACATTGAATGTTTGTGCAACATTAAACATTTGTTTGTTGTATTTGCAGAACAATGATTCTCTTCCTGCTATTGTCGGAGACATCCAGTAATTCTTTGTCAACTATTTATTATTGGCAAATTTTTGATTGTGTTGTTTAAAGAGAGAAAGAATTTTGGTCAACTATTCTATGATGAGGTATTTTAATATTTATTACAAAGTGATTTATTTATGTTTTGTTGAGTAAAATTTTAATACATTTACAGACCAAAGATAATTCTATCAATCTAAAACTTTCATTGCCATGGTTCAATGATTATGTCAAAAATATTTTTTATCCAAGGTAACATCACTAGTCTTTTTATCAAAAAACGGTGCAAATAACTTGTTGTTGTCATTTTGTTTAATCTTTTCAGACAAACACCTGACCATTCTACCTTGGTATCTTATATAAGAAAAATCTATAATCCTCATAACTGTAAGAATGATTTTACTATAAAAAAATATTTAATTTCCTTATAAACAACAGTTATTTCTCTTTATCAAGATATTTTGATATGTTTTTTTATAATAAACTTATAGATTTCAAATTTTCAACTCATACTCTTTCTATGGTGATAGTTTGTTACATCTTTTTATACGAGGTATGTTTTTGTCTCATGGTTGTTTTGCTGAAACTGAAGAACCTAGGGCATAGCCACAGTGATATAAAATGTTTCGGTGATCAATTGAATTGATTACAAACACTCTGTTCCTCAGACCTCAAGATTATAAAGCAAAGATTTTGCAGGACGAATGTAGTAGACAATTTTCGACATGTTTGATTAACAAATATGAATACTTTAGCGTCATTAGATCAATTATAATATTTAAAAAAATTTAAATTAATGAAAGGTTGAGCGTTTGGGTGAAACCTCATTTTAAATGGCTTGTGCTAGCATCAATGCCATGTCAATGTACCAAAAAAGTCGGTTGTGGCATTATGTTTTTTTAAATTATTAGTTCAGTTTCATATATGTACATGTACGCATTTCGTACCTATCTTTTGATAACAAATATTTGTTATTGTTTTTCAGATTACAATTTTTTTCCTTGTATTTTTTATTCAACCTTTAAACTCCATGATCGAGTCAGCTCGCAAGAATGATTCATTACCTAAACTTTATCTTGAACTTTTTCTTGAACTTTTACTTGGGCTTCATGGTTAGTTTTGTTTATAAGATTGTGTAAGAATGCATGAAATCATTTTTTCATTCAATATTTTCTTTTATAAAACGTTAAATTTTTTTAGATTCCCTATTTTCAGCTTTGATTCTCACGTTTTTGTGGTGTATCATCTCCCTTCTTCGTTTTATGGAGAATCATAAGTAATATTTCATTTATTTTCTTATTATTTAATATTTAAGAGTGTAAATGTAGAATTTTTCTTCTCTTCATCATTTTCTTCAGAAATAACATGTTACGAATGTTCAAAGGTGATAAATCCTGCATTCCAAAAGGAATAAAATCTTCACAATTTATGATCATAAGTTAAATCATCAAAGTAAGGAAAAGATTGTTCAGTTGAACAAAACGTTTTACGATTTTCTAGGGAAAATCTTTACGATATCAAAGTTTTCAAATTGGCTACTTTTTCTGGGGTAAGAGCTTATAGAAAGTTAAGAAGAGAAATAAAAAATTATTAATGATAAAATATTTCTATTTCAGGATATTTGATAACATTGCTTACGTTGTTCCTTATTTGTGGATTTTTCTACTGTCTAAAGATTCCTTTCTTGCGAAAATGGGTTTTGAGTCGTGTCAAAGGAGCAAGGTATGTTAAAGAAATTTTTTTTAAAACTTTAGACAAACATACACAAACATCAACCGACTGGATCAATTTATCACTAAGGGACTGGAAACGAGAGATTGCGCGTTTTATTCAATGGTTTTATCCTCGTGAATAGTTTCTCTTTGAAGTGTTTTAAGGCCTGATGATTTGTATTGTGGAATATGGATGCAAATGATATTTTTTCATTACCGGTCGTCAGGTCAAAGTAATGATACATCCCAAAAAAATCTCTCGAATTCAATCAAATGTAAGAATTTCTCCCAATGTTACAATCGTGTATTCGGATCATGAACATTCCCTAAAATAAAAGTATAAGACATAAGTTGATCTAAAAGTTACAGAATTTTATTTGCTCAATGCGTCAGCTAATTGTGACGTTGTATTAGTCAGTATCTTCTAGTTTTTTACTATTATTTGTGTGTTAAGTTTTGACAAGTGCAGGGTTGTTTTGACAAGTTTTATAATGTAAGTTTCTTTTCTTGTTTACTCGTAGTGACTGTTGCTTGGTAAACTACCAAGTTTTTTGTTTGTTTGCCGATGTAAGTTTTTTTGTTTTTGGTAACTGGGATTGTGAATATGGCTTATAAACTACTCATTTAGCTTAGCGCTACTCTTTCTGAGAACATTCTTCTTTCTTGCGGCATTAATTTAATTTTCTATTATCGGAGGCGCTTTTGTTGGGCTGTTTAGTTGACGTTGATGGTCTTGTTTATTAAAATGTTCGTCTCTAGCTTCAGCTTGCAGTTGTAACTTAGCTTAATTGTGTTTCAGTTAAAGATTTTGTCAAATATATTGCAGTTTTTTACCAGAAAAGACTCACTCACCTCATTAAATAGAGAATTGATGTCTGCTGTTTTTGTGAATGTTAGAGTTTCAGAATGATGGATTGTACAAAATGAAGATTCTACTACATTGCCTTCTCTTCATATATTTCACTGGTTAATTGTCGAGTTGTCATAACTCCCAATTAATCATTATGATTTGTCATATTTTAGCGTTTTTTTAGCTCTTGCATTATTGTCAATACTTATTCTTCTCGTGACTTCCGTGACAATTTTCCGTGATCATGATTACAATAAAAATGTAATATCCATGAACAACTGGTAGAAATAAATGTTTTCAAGATATCATCAAAATATTTTTAACAAATAAATTATTATCATCAACATTTTCTCATACACAGGAACACATATTTAGTATTTTCATATTTTTGGTTCTTCATTGGTCTTCCCATGGGAATATTGTCAGCGTTGTCACGTATTTTAAAAGCGATGATAATTGGGCTTATATTGTTACCAAGAGTGGATCATAGTGTTTTACCTGAAGGTTTTCAACGATTTGATCCTGGTACGTCATTGATGTCTTTAATCACGTGATATTTATTCCTGTCAAAGACAGAGAGAGGTTAGAGTTCATTTAGTATGTCTCAAAACATTTTCTGCGTTGCATTGTTTAAGGTTATGTTTCGTACATCGCCTATCTTCATGTTCAAGCTGCATTTAGAAATCCTATTTTACGAGTATTTTGTTAAACAATCTTTGATAGACGTAAGTATTTATATCTACTTTAAATATGTTTATAATGAACATGATTATAAATGTTCATATTACTTTACAGAAAATGGTATCCGTCAATGGAAATGTTCACCTCAAGCCCGCACCAGGTGGTTCCTTGCCTTAACCTTGACCCGCAATCCAGAGATCATCAGTTATCGTAAAGATAAAGAAGAAAGCATCGTTGATAAAGTACACGTCAGTTCTGTGAGAGTTAGTCTGTACGGTTCGGATGAAACTAACTTAGTTGTTTGAGATGTCGATATCTCCATGACAACAACGTTGAACTGGGGAATGTTAACGATTGTTTGTTTCATTTTTTATATTTACTTTCATGGTTTTATAGTAGTGATTGAAAACAGGAATATTTTGAACTTCCTAGCTGAAACATAACACGTATTACGATAAAGAGGCAATAGTGTTTATTTTTTATTCATTGTGGGAATTCTTTTACAGTCCATCGAGTGAAAGATATTTTTCCTTATCTTATATTAGTCATCTTTTGCTCAAATTACATTACATAACGATTTTTATTTTTTATCCAATTCGAAATTGACAAGTCAGTGTTCGCCAGGAGGGTAAAAAGATCAATAATTGGCAACGTCGAGATGAAACTGTAGTTTTTGTGATTTTTCAATATCACTATATATATTTACGCTCTGCTCTCGCGCATCGAGTACTGTTTTTCTCGGAGAATCATCACACAGAAACTTCCTAAAACGGCATTACATGTATATATGAAGATGAATTTTGAAGTTACAAAAATATTACATTGAGTTAATGTAATGTTTCATTGACAGAGTGTTGATAATAATGGATGAGATCGAAATTCTGGTGTATAAAGTAACAGTTTATATAGTAACCAACAATTGTATATTCCTCCTCTTAAAATATTAGTAAATACTCAGCCCCCGGGCAAGCTGCCAATGGCAAATGCCCCGCTCCGGGACCAAGTAATTTTAAATTACGAAAATTAGGAACACTTTTTAATACTTTATTAAACAAGATATATGAGAGATCCTATAAAAAATAAATGTAGTAAAAGAAATTCGTTCCTGAGTTACTTTCCCTTGCTCCGCTTTTCTGTTGTTGCTTTTGCTTTTCATTCACCTCTTTTCCTGTTCACAGAAATTTGCGTCAAGTATTGAAGCCACAATTTAACATCCTTGATTGACAGCAAACATTTCTTGGCAAGCATGCTTATGTCAGTATCCTCTACACATCCACCACTGTGATTCTTGTGAAAGTCTGCCAGTATTTCAGACGGCGTCCGGCTCCTTATAGCTTTGCCAACTGCATATAAATTTAGCAGCTCTGACACATCGGTGACATAATGCCCATAGCAAACTCCCGTGCATGTTTCGCAATCCTCCCCTCCCCAAGGTCTCTTTACATCAGCAACTGGGTAAGAAAAAAACTACACGATGGTCCGTCTGGATACCAGGAGATGGGAATCGGTACTTAATGTCGCGATTAATAGAAATCAATAGTCGCGACTCGCGTACTCAAATGGTATCCAATCCCCGGGGGTATTATTGCCGGAGTAAATACCCGGCTCCCGAGCATCTCTTTTACGAGCAAATTCCCGTTCCCCCGAGAAAGGTCTCCAGGGCAAATGCCCAGGGGTACCCCGGGGATGGTAACGCTTGGAATTGACTCATGCATAAATCGAGAGATCGGAGCACAGACGCCGTATTGAAATTTGATGCGTGGGTTCAGTATATTACGTCTTATTTGTAAAACACGGCAAAACACTTGCCTAAATATACTTTCTTTTCCAAAACCAAACGATGTCGTTTATTCGTATTTTGCCTGGTAAGTGTCCGTGTAAGTATTTAAATTTATTAACACTTCATTCCATGCACTGTCTCAAATACAAATGCATTAACACAACAAAGTGGAAAGAATTTATTTATTTTATATTTGCCCTGGCCCTTATACTTTGTCGTTATCATTATTTAAGTTTTCACAGTACTGGCAAAACCATTCATCGTCCTCATCGTTTATCTTGACACATTCCCTAGAATTCACATGAAGTAAACCACATATATTCTGCAGTTGAATTAGTTGAACATACATTTTGTATCTTAAGAAATTTGGCAATTCTTAAAATTTCAATGTCTGATCAGTAGTGCTTATCCCAGGGGTGTGTAAACAAGTACAATCGAATTCATGCATAGCAATTAGTTTAAGTAGTTAAATTCCCAGGAGCTATAAAGCACGTGTAATATTATCACCTCTAGTTGACAATATTTTACGCATTAAAAAGCTTAGAATAATGATCAGGCATTGGAATTACAACAATAGGTAAATTTTCCCCTGAATAATACACCCTGACTGAATAAAGTAAACAATTTTCACAACTTACCAGTGGTGCCAGGTAGAACAAAAGTCGCACATTATCATCTTCCCTAATTTGGCATGATCACAAGAGTTGCATCTCTAATCATTTTGCAGAGTTTTACTATATAATATATAATAATAGTACTTCATCTCATGGCAGAATACTTTATGTAATGCTTAAGAATATTAAATATTCTAGAAAATAACAGTCTCTGAAATTAACATATCATTGTTGCAGAACATACCAGCTACTGCTATCTTTTTCCAGGCACCTTCATCAAAATATGGTTTCATAATATGGTTAACATAACCAAGTGCCTCTGCTGGTGGATGGTCATCGTCCAGTTGAATGTCTCTTGCAGTTAACAGCTTCTTGGATGAAAAAGCATTTTCAATATTTTCTTGTGACACACCAAAACCTTCCAGTTGTTCTCTGATTGAATCTGAAATTGGTGAGCATATTTTATTATACTACTATTGTTTCTCACCTTCTGTTACCCTTGTAAATAATGTGGCAATTTCCTCTTTGTTTGGTTTAGCAAATGGAACTTTACATGTCCTTTTTCTTTTCTTTGTTGACTTGAACTTACGTTGTGGTGTGACGTGTTTATTTGCTGGTAATCTGGTGACCAACTTCAAGGGTAATTGACATCTTTTTTCTTTCACAGCAATGAATAAGTTTTTGGCTGCTGTTATCTTATTATTGAGAATTTTTATTGCTTCGTTGTCTTCACATTCATCAAGTAGTATGGTAAGATCCAAAAGTTGTCGCTTAACTGCTTCCTTTAGTGTGGTTTTGTCTTTTTCTTTCTGTGTGTTGTTGCTCATAACTTGTGATGCAAGCTCCTGTACTTCAGATTCTTTGTAATTTAGTTGAATGCTGACTTCATTTATTTTGCCATTGTCAAGTTCTTTTTGTGACAAGAAGTTATTCAAAAGATGTATATGTTTGCAAATTGTGCTATTTATAAGGCTATCAGGACAATCACAAACATATTGATGGATGCAAATATCACATTCAGCACATATGCCAGGTTTACAACATTGTCTCAGATCCAACATCCAAGTACAATCGGTAAGTATGCGCTGTAATGTGTGGGATTGCTTAGGTATATTGATGGAATATTCTTTGTGGTTGGCTTAGAAAATGATAGCATGCTCTTGAAAAAGGCATAGTTATAGCTTGATATAGCCATCATAATCATTGCAACCATGCCACAAACATTGCTACATGTTTGGAATGGATATGCTTTTGAACAATTGTCTGTGCACTTGTGTCCTCGTCTAACCCGGCATCTGCTATCAGGATCATGTGTCATTGTTACTGAGTAGTTGGCTATGCTGTCGCAAATATTATGTGCCTTGATGAATTTATCTAAAATGTCTAGAAGAGTGTTCGGAAATTGCCAGCCTAATGAATCCCCATATGTAATGTTTTGTCATTAGTGTCTGGCAAATGTAATGTTTTTGTCATAGCAAAGTACCCAATGGTTTCCAAGGTGCAAATCATCTCCAAGGAATGTGTTGCCATTGCTTTTTTTACCAACATTTGTGGCAAAGCAGAATTTTGAAATGAATTCATATTTAGCATGGTGTTGGGCTGTTGTGGGTGGTTTTGTTCCATTGAGGTACACGTAATATGTATCTGTTTTCTTTTGGTTTAGGTTTATTGTCAACCAGCGTATGTGGTCACTTGACACCCATCTGTCAACACATAACCTGGACATCTCATTGGATGACAATCCTCGTTCTTTCATAATTTCACTATATGGGGTTCTGTACAAAAGCTTCTGAAAGGCTGTAATTGAAGCAGCTGATGGATGTTCTACCACCGTGTCTGGTTTGTTCAATGGTTGGGAAAACCAGGCAATTTCCTCTTCGACTTCTACTTGTATGCTTTTTAAGGTGTGAAATTTCTGAAGATTCGTGATGCAATTGATATCTAACCTTCCTTGTGATGTGTTGATACATGCTACTTTGCTTGTACTTGATGCCTCAACTATTTTTCTCCATTGTTGCAACTGGTCCATACTTGGCATAGATGTTACATGGCAAGGATCAACAACTGAATCATCATCTGTACTGCAATTTACACCTTTGGTAAACCATTTCTCAATCTTTGGCAACAAAGACTCAAAAGCCTGACCTCTAGTTAGCTTGCTCAGTACGGGCTCTATCTTTTTTGAAGCTTTTTTGAGATACAAAACCTCCAAATAAATTATGTACATATAACTAACAAAACTAATTTCCATTTCTATATTATGAATTTTCAATGCAAGACTTTAATCCTATATCATGTCAGGGCCTATATTCATGTTGCCTTGCACCCCCATCCCCATTGCACTGCAAGGGTCTGAAATAAATAACCTAAATAGCTGTATAAAATTTGCGAGTAGTAGAAGCTAGGCCTTTTGCGGCGCATCAAGTCGTGTCTCCCACTAAGCCCTAGGATAACTTTCTTTAATTCTTTCGTTCTGCCCCTTTTTGACTACGGCGATATAATATGGGGAGACCGGGGCAACACTACACTTATGACAGAGCTACAGATCCTTCACAATAAGGCTGCGCGAATCATTTTAGATCTTCCCCCTACTGCTTCCGCGAGCGATGCACTTTCAAGGCTCCATTGGAAACCTCTAGAAAGGCGGAGAGCCGAGCATCGTGCTATTTTCATGTTTAAGGTAGTTAATAACCTTTTTATGCACACTTTTCACTGCTGTTTTAACAGTAACTATCATAACTATGATACACGATCAAAGCGAAATATCCGCAAATCATTCGCACACAGAAGATGGGGGCACTGGATAACAATAAATTTTGCAGCGGACGCTTGGAATGCCTTACCCCTTTCCATAAGAGATGTGCCCACCTTAAGCCAATTTAAGCGTGGTATCAAGAAAGCACTATTTTAATTAGTTTCGTTTTTAGCATGTTAATTTTCAAATGATGTATGTTTTATCTTCATATTTTCGAATTGTATTCTTTTTCTTTTTATTTTTAAATAGTTATATCAGATTTAGTTACTTTTAGAGGACCCCTCTGTAAACCACTTTTTAGTGATGTTGGCATCCTCAATAAAGATTAGCTATTATTATAATGCAGTGGAAGTTCCGGGGTAAGTCAGAATACGTTTATGTTTAGTAGCTTATTATAAATTTAAAATACTATAATAACAACACTGCTGATATTGTTATAATTATTACCAATTATTTCAAAATATTGCCAATACGGCAGTTGTCAAGTAGTTTCATGTATTCTGACTTACTCTGCAGCGAAAGTAGTGTTTGCAATTCAGTTAATGTATGTGCATATGCTTAGTGTGATGAAGCAATTAAACTTGCAATACCTTCGTATTGTTATTCCACATACCGCTTTTTACGAATAATAAAGAACTTAAAACGTTAAGATATTTAGCTTTATTATAGGGCAATACAATGGAAGGAGAACAAGAAAGTTGACAATGCGCATACGATGATGTTTTTTTACAAAAAAGTTAAAGTGGGTAAAATCGTATTTCGCGGCAAGACGACAAAACAATTCGCGCGCGTAACGATGGTGACATCGTTTATCTATTCAGTTCACATTTCACGTGACAAATTACAATATGGCTTCTGTGCTCCGATCTCTCGATTTAGCTGCAAGTTTTGCCCGGTTCCCGCGCCAGCTTGGATTTATCATGAATGTCACGCTGCCGTCTTAATAAGTCTTATATTGCGTCACACTCGTCAGCAATCTAGTCCTACTATATCTATGGTCATAACGTGAACTTTCTGCACAAAGTTTATTTTGTTTAATAATATTATTTTTCTTAAGTGTCTCTGCGGGCCGGATTGAGAGGCCCAACGGGCCGCATCTGGCCTGCGGGCTGTAGTTTGGAGACCCTGCTGTAGGGAATAGCCAATCATACTTTTACACGCACGGTTAAAGAAAGCTTAAAAACAATATGACATCTTTGTACTCACAAACGGTGTAAAAAACACCGGTAAAAGAGACTCACAAACGGTATAAAAAACGTCTTTGTTAATCGATAAATATAATTGATAAAAAGCGAAATATCGTTTTAGTTTATTATCCTACTCTTGGACATAATATTAGAAAACAATACAACGCTGAAGACGTCCAATAGAAACCTTATTACAAGACTTGATCATTTTGATGTTTTGGATTATCTGGTGAGTACAACAGCTAATATTTTGCATCCATTTTGATTTCTAACCGTATATTAATATTATCATAAAACGGAAAAGTAGGGTCCTGTTTGTGATTCTATTTAACATGAAAATTTCACCCTTGTTCATGTAGTTTAATTCAGGATGTATTTCGCACATCGCGCATCTTCATATTCAAGCTGCATTTAGAAATCCTATATACGAGTATATTGTCAAAATATCTTTGACAGAAGTAAATGTATATATCTATCTAAGATATTTTTACAAAGAACATGGTTATAAATGTTCATTTTAGTTTACAGTGATTAACGATTGTGTTTACACTAGCCGTCCACCCCTAATTTGAATTTCAAATTTTGATTATTGCCACATACTATGCTTTTAAAGACGCAAAATATTGATCAAAATTCTAAATAAGAATTTTGGGCATTTCTGGATTAAATTATTGCATTACTTGACAAAGTTGATAAAATACTAGTTTGGATTGGTTTTGTCGGGACTGACGGACATACCGTAGTAAATATGATTGACATTTATTGGGAGGGACTTAGAAGTGTTTTGTTTTTTATGATAGTGAAATAGTGATGTACTATTGGGTGTAGATAAAAAGCGGACGCGGACGGCGGACGCAAAACGCGCAAATATATAAAAACGCACAAAATATATCCTGAAAGATAAAGCTCGTACAAACAGACGTTCGTACAATCATTAAAAACAGAGCTGCACGAAACTGTTTCCACTGTTTGCCTATACCTATGTCTCATAAAAGCATCATTTAGTTTCGTTTTTATTTTAGCTTTTTCAATGTTTATTTTTCGACGTAGAATAAGAGTATTTTACGAACGGACTAAAAGCATTTTATTTGCGCGTTTTGCGTCCACCGTCCGCGTCCGCTTATACGATTCTTCTTTAGTATCTGTACTATCCCGCTTCGAAGTCGGAAACGCGAGAATTTTCCCAGCTGAATGCCAAATTACCAAAGTTAGTTATATCGAAGTTTGAGGGTTACTTTGTGGATTGGCTCAGGTTATGGGGACAGTTTTCTGAGGCCATTGACAAAGGCTCCATTGCCGCAATAACTAAGTTTACGTATTTGTTAGAATTGTTGAGTCCAAAGGTTAAAATATGCGTTGAGTCACTCCCTTTTTCAGCCGAAGGCTACAACCGAGCTAAATCCATACTTCAGGATAAATACGGCAAAGAGTCTGAAATTGTAAAATGCTATGTCAAGGAAATCCTCGAACTGCCGCACATTTCAGGCAACAATCCGCGTAAAACTGCAGATTTTAGCGAAAAACTTACATATTGCGTGCGAGCTTTAGAAACCTTAAAGAAGCTTGATGAGATAAACGAAAACGTGTCCATGACCTTAGAAAAATTATCAGGGATAAGGGGAGATTTAGTCCGTACCGACCCAGATTGGGAGTCTTGGAGTTTTGGTCAGCTTTCTGAAGCTTTGCGATAGTGGGTAAAACAAGACGATAAACACGCAAGTGACAGTAAAGCATTAATGACCGACGGCGTGCATGTCGAGGGTATATTTCCTGTTGTTGTAGTTCAAGTGAACAATGTTAAGTGTAGGGCGTTGATTGATTCCGGTGCTGGAAGCTCATACGCCTCAGCAAAGCTAATTGATGCACTTCAAACAAAACCTAGCGATATTAAACACCAGCGTGTTGACATGCTCATGACATCACGAACTAAACGTATCGAAATTCATCGCGCGACGATTAGTGCACTAGACGGCTCTCACGTGATGAGGGTAAAGTTGAACAAAGTAGATCGCCCAGAACTATTAACTACTAGTAACCCCCAATATGAAAAACTCGTGAGAGAATACAAACATTTAAATTCGGTAAAAATGGACGATGTCGAATCGAAGGCTAGGTTACCAATACATCTCGTGCTTGGAAGCGGCGAGTATGCTCGCATAAAAACCAGGACAAAACCGTTGGTTGGTAACGAAGGGGACCCAATAGCAGAGCTGACAAAGTTGGGATGGATCATCATGAGCCCTGGCGTTGAAGTTGATCAGAACATGATGCTACTAACGACAATCACAAACTCGCAAAATGACCTTGAACGATTGTGCAGGCTGGATGTACTCGGTTTAGAAGACACGCCGGAGAAGAACCCTCTTCTCGTCTATAACCAATTTAGAGAAGACCTGTCTCGTGATGACGAGGGCTGGTACGAGACCGGTCTGCCTTGGAAGACATACCACCCGGAACTTCCATCATATGAGCGAGGAAGTCTGCGACGACTGAATAGTTTGATGAAACGTTTAAAGCGCAGTGGAATTAAACCTTCAACCAAGGTGCAATGGAATATTAGAGTGTCGCGGTAGAATAAAGGGGGAGTATCCCACATTCCTACCGAAAAAATCCACATTTACGAGGAGAATTGTGGAACAAGCACATTTAACAACGCTCCATGGGGGAGTCTCAGCAAACATGGCCGAAGTGCGAGAGCGATATTGGAAACTGCGTCGACTAGTGAAGCAAGTGAAGTCCAAATGCTATGGTTGCGTAAAGTTTCGAGCACAGTCATTCCAAAACCCACCGGAAGGAAGATTGCCAACTACAAGAACCCAAGGGTCAACTCCATTTCAAGTGCTAGGAGTCGATTTTGCTGGCCCTCTTCGATACATGGGGAAAGGAAAAATGGAAAGAAAGACATACCTTGTTCTTTACGCGTGCAGTCTAACCCGAGCAGTGCACATGGAGTTGTTGATATCACTGAAAGTTGCAGAGTTCGTCCCGAGCCTGAAGAGATTAATTGCAAAAAGAGGAAGACCGGAAATAATATATTCGGACAACGCTACTACATTTAAGGCTGCAGAAAAGTGGCTTAGATTAGCCCAGAAAGATGAAAAGCTCAACTTGTTTCTTACGAAACGAAAGATAGAATGGAGGTTTAACTTAAGTCGAGCTCCTTGGTGGGGACAATTTGAGCGTAGCTTCTATAAGAGCGTTGGAAATGGTAGATTGACATGAGAGGAGCTGTCTGAAATCATCTTGGACGTTGAGGTAGCACCTAACAATCGCCCATTAAGCTACGTAGAGGACGAAATTGAGCAACCAGTGCTCACTCCCAACAAGCTGCTGCACATAAACCCAAATGATCTTCCTGAAGTCAAACCTCATCAACAAGAATCGACCGATCTACGGAAAAGAGCTAAACAGCTGAGGAAATACAAAGATCAGATGTGGCGACGATGGACACGAGAGTACATCAGAGGATTGAGAGAGCGCCACAAACAAAGGAATGGTGGAAAGCAATCAGATTATCCAAACCATGGGGATGTGGTAACAATTGAAAGTGAAGAAAAGAACCGGAATATGTGGAAGGTAGGTATTGTGGAAGACCTGATCCGTGGACGGGACGGAGTTGTACGGGGAGTAAGGTAGAGAACAGCGAAGGAAGACTCGAGCGGGCTGTGCAGCAACTCTACCCTCTAGAGTTATCGTGTGACTTAGATCCCAAAGGCGAATTGAATCCTGCAGCTCCTGAATTCCAACCGAAACCACGACGTGATGCAGCAGTTGCTGCAGAAGTAAGAATGCAACAACATGTGGAAACTGAAGAGTGGTGACATTTATAAAATTATATATAAACATTTGCATGCATAATAATCCTTTTTTGAACTTTAACGAAGTCAGTCCCTTCTGTTATATATTTTAAAATTAATATATAGGGGAGTGTGTCGGGACTGACGGACATACCGTAGTAAATATGATTGACATTTATTGGGAGGGACTTAGAAGTGTTTTGTTTTTTATGATAGTGAAATAGTGATGTACCATGACGATTATTCATTAGTATCTGTACTGTGATTAGAATAAGAGCAAACGTTCGTGCACGGTGACTGTATTCAAAACGGCAACTTGGGGGTTGCATGAGTACAATATATTTAGTTGAATAAACGTATATCTGTGAGTTGTCGAGGACTACGATCTAAAAGCGGAGGCAAATTCTCGACAGTTTACGGTGATCGTATATTGAAAATCATCAACATGAGAAAGTGTGAAAAAAATTTCTAGTAACAGCTGCTTATGTTTGTGATTACAATTTTTAATAAAGTTGTTTCCATCTTTTATATATGACTATACATGGCAATATTTTATCCTTAAGTTATGGATTTTTCTTTAGGCGATGTACTGTAGAAATGTTTGAGGCTCTTCAACGCCAAATTTTTAATCTTCTGAATATTTTGAACAAGACAGAGTCGTTATTGTTGTTTGTTTCTATGCGTCTTTGTCCCGTTTGAAATGGGTCTTATGAACATGAGAAAAATCTGTGGACTAGGAACAGTTGTTTATTTTTGTTTGTGCTTATATTTTACAGGAAAAATTACCCACTTTGTTTCCATATTTAGTTTTAAATGTATTATTATATAGTTATATACGACAGTATACTATCGTCTTAGAATGAATATTTTCTAGTGATGTGCAACTAATGTTTTAGGTTAGTTTTAAAAGTCGAATTTTTAATGTTCCGAGTCCGTAAAATAAGTCATTGTATAATTGACTTTTGAGTCCATCCATTCGTCCAACCATCTTCACTGGTTGTAGCAAAAACTACCGCTTACTTTATTAATTCTACAGCTTTTAGTTTTAGTGGGCTTGTTTTGTTTCACCTGCTCTCGTGGCTACGTAATGACAACCATTTTGAAAATGTTTAAATCTTCTCAGCTTCTTGGTTGAAAATATTCAAAATTTTGAATCTTATCAAAAGTGCAAGGTTGGAGATGAAAATATTTTTACGGAGATGAGATATACATATCTTTGATCAATTTGGAAAGTGCAACGCTCCTTCTATCTACTTTACAGGGCCATACTCTTCCTCGTATATTGGAAGGCATTCCACTAATTCTTTGTCAATTATTTATTATTGGCAAATTTTTGATCGTGCTGTTTAAAGAGAGAAAGAATTTTGGTAACCGACTTTTAAAAACTGGAATATCTAAAGTTAAAGAACGGCACTCTAAGGAAATGGATAATTTACTTGCAACAAAAAGCGCCATTGATGGTCTTGAAGAAAACCCAAACGACGTTATTCTAAACCTCACCAACCAAAGTCTTTCCCCCGAGCAGATTGAAGTTTTGAAACTTGGTCTCCGACATGGCTTTTTTACACGACCTAATGAACTTGAAATGCTGTCAGTTGCAGAAGATATTTGGGATCAGATTGCCACACTGAACCAATTCAAAGATGGAAACTATGTTGGAGATAAGTTAAAAAACTCACTACGCTCCTTTACGTATAATTACTTAGATTTAGATTTAGAGCAATTCCATATTGATAGTAAACGTATTTGTATACTCAAGGAACTCAATAGTGATTACGCCATTCTGAAGCCTGACAAAGGCAATGGAGTTGTCTTGTTAAACCACTCTGATTATGTCAACTCTCTTAATTCTCTGTTCGAAAATCCCTCTAAATTTAAGCGTATTCCAAGCGACCTTACTTCTAATAGACTCTCCACTCTACAGTCCTATCTATGCACACTTCTAAAACGGGGTGAGATCAATGAAACCGAACATACTTTCTTACGACCTAAGCACGCGCACTTTGCCAGAGTACATGGATCACCTGAAACGCACAAACAATTTGACACATTACCTAAGTTACGACCAATAATTGACACCACAAACACACCACACTACAACGTAGGCAAATTCATTGCAAACCTTTTGAATCCACTCACCCTAAATAAATTTTCATTACAAGACTCTTTCGATGCTGCTGATGCTATTAAATCTATACCTCAAGATCTATTTTCCCAAGGTTATAAGTTTGTCTCTTTTAATGTTGAATCTCTTTTCACCAACGTGCCTTTGCGTAAAACCATCAACATTGTACTAGATCGCATTTACAAACAAAATATTATTAATACCACACTCCGAGAATCAACACTCAAAAAACTCATTATTGATTCATGCACCAAAACTATATTTTCTTGCAACGGTATTCTTTATGAACAACTTGATGGCGTTTCCATGGGGTCTTCTCTCGGTCCCGTCTTAGCTAATATAGTTCTCACTGAATTTGAAAACATCATTGTCACTGATTTGATCAACTCAGGTGTCCTTAAGTTTTACCGACGTTATGTTGATGATACTCTTGTTCTTATGCGACATTCTGACATTTCTGATGTTCGTGCCAAATTTAATAGTTTTGATCAAAATCTTGAATTTACTTATGATGATTCTTCTGACTCACATGTCCACTTTCTAGACCTCAAAATAACCAATAATGATATTGATATTTTTCGTGAAACAACTCATACTGGCCAATATACACATTTTTCAAGTTTTGAACCTTTGAACACCAAACTCAAAACCAAAATCATAGCTAGAACTAACCCCCCTAAACAAAATACTGAGAATGACCTTCGTAAAGTTTTCATTACAATACCATATCTAGGCATACAGGGTGAACGTTTGGTTGACAATCTTCTTTGTGAAATTCGCCGTAGCTTAAAAATTCCCATCGAACTCATAGTTGAATATCAAACAAAAAAGACATCAACTTTCTATCCCAAAAAGGACAAAATTCCTGAACTCTCTAAAGCCAATGTTGTATATGAATTTAAATGTCCAGGTTGTGGTCATACATACATAGGCAAAACTGAACGAATCCTACACACAAGACTAACCGAACATGCCACTAATTACAATAATCCTAGTGCTATCTCAAAACATTTACTCATTTGTCCAGAGGCCAACTACATCTCACAGCTTTTCTCACTTCCTGACGTTGACTCTGACCACGATCTCACACGCGTGCCACTTAAATCTTGTAATTTGATTCCAAGTAACACCAAAATCTTATATCACTGTAATAATGATAATCCTAATCAACTTCTCATCTTAGAATCGCTTTTGATAAAACGCAATATGCCACAACTTAACAGTGGTCTCAAAGGTTGTAAGAAATTATCTCTATTTTAAATGTAAATATACTGACTGATTGTTTAGTCCAGGGGTCTCCAAACTTTACAGCCAGAGGGCCGCATGAACTTTCATCCAGCTTGTTGAGGGCCGACGAATCGTATACCGCTGGTCAAAGAGCGAATATTTTAATAAAACGAAGTATATAACACAAGCTTCATTAGTTAAGAAAATATTTATTCAAAATTTAAAGGTTAAATTTCAACCAAGTGTAATATCATAACAAAATTACAATTAGTCTGTTCAGTTTTCTCAATGTGAATGGTGAAATTGGCTTTCTAAAGTGTCTCTGCGGGCCGGATTGAGAGGCCCAACGGGCCGCATCTGGCCCGCGGGCCGTAGTTTGGAGACCCCTGGTTTAGTCTTATAGTTCTCTAATTACATAACTGTCATTTTCGCTTGTAAATAATTATATAAAAGTTTCGCAGCCTGCATTGTAAACTATTAGTCTGATGATGTACAAGCAGATTGAGTGCCGAAATGGTCGAGATCGCCATTGATATGATGGCAAAATATACCTTCTCCTCCGAGCTCTCCGGCTTCCCCCCGGCTAAATAATATAAATACGGTGTTGACTGATGATAACAAATCAAATCAAACGGAAAATTTGGAAAGACAGCAGAACATTTATCATGCGGGCTCATCGTTTTGTTCTAAAGATAGTACAAGTTGTTTGTATCAGGGCTGGGCCGAGCTCTTTATTCGACGGCCAAGTGGAAATACGTCCTGGGTACTAAGGCTGCAGAATCGTCCAACATCTAGCGACATTTTTGTCGGCGGAGGTTCGCGATCTCAGGTTGAGTTGACGTCACCGGAGATTTACGATAGTTTGATTCCGAAAGAATTTTTTGGTGAGGAAGAAATTTTATGGAAAAGACGAGCGAAATAATTGTTTTAATTCAATGTGTTTTTTGTCTGATTCAGATGATTTGTGGGCAGAAGTGAGAGAAGAAAAATCAAAAGAAGTTTTAGCAAAAACCACAGGGTTACTCAGTAAAAGTGCTGACAGCGATACACTTATTGTAGATCTTGTAAAAGATCACGAAGTTCAAAATACGACCAAAATGAACGCTGAAGATGAAGTCGTTGGTAAAGAATCTTACGCTTGAATATTTATTCATCATAATATGATTGTGGTACAACGAGGGTTTCATTGGGACGATAAGGGACCTTTGTAACATTGATCACATAAAATATTTATTTAGATAAAAATACTGGAAGGAAAGTGTCCTTTAGCCAGGATGGAGGACCTGAGAATGATAATAACATTGGTTCTTTCGTTAAACGAACACGGTATCTTAGTCATAGTCCGAGGGATGGACCAAGTGCCTTCATGGTACGCATGCTCAGTAATGAATAATATTTTACTGTGCTACGATTGCAATTTTGATGTTTATATAGGGTCTTGATGGAGTCAAAGATTCTATCGATGACGCACTTCACGAAAATCCACCTGAAAGTATGTTCTCCCCTTCCATATCCTTTCAAATCTACCCTATTCTTTGCTTTTTCTAACTCTGCTTCTCTTCATCTCTTCTAAAACTCGTCTTTTCAATTTTTCATTTTTAGTGGAATGCGAAGATTTTTCCCAATCACCTGTATTTGAAAAGGTAGTCAACTTTTTTTTTCTATTTTTGATTCTCTCTTTTTATCTTTTTGTGTAAAAACTCCCATAAATGTTCATTTCTTTAAGCCCGTCGTTGGGAAATCTCCATTGGATGCAAGTCCCTTGAAGAAATTTCTTCAACAAGATAAGAAATATTTGAACGAAGATTCTGTATGTTCACGTGATGAGCTCGTGTCAAAGTAATGTCTTTTTTTGAATTCGTTTTTCAACAATTTCAGGACAGTGATAGCTTTGAGGAAACTCTCGTGAACTCAGGTAAGTGTTTATGCTAAAGGAAGGGAGAAAGGAAGGATTACATAAAATTTCTTTTTCAGATACGACGTCAAATCTTCAAGAAGACACTTTACAAAATAATTCTCCACTGATTTCAAGTAATTCTCACGATTTTGATAAAGATGAATCAACTTCTGTAGATGTTACAACTTCATCACCAACATCTTTTGTGGAAAGTGTTCTCAATACATCAAACTGCGAAGAAAATGAATCTACCAGGGGTTTTCACTCTCTGCCAAACTCCCCAACATCTCAAACTTCAGCTTGCAATGCATCACAGAATATGAAGGGAAGTTTTAGTCCATTGTTTGGCTTTACTGGAGATAAAATCCCTACAAGAAACTTTCACGTTAAGACGAACAAAAGCGCCACGGTTGACATTGGTATGTTAAATCGATCTTCGTCCTTTGTTGATGTCGAGGAAAGCATGAAAGGGAAACGAGGTTGGAAAAAAATTAAATAAATGTGTTTGCTTTCATTTTCATGATGTTAATTGAACGTTTTTGCTCATGTTTAGGTATATCAAAGCTTTTCGAAAATGACAATGGAAAAAAACAAACAGTTTTACTAAGACGACAGACTATGTCTGGTAGTCAACTGCCTAAGAAAAAATTAAATCGCAGAAGTTACGATGGATCATTTTCTGATACAGCGACGATGAATCACGAAAACAATGACGAAGATATGCCGATGACTTATGACGCAATGAGTCCAAACTTCATTTTCTTACAACTATATCATTTGTCGTGGTTTGGCAAGGATCACACTCCACATGCAATACCTGAACAAGAGGTCAGTTGGTGTTCGTCTTCGGCGGCTAGAGTGTTGCTTACAACCTTATTGTTACATGTACTTCTATTTTACGACTGATTACTCTTCCTTTCGTCTCATCATGGCCAGTAAATTATGTTTTTTTGATGATATTGTGTTTTTAGTTCTTCCATCGCGCTGTCAAGAATCTTGATCGTATCATGTCTTACGATACTCACAAGATTGCCGTCATTTATGTAGCTGAATATCAAGAAAATGACGAAGTAGCTATCCTTCGTAATCAATATGGGTCATCGAGATACATGGAGTTCCTTTCAGGTCTTGGAGAGCTAGTCAGACTTCGTGACTGCTCTGTTTGTGATGTTTATACTGGGGGACTGGAAAGGAATGGCGTTGATGGAGAATATGCATATTGTTGGAGGAGTGAGTTAGCTCAAGGTATGTCGGTCACGTGCTCAAGATATGTAGGTCACGTGCTCAAGATATGTAGGTCGCGTGATGAGTTTAATTGTTAAAGTTTAATGGGTAGGTAGAAATGTAACACCTTTCAGTATTATGTAATGTATGAAGGGTAGACAGGTGTTAGGAGAGGGTAAAGGAGTATAGGAAAGGATAAAGATGTGTTGTAGATGGTAAAGATTGGTAGGAGAGGGTAAAGAAGTGTAAGAGAGGGTAAAGATGTGTATGATAGGGTAAAGATGTGTACGAATGGGTAAAGATGTGTAGGAGAGGTAAAGTGTAAAGAGAGTAAAGATGTGGATAGGAAAGATGTGGATGGTAAAGAAGGAGAGGTAAAAGTGTAAGAGTAAAGATGTATGGAAAAATGGAATGAAAGATGTGTAGGAGGGTAACTAGAAGAGGAAGGAAGGAATGTTGGAAGGAAAGTGAACTCAGGCATTTGTAAAATATAACACAATGATCTTTGTTAGTGATGTTTCATATTGCAACGTTGATGAAACAAAGAAAAAGATCAAATTGTCATTCAAAGAAACTTCACATAGGAAATGATAATGTAACCATTGTTTATAATGATTCAAAACAGAATACAAGATGGGAGTCATAAAGGTAGAAATTTGTTGACGTTTTCTACTCATGTTGGTCGAAAGCGTGGGGAGTTATCATTCCTAGGGACAAAGGGTTGGAGTAAATATTTTTTACAGTGTATATTTATGTATAGTGGACTACCTGATTTCAAAATACACGTCATAATTTCTTTCTTTGTATTTTTTCGCCTGGCGAACTTTGTCTAATTATCAAACTTTTCCTCCCTTCAAACTTATCTGAGAATGTTGTTTCCTCCAGTCTCGCAAACGTGTGGATTATTTACGTTTTTTTGAATGTTTTCATGGATTGATTTTGTAGGGTCAGTTTAACTTTGTGGAAATTGTTATCAAACCGCTGGATAACCAAACCAACATCGTCTGTTTAAATATCAAAGATGAATTGAAAGAAATATTAATGAATTCTAACCTTACTCCGAGGATTATATCGGACAAGAATCTTGCAACATTGGTTCGCCATATGGCTTTACATGTAAACGTAAGTCTACATCATAACATAAACCCTCAGCATACTACTTCAAACTTCACAAATCTTTTCTTGTCTCGTTATAAGATGTCATCTGTCATTTATCAAAGTCAAAAAACACCAACTGATGCTTATTGTTGTAACAGACTACAACGTCTACGACAACTAAAAAGAATCAAGTCACGTATTCCTACTGCAGAAACTGAATCATTAATACACAAGAGAGAGACTTATAGTATTGTAGACTTTACAAAATATATTATTTAATTATATCCTATATTCCCTGTTGCAGAAACTGAATATAGTTCACCAGTGTGCGTGAAGATTTCATCGTTATAAATTCTCCTTACTTTGTCACAACATGGCAAATTTGACCTAAAATTTCCCCGACTTGTAAATTTTCACATTTATGCTTGTAATATAAACTTAACTCAAATATCAAATTTCTTGTTTGACCTATAATTTGAGTCTAGTAGACGTGCCCTCGTGTTTTGTTTCTTCTTCTGCGAATAAATTGGTTTCGTTTTGGAAATCATCTTTTGAAAATATTCCAACGCTTTGCAAGTTGATAAAGTATTGAGGTTCGTCTGGGTTGATTGACTCACTTCGCTCTTTTTTATATAAAATGGTTTTTTGATAAAATTGCGGTTAAATGACTTAAATTTACTGGAATATCTTTTACTGTTTGTGATTCTAATTTTCATTTCACCCTTTGTTAGTGTTTGTTGTTTGAAACATAAGCAACGATTTATTTTTGTTTATTCCAATTTAGAAATGAGCATCTTCGTCTTCAAATTTTTGTCTGCCAGATGCATTAAATTTACTAATCACTATCTTGATTATCTTTTGTTTAATAGAGTTCATCACGAAAAGTGCCGCGTTTGAAATGGCTTACATACTAACAATATGTTACAATTTATCAATGACTAACGCTAGTATCTTGACTAACGGTAGTATCTTGACTAACGGTAGTATCTTGAGTAATGAAAGTACGACGTCATCCACAAGGTAGAAATTATACATATGTTACAAAATGAACAGTTTTTCCAACGTTAAGTGCAACATAATCTATTACAAAGAGAACATGGTAAGTTCTTGGAAATTTTTTATATGATATTACTATTTTTAGTGAATCTTGTCTACCGGATGATAATTATCGTCATTGGTTCGTGATTCCTGCTGTAAGATTTCTGTGAAGATGAAATATGTTTGAATTCGCTTATTATATAAATGTATATTTTCCATAGGTTGCAATATTGACAATATTAGCATTTTTAAATCGTCGTAAGAGCTTTAAGACTGAAATGTTTAAAGGTCGTCCTGGTGTTGTGATGTAAGAAAAATATTATTGATAAATTAAAACTTATTTGTGGTTAAAATGATTGTTTGTTACTGTTTTGTTAACTGTCATATTGGTCTGTTGTAGTCCGATGGATTTTCTGGACAGAAATTGTAACACAATTGTAACTTTATTTGGAGCAATAACTGGTTCTATTTTGTTGCTTGTACTGAAAGTTTTTGATTCTCACGACAATCCTTGGGCTAAAGGTTGTTTTTTATTCGTCTTAAAATATATGCAATAATGAGGTTTATGTATTGTTGATTTCGTCCATAATTTTCTATCTTGCAGCCTTCCTGACCATTTTAGTTTGTATTGAGATTGCTTTTCTCTTTCATCCAATCTTTGGATGTTTGGCTTCACATTATCGTATTATTGGATCATTGTTAGGCTTTAGTTACAGTCTGTCGTTGTAAGTTTACAGTAATCTTGTTTATATTTTCTAAGCTCACTGATTGCCAGGTCTTCACTGGTTGGAGCAAAAGCTACGGCTTACTTTATTAATTGTACAGCTTTTAGTTTTTGTTCCTTTGTTTTGTGTCACCTGCTCTCGTGGCTACGTAATGACAACTATTTTGATAATGTTTAAATCTTTTCAGCTTCTTGGTTGAAAATATTCAAAATTTTGAATCTTATCAAAAGTGCAAGGTTGGTGATGAAAATGTTTTTACAGAGATGAGATATACATATCTTTGATCAATTTTGAAGATGCAACGCTTCTTCAATCTAATTTACAGGGCTATACTCTTCCTCGTATATTGGAAGACATTCCATTGTTTCTTTGTCAATTATTTATTATTGGCAAATTTTTGATCGTGCTGTTTAAAGAGAAAAAGAATTTTGGTCAACTATTCTATGATGAGGTATTTTAGAGCTTATATTATTAGAATGATTTATTTATAATGTTTTCATTGAGTATAATTTTAATACATTTACAGACCAAAGATACTTCTATCAATGTAAAACTTTCATTGCCATGGTTCAATGATTATGTCAAAAATATTTTTTATCCAAGGTAACGTCACTAGTCTTTTTGTCACAACATGGCGCATGTATATAACTTGTTGTAAAATTAAAGTCATTTTCTTTAATCTTTTCAGAAAAACACCTGACCATTCGAAAGTTTTATTATATTTAAGGAAGATCTACAATCCTCATAAATGTAGGAATGATTTTACTCAAGTCAAGAAAAACAATTAAATTCCCTTAATTTCCCTAAAACTTACAGTTTGCTAACAATACGTTTTGATATGTTTTCTTTAATAATTTTGTAGATTTTAAATTTTCAACTCATACTTTGTCTGTGTGTATGGTTTGTTCTATTATTTTGTATGGCGTAAGTTTTCATTTCGTTTGTTTCTTCCAACTTGCCACTATAGTTTTCGATGTTTATATGGTTGAGGAATGATGAATGATTGTTGTAAAAAATTGAGTTAAATGTTATTGAAAATATTTTGCGAAATTCGATGCTCTTTTCTATTGTCGCTGCAACAGCGAGCGTACGATGTAGAAAAACATATTTAAATCATATAATAGGGTTATGTTCAGCAAGAATTAAAAGAAAAGGAAGACTGTTTTTATGACATTAACATTATAACATTAGTTCTTAATTTCAAGGTAACTCCCGTGTACGCAGTGTACCTATGTTTTCTTTTGACAGCAAATCTTTTTATCGTTTTTTAGGCAACAATTTTTGAGATTACAGTTGTTGCTCAATCCTTTAACGTTCGCTACCAAAATTCACTTTTGGAAGACGTTATTCATGGCATTCGTGGTTGGTTCTGTTTATAAGTACAATGAATTCATTTTATTATTTTCTTACCATATCTTTTTCATCAAACGTTGAATTTTTTTAGATTCCTTAATCGCATCGTTGATTCTCACGTTTTTGTTTTGTGCTCTCTCCATTCCTCGTTTTATGGAAAACCATAAGTAATCTTTCATTTATTTTTTTGTTATTACCATTGCACAGGATAAATGTAGAGTCGTTCTTATTTTTCTTCATTTCATTCAGAAATAACATGTTACGAATGTTCAAAGGCGATAAATCCTTCATTCCAAAAAACATAAAATCTTCACAGTTTATGATCGTAAGTTAAATCATCAAAGTAAAGATAAATTTGTTCAATTGAAGACAACGTTTGACGATTTTCCAGGGAAAATCTTTGCGATATCAAAGTTTTCAAATTGGCTATTTTCTTTTGGGTAAGAAAGTTTCATGAAACATTAAACATCATTTGATATACCCAGATCAAAAAAGTTTTTCATGTATATACATTTAAAATAATTGTATTTCAGGTTATTTGTTACAGTGGCTTATGTTGTTCCTTATTTGTGTATTTTTCTACTGTCTAAAGTTTCCCATTTTTCGAAAATTGGTGTTGAATCGTGTCAAAACAGTAAGGTAGGTCAAAGTCCAAGTAATTTTCTTTATACATAATCTATATCGAATTCTGAGTGCGATAGGACATTGGAATTTCACTAAATGCAAGAATTTTGAATCCATAAATTTCCCAATAAATGTATTAGGACAGGACAAAATCGAATCTAGCGGTAACAAGTTTGTTAAGCTTAATGAGAGATCCAAACTTTGGATGAAAGATAATGGTGAATTTCTCCAAAAGATATAAGCTACAGCGACTTAAACGGCGTGTCATGCAGTCGGTCTTTTTCAGCTTTTATTTGTTCTTCCTTTGACTTGTTGTGCTGATTCGTTTTAGAATGAGCTGGTGTTGCTCAAGTAGTAATTTATTAAAAGTGTTTTCTATCAGGCTGATGTTATTTTCTTTTCTTTGGTTACTGTGATGTTGACTTTCTTGCAACAATTAAGTCTAATATTTGCGTTTTTACTGAGCTCGTTTGGCATGCAGCCGGGTTAGTTGTGTATTTCGACGAGGGATTCAGAATAAATGGTTTTTTGAAAGAACTTTTTGACTAAATTAAAATATTAAAAAATTTGTTTTCGTTGTTTGTTTACATGTTAAAGTTATGTAGTGGATTGCAAAAAAAAAATTTGTTCTTCATTGTCTTGTTTTCTCATCTTTTGTTATTTAATTATCGTAACTCTCAACTAATCATCATGATTTGTCATTTTTTTCAGCGTTTTCTTTGCTGTGGGATTATTAACTAGACTTACTCTTCCTTTAACTGCTGTGACAATTTTCCGTGATCCTGATTACAATAAAAATGTAATATCCGTGAACAACAGGTAGAAATAAATGTTTTCATGATATCATCAAAATATTTTTAACAAATAAATTATTATCATCAACATTTTTTCATACACAGGAACGCGTATTTAGTATTTTCCTATTTTTGGTTCTTTATTGGTCTTCCCATGGGAATATTGTCAGCGTTGTCGCGTATTTTAAAAGCAATGATAATTGTGCTTATCTTGTTACCAAGAGTGGATCATAGTGTTCTGCCTGATGGTTTTCAACAATTTGATCCTGGTACGTCATTGAAGTCTTTTATCACGTGATCTTGATTCCTGTCAGAGACAGAGAGATGTTAAAGTTCATTCAGTAGATCTCAACACATTTTCCTCGTTACATTATTTAAGGTTATGTTTCGTACATCGCCTATCTTCATGTTCAAGCTGCATTTAGAAATCCTATTTTACGAGTATTTTGTCAAACAATCTTTGACAGAAGTAAGTATTTTTTTTATCTATAATATGTTTGTAATTAACAATATTATAAGTGTTCATTTTACTTTACAGAAAATGGTATCCACCAATGGAAATGCTCACCTCAAGCCCGCACCAGGTGGTTCCTTGCCTTAACTTTGGCCCGCAATCCTGAGATCATCAGTTATCGTAAAGATAAAGAAAAAATTTCAAATGATAAAGCTAGCGTCAGTTCTGTGAGAGTTAGTCTGTACGGTTCGGACAAAACCAACTTAGTTGTTTGAGATGTAGATATCTCCATGACAACAACGTTGTGGTGGGGAATGTTGACGATTGTTAGTTTGATTTTTTATGTTTACTTTCATGGTTTGATAATAGACGAGATTGAAAACAGGAATAATTTGAACTTCCTAGCTGAAACATAACACGTATAACGATAAAGAGACAATAGTCTTTACTTTTTATTCAGTGTGGGTATTCTTTTACTGTCCATCGAGTGAAAGATATTTTTCCTTATCCTATATTAGTCATCTTTTGCTCAAATTAAATTACATAATGATTTTTATTTTTTACCCAATTCGAAATTGACAAGTCAGTGTTCGCCAGGAGCGTAGAAAGATCAATAGTTGGCAACATATATACATGGAAAATGACGGATGAAACTGCTGTCGAAATGAAACTGTAGTTTTTGTGATTTTTTTTCAATATCACTATATAGATCTTTACGCTCTGCTCTCGCGCATCGAGTACTGTTTTTTCTCGGAGAATCATCACACAGAATTTTTCTAAAACGGTATTAGATGTATATATGAAGATGAATTTTGAAGTTACAAAAATATTACATTGAGTTAATGTAATGTTTCATTGACAGAGTGTTGATAATAATGGATGAGATCGAAATTCTGGTGTATAAAGTAACAGTTTATATAGTAACCAACAATTGCATATTCCTCCTCTTAAAATATTAGTAATTTAAAAACATTCATATAAGCAAAGTCAATCAACAAATTAATTCTTCGCAGGCACTAGATTTGGTCCCAGGCCTTTAATTGTATATGGAGAATAAATTTATGCTAGCCAATTGTTTGCACTGCAAAAAGCAATTTTTCATCCTTCACCGTGTCGGCAGCCGTAATGGAACTCATATTGAACTTTTATAATAACAGTAATTAATTTGTGGAGTCTTTTTTCACCTTTGAAACTTTGTTTTGTTTTGTTTCTTTTAAAATTTTTTCACTAAATCAACTTTGAAATTAAAAGTACTGTTGAAAAGAGGGATGGTTCTCTTAAGAGAACGTAAGCGATGTACTGTTTTTCACGAACAAAAATATGATAAAAATATATCGATAAATGTACTAGATAACACAAATGGCTGTTCAAGAATACAAATATCAACAAAGCGAAACGAATATAAATATCAACAAAGCGAAACGAATATAAATATCAACAAAGCGAAACGAATATAAATATCAATAAAATCATCTTATTGTCTGAACAACAAAGGTCTGCTGACATCGTAGAATGCTTTGTAAGATTCTGAACGATGGAAAAAAACCACTAATGATAAAATAAAGCAGCACAACTAGTTGATGCAAAAAGTATTTTCTTTAACCGTATCTCGTTCCTATTTCTAAATGTAACTATAGTGAAATATAGTTCTAAATTATTAGTTTGCGAGACATAGTACTTTCGCCATGAGTATGAGATCAGATCTTTCAATAGAAAACGATGCATCATAATCCGTGTGGAAACTAGTGCCACCTGATGTGATGAAACGAAGCTCAAGGTTCTTTTCTTTAAAAGAATTGGAACGATGTGCTAGTACCACGACGTGCACGTACTCAAATAATTATATAGGGAATTAATTGAGCCAACGGGTCGTGTTTTTGTTACTTTTTTCTAATCACGTTTTGAAAAGTCTATTTATTTCTGCGCATGCTCAGCGGCTACCCAAATAAAACTTTACTCAAGTATCAAATTTCATGTTCGACGTTTTTATCTGCCCTCGTGTTTTGTCTTTCCTTCTGCGAATAAATTGCTTTAGTTTTGGAAATTATCTGTTGATATTTTCCAACACTTTACAAGTTGATGATCTATTGAGGTTCCTTTGGGTTTATTTACTGTGTTTGTTTTATATGAACTTCTTTCAACGATGAAATGTCGGTTAAATTACTGGAGCATCTTTTAATTTCCGGTGGCGTGCTGACAGGGGCCCCGAGGAATGATTTTATACGGCAGAAGGGGCGCAAAATTTTTGGTTCATCCGACATTTTTAAACAACAAAAAATAGAAAAACGTGAAGCAGTACAACCACGTGGAACTGACCAAACGCCCATTTTATGTAATCGTGTTTTAGTGACGTACATTTGTGCGTATATTATTTATCTAGATTTGTGTATTAGCATTAGAGGGAATAGCCAATCATATTTTTACTTAAACGCGCTACTTACATACATTACCAAATAATTACGTAAATATACTCAAATTTCAAGTACTTTATCCGCAATAACTACACGTAGTTAAAGAAAGCTTTAAAAGCCTGCAAATACATTGTACATAACAGAACACTCACAAATGGTGTAAATAACATCTTTGTTTATCGATAAATATAATTCATAAAAAACGAAATAGCGTTTTAGTTTATTATCCTACTCTTGGACATAATATTGGAATATAATACAACGCTGAAATCACTGATTGGAATCTGAAGACGTCCAATAGAAACCTTATTACAAGACTTGATCATTTTGATGTTTTGCATTATCTGGTGAGTACAACAGCTAATATTTTGCATCCATTTTGATTTCTAGCCGTATATTAATATTATAATAAAACGGAAAAGTGGAGTCCTGTTTGTGATTCTATTTAGCATGAGAATTTCACCCTTCGTTTATATCAGTATTTTAAAATTAAACAACAAACTATTTTTGTTTATTTCAATTTAGAAATGAGCAACAACGAAACGGCGTCTTCGTCTTCAAGGTAAACGGCAAGAATACAGTAAATCTGTAAAAACCTAATTTATTGCTGGTTACTAAAGTAAGCGTTTCTCGAAAAATTTTTGTAACACAGTCAATAACAATGTAAAGTGTGATATCTTATAGAAGTAATTTGTGTTAGTTTTCTTGAGACTATTATTCAGACGTTTTTAATACCACAACTTTCAATAACTGCTTATGCTATCTTTGAAACTGATGGCTTTAAAATCGTGCACTGTAATTGATCTTATCCGTAATGACCATGTAATGACGTCAAAGGTGATGCGCGCGGTGCATTGTGGTCGTAGTAGTCACGCGAATGTAAAAATTACAATATGGCTATACCATTTATAGTGAGTTTGTGTTCGTTTCTCGTTTTTTTTACGTGCTTTTGATCTGAATAAAGTACTCAAATCTATTATAAACTTTTTCACGGGTCATCAGGGATTCGGCTGTTATAAAAACGGCAAAACTAATAATTCAAAATTAAACAAATAATAATTTGATTTCGGTTAAACAAAGCGAAGAGCACGGTAGTTTCACTTGTTGTGTTCATACAATAACAAAATGCATCCCAAGGTTTTCTTTATTTTCTGAACTGTAGACGTATAGAACACACATCCATGTATAATAGATAATTATGGTATCGTAGAAGAATTTTTCTCAAACGTGACTGGGCGTTACTGTTGTAAACGTCCGATCATAAAGTACTCTTGCTTAACAACCGGTAAGTGTTGACTTATCAGGAATGTGAAAAGACAGCCCACTATACGGCCAGGCGTTTGATAAAAATATTTCTACGATATGAAATTTACATATTCCTTATAAATATTGTGTATTCGATATGTTTACATTTTAAAAAATAATAAAAAGAACTTTCGGGATGCAATTTAATCGTTGGGGAACGCAACTGACAAGTGAAGTCATCGTACTCTCAACTTTGCTCGTCTGAAAATGGCACAAAAACTGGACTTTTGCCGTTTTTTTAAGACAGCCGAATCCATGATAACCCGTGCAAGAGTTTACTATAGATTTATTTGGATTAAAAGCACGTAAAAGAAAACGAGAAACAGACACGAAATTACAATAAATAGTATAGCCATATACAATGCTTAGTTGCTTACATTCGCGTGACTACCAAGACCAATGCACTGAGCGCATCGCTCTTTGACGTCATTAAGCATAAGTTGTTGCCTGCAAGTGCAGCTGTTGAAAATCTTTTCAGTTGTACAGCCTCGTTTACATACATGCGGATATTTTTGAAAACGGAGGTTTCTTCCTTTGTTTTGGCTTTTTGTCCACACGTAAACGGCGTTTTTTGTATCCGTGGAGGTTTTTGAATACGGTCTCCAGCATGAAGATTTTTGTGTTTACTTGTGAACGAGCAAAAAACGGAGGGTTTTGAAAACAATGACGTTAGCAATAAAGTCCAGTCGATTGATTGAGTAGCTGTAGATGGACCACGTTTAAAAATGATAGATCAGAAGTCCTTGCTTATTTTACTTGGAATAATCTCCACGATATAGCCAGTCCAAATAAGAATTTATTTTTGCCTTTTCAGATTTAGTTGTGTCTTTAAATGATTTGGCCATTTTGACTCGTGTAAGCTCGCTAAAATTAAATAAAGTGTCGTATGATACAAAAGTAAGCTGAGACGATTTTATAAAACAGCGAAAAATTAAACAAATGCAATTTGACCCTCACAAAATCTTGTAGGATTCGTTGATGAAGGATCTCTTATTACAACATTTTCGTAGTAATACGCATGCTCCGTGGTTAGAAGTTTAAAATTTTCTCGCTTTTTGTGTGGATGCAAATTTTTTCAGAAACGAAGAGAAAAATCTCCGTATTTTTACAAATCCGGGCAGCACTTTTGGCAATTTTGAGTTGTAAATGCTAATCTTTACATTTTTTGAAAAGAAACATTTTATATGCTAACTTTTTTCTGATCATCTTCTAGTTAGTGTAATAATACACTAAATGAATTTTTTGCAACTCTTTTTGTTGCTATATTTTTAGTGATTATTGTGATGAAGTAGATGATAATTACCATCACTGGTTCTTCATTCCTGCTGTAAGATTTCTGTCAAATGAAATAGTTTGAAATCCTGTTACATTAGATATAAATATAATTTTCTATTTTAGGTTGCAATATTGACAATATTAGCATTTTTAAATCGTCGCAAGAGCTTTAAAACTAAACTGTTTAAAGGTCGTCCTGGTGTTGTGATGTAAGAAAAATATTAGTGATGAATTAAAACTTATTTATGGTTAAAATTGTTGTTTTTTACTGGCTTTAACTTTCATATTGGTCTGTTGCAGTCCGATTGATTTTCTAGACAGAAATCGTAACACAATTGTAGCTTTATTTGGAACAATAACTGGTTTTATTGCCTCGCTTATATTGAACATTTTTCAGACTCAAAGCAATCCTTGGGCTGGAGGTGAATTATCTTTGTATCATCCTAACTTCTGTTTTAATAACGAATATAACTTGTTTATAATCGTCAATATTCTTTATCTTGCAGCATTTTTGACCATTGCAATATGCATTGAGGTTGCTTTCCTCTTTTATCCAATCTTTGGATGTTTGGCTTCACATCATCGTATTATTGGATCATTGTTAGGTTTTAGTTACAATCTGTCCTTGTAAGTTTGCAGTAATCTTGATTATATTTCTTAAGCTCACTGATCGCTATGTCTTCACAGGGTAGAGCAACAACTCACGTTCATTTTATAAATTCTTTAACTTCAAGTTTTTGTATCTTGTTTTATTGACGCTTGTTTTGTTTCATCTGCTATCGTGGCTGCGTAGTAACAACCTTTTTCAAAATTTTTAATTCTTTTCAGCTTCCTTGTGGGAAATATTCGCTGCCTGGTTGGTGATGAAAATGTTTTTACAAAGATGTGATTCATATCTGTCATTAATATTGAAAGTGAAACATATGTTAAATCTTCATTGCAGGAAAATGTTTCTCTTCCTGATGGTGTAACGTACATTCCAATAATTTTTGCCAACTATTTATTCTTGGCAAATTTTTGATCGTGTTGTTTAAAGAGATAAAGAATTTTGGTCAACTATGCTGTGATGAGGTATTTTAGAACTTATATTATTAAAATGATTTATTTATAATGTTTTCATTGAGTAAAATTTTAATACTTTTTCAGAGCAAAGATAATTCTATTAATGTAAAACTTTCATTACCATGGTTCAATGACTATGTCAAAAATATTTTTTATCCAAGGTAACGTCACTAGTCTTTTTGTAACAACATGATGTATATATATAACTTGTTGTAAAGTTAAAGTGATTTTTTTTAATCTTTTCAGAAAAAACCCAAACCATTCCAAAGTTTTATCCTATTTAAGGAAGATCTATGATCCTCATAAAGGTAAGGATGATTTTGCTCAATCCAAGAAAAACAATTAAGTTCCCTTTACATCCCTAAAAGTCACAGTTTGCAAAAAAGACGTTTTGATATGTTTTCTTGAATAATTTTTTAGATTTTAAATTTTCAACTCACACTCTATCTGTTTTTATGGTTTGTTCTATCATTTTGTATCAAGTAAGTTTTCATTTCATAAGTTAATGTTAGCTTGCTACTAAAATTCCCCATATTTATATGGTTCATGAATAATGAATGATTGTTATAAAAATGGTTTTAAAAATATTTTGCAAAATTTCATGCTCTTTTTCCTTGTTGCGGTCACTGCAAGCGTAAGTTATAGAAAAACGGATTAAAATTATATAATTGAATCATGTTACTGCCATTGAATCAAAAAAGAAGGATATCTTTCTAACATTCATTACAACATTATATTTGTTCATTTTCCTGTGTACGCATTGCGTACCTATATTTTCTTTCGACGACAAATATTTTTTATCGTTTTTTAGGGAACAGTCGGTTTCATTATAGTTGTTGCTCAATCCTTCAACGTTCGTGTGACAAAAAAGTCATCTTGGGAAGACGTTATTCGTAGCACTACTGGCGTTCGTGGTTGGTTCTTTTTATAAGTACAATGAATTCATTTTATTATTTTCTTACCATATCTTTTTTGTCAAACGTTGAATTTTTTTAGATTCCTTAATCGCAGCGTTGATTCTCACGTCTTTGTTTTGTGCGCTCTCCCTTCTTCGTTTTATGGAGAACCATAAGTAATATTTCATTTATTTTTTTGTTATTACCATTGCACAGGATAAATGTAGAGTCGTTCTTATTTTTCTTCATTTCATTCAGAAATAACATGCTACGAATGTTCAAAGGCGATAAATCCTTCATTCCAAAAGGAATAAAATCTTCACAGTTTATGATTGTAAGTTAAATCATCAAAGTAAAGATAAATTGTTCAATTGAAGACAAAATTTGACGATTTTTTAGGGAAAATCTTTACGATATCAAAGTTTTCAAATTGGTTATTTTCTCTGGGGTAAGAAGGGTTTGATGTACAAGCATTTAAGGAAGATTTGATGTATGAAGACCAAAAAACTTTCTCACGAGTGGAATTAAAAACATTTTTTATTTCAGGATATCTTTTGATTTTTCTTGTGTTGTTCCTTATTTGTGGATTTTTTTACTGTCTAAAGTTTCCGACCTTGGGAAAATGGACTTTGAATCGTTTCAAAACAGCAAGGTAGGTCAAAGTCCAAATAATTTTCTTTCTACATAATCTATATCGGATTCTGGGTGCGATAGGATATCGGAATTTCAATAACTGCAAGAATTTTGGATCCATGAATTTCGCAATAAATGTATTAGGACAGGACAAAATTGAATCTAGCGGAAACAAGTTAGTTAAGCTTAATGAGAGAGCCAAACTTTGGATGAAAGATAATGATGAATTTCTCCAAGAGATATAAGCTACAGCGACTTAAACGGCGTGTCATGCAGTCGGTCTTTTTCAGCTTTTATTTGCTCTCCCATTGACTTGTTGTGTTGATTTGTTTTAGAATGAGCTGGTGTTGTTCAAGTAGTACTTTATTGAAAGTGTTTTCTATCAGGCTGATGTGATTTTCTTTTCTTTGGTTATCGTGATGTTGACTTTCTTGCAGCAATTAAGCCTAATATTTGCGTTTTTACTGAGCTCTTTTGGCATGCAGCCTGGTTAGTTGTGTTTCGACGAGGGATTCAAAATAAATGGTTTTTTGAAAGAACTCTTTGATTAAATTAAAATATAAAAAAATTGTATTCGCAGTTTGTTTACATGTTAAAGTTATGTAGTGGATTGTACAAAAAAAAATTTGTTCTTCATTATCTTGTTTATTCATCTTTCGTTATTTAATTGTCTTAACTCTTAACTAATCATCATTATTTGTCATTTTTTTCAGCGTTTTCTTTGCTGTGGGATTATTAACTAAACTTACTCTTCCTTTAACTTCTGTGACAATTTTCCGTGATCCTGATTACAATAAAAATGTAATATCCATGAACAACAGGTACAAATAAATGTTTTCATAGTATCATCAAAATATTTTTAACAAATAAATTATTATCATCAACATTTTCTCATACACAGGAACGCGTATTTAGTATTTTCCTATTTTTGGTTCTTCATTGGTCTTCCCATGGGATTATTCTCTGCATTGTCACGTATTTTTAAAGCGATGATAATTGGGCTTATCTTGTTACCAAGAGTGGATCATAGTGTTTTGCCTGAAGGTTTTCAACGATTTGATCCTGGTACGTCATTAATGTCTTTAATCACGTGATGTTTATTCCTGTAAAAGACAGACAGAGGTTAAAGTTCATTCAGTAGATCTCAAAACATTTTCTTTGTTACATTATTTAAGGTTATATTTCGTACATCGCCTATCTTCATGTTCAAGCTACATTTAGAAATCCTATTTTACGAGTATTTTGTCAAACAATTTTTGACAGAAGTAAGTATTTATATCTACTTTAAATATGTTTATAATGAACATGATTATAAATGTTGATTGTTATGCATAACAGAAAATGGTATTTCTCAATGGAATTATTCACCTCAAGCCCGCACCAGGTGGTTCCTCGCCTTAACCTTGACCCGCAATCCTCAGATCATCAGTTATCGTAAAGATAAAGAAAAAATTTCAAATGATAAAGGAAGCATCAGTTCTGGTATAGATAATGCGTTCGGTTTGGAGAAAACCAATTTAATTGTTTGAGTTATGATTGTTTGTTTCGTTTGTTATAGTTTTTTCATATTTACATAGTTGAGAAGATGAATGAAACTAGAAATGTAATTTTCAATTTAAAGTTCAAATATGACAGGTATTAGAATGAGGCGATCGAGGTATTTTATTGCACAGAAAGTCCATTAAAGTAGAAGCATTTAAATTAAAAAAATAGAAATAAAAACATTGAAACTGTGAAAGACGAAGAGTGCTGAGTTCCTGACAAGAACAAAAAAATACACAGTTGTGGGAGTTATTCGTTATTTTTGCCATTTAAAAGATGATTGAAGGAAGATTCAACGGTAAAAGAAACGAAAGGACAAGGATTGAAATCTTCATTCTTTTGAAAGAAGATAAGTATGCTGTCGTATGTTACCATGAAAAAGTCCAAAAACAGAGTTTTTATGGTTATAGTAAATCACTTCACCTTCTTTTGGTTGATGGAATTATGCAGCAATTGTCACTGCAATGGCCGATTTCTTTGATAAATGCCATGACTTGTTTTCATTTAAATTTTATTGTGTTAGAGTTTCGTAGTTATGGCATCATTCAGCCCTAAGCTCATTCAATCAGTCTTAACGCTATTCATACGTCAGCAAACTATGTTTAGTATTTCTATGATATTGACGTAATTTGAAAGAAGTATCAGGTTACACATTTATAAGAAAAAAACTATAATTTACTTCGTTTTTCTAGCAGTTGCGTCTCTAGCATTTAATTACTAACTTGGCTACAAAAATTGGAAAGACTGCACAAATTTTAGCACAAATTGGTCTTTATTAGTTCTTTGAATATACAGGAAAATGCAAAATCTGCGAAAAATATTCTCTCGTTGGCTTAGTGTAGTGATCTGGCATTGAAATTTTTGAATTTAATGTGCGAGCAAATGATTATGTAAACAAAGTATCGTTGAAGACACTCGTTCATGTAGTTTAATTCAGGATGTATTTCGCACATCGCGTATCTTCATATTCAAGCTGCATTTAGAAATGCTATGTACAAGTATTTTGCCAAACAATCTTTTACAGAAGTAAATGTATATATCTACCTAAAATATTTTTACAAAGAACATGATTATAAATGTTCATTTTACGTTCCAGTGATTAACGATTGTGTTTACACTTGCAACATCCACCCCTATTTTGAATTTCAAATTTTGATTATTGCCACGTACAATGCTTGTAAAGACGCAAACTATTGATCCCAATTTTAAATAAGAATTTTGGGCATTTCTGGATTAAATTATTGCATTACTTGACAAAGTTGATAAAATACTAATAAGGTTAGTTTGGATTGGCTCACTGTGTTCGTATATTGGAAATCATCAACATGAGAAAGTGTGAAAAATATTTCTAGGAACAGCTTCTTATGTTTGTGATTACATTTTTTAACAAAGTTGTTTCCATCTTTTATATATGATTATACACGGCAGTATTTTATCATTATTGTCAATTTCAGTTAACTTTTCAAGTGGCGGTTGCCAAGTTACTTTCTAATGTTGCCAGTTACATTTCCAAATATGGAATATTCGATATGAACTTGTCAACTTGTTGAGTTGAGTTGACAAGTTGTGTACTTGAGTACGGAAGTTGTGTACTATAGTTGCAAAGTACTGGCAAACGCGAAAGGTATTTGTACCCTGTACCCTGTAGACATTTGGCAATGAATCCGTTCAGTAACAAGGAAAAGCTTTACCAATAGAAGTAAGAAATGAAATACTTGAAAGGTGGTTAAATAACGAGCGTTTGACAAACATTTCGAAACAACTAAATCTACCGTATAAGACTATATCAAATATAATAGATCTATGGGTAGACACTGGTTCTATTGCACCTCGCCAGAGCGAACGTAATGTTCGAACCACGCGTACAGATGACGATATTGCATACACTGAATATCTAAAAATTAATAAACCATCTATTTACGCAAAAGAGATTCAGCAACACCTAGAAAATAACAAAGTTCGCCTTCCAGCAAACGTACCTAGCAGGTCATCCATTAGTAGAATTTCGAAAAAAGATCTTGGTTACTTTTACAAGGTAATAAGTCAAATTCCTCAAGAGACAGAACGGCCGGACGTTATGGAGAAGTTAGAAGCGTACGTAGCAAATATTTCATTGATTGATTGCAACCGTATGCATTTCTTTGATGAGTCGTCTGTAGTTGTTACGAGTGGCAACAGACGTCGAGGGCACAGTATGCAGGGTACTCCTGCATTTAAAATCCAACGATACTCTTCTAGTGCCACATTTACTGTAAATTTTTTACATTAATGTAAACGGCGTATCGCATTATGACACTCTTAGAGAGCCGTCAACGGATTAGAATTGCTAAAGCTTTCCTCGCTTACTGAACGGATTCATTGCCAAATGTCTACAGTCTACAAAGACCTTTCGCGTTTGCTAGTACTTCGCAACTTTAGTTCACAACTTCAGTACTCAAGTACACAACTTCCGTACTGAAGTACACAACTTCAGTACTCAAGTACACAACTTTCGTACTCAAGTACACAACTTTAGTACTCAAGTACACAACTTGTCAACTCAAGTTGACAAGTTCATATCGAATATTCCATATTTGGAAATGTAGTTGGGAACATTAGAAAGTAACTTGGCAACCGCCATTTGAAAAGTTAACTGAAATTGACAATAAGTTATGGGTTTTCTTTAGGCGAGGTAGTGTAGAAATGTTTGAGGCTCTTCAACGCCAGATTTTTAATCTTCCGAATGTTTTAAACAAGTTAGAATCGTTGTTGTCTTTTGTTTCAATGCGTGCTCGTCCCGTTCAAAATGGGTCTTATTAACACGAGAAAAATGTGTGTATTTGGAACGGTTGTTTATTTTTGTATGTGCTTATATTTTACAGGAAAAATTACCCACTTTGTTTCCATATTTAGTTTTAAATGTATTATTATATAGTTATATACGACAGTATACTATCGTCTTAGAATGAATATTTTCTTGTGATGTGCAACAAATGTTTTAGGTTAGTTTTAAAAGTTGAATTTTCAATGTTCGCAGTGCATGAAATAAGTCATTGTATAATTGACTTTTGAGTCCATCCATTTGTCTTGTTTATTAAAATGTTAGTTTCTAGTTTCAGCTTGCAGTTGTAACTTAGCTTAATTGTGTTTCAGGTTTGAATAATATAAACGTTAAAATTTTTGTCTGCCAGATGCATTAAATATACTGATCACTATCTTGATTATCTTTTGTTTAATAGCGTTCATCACGAAAAGTGACGCGTTTGAAATGGCAAACATAACAACAATATGTTTCAATTTATCAACGACTAACGCTAGTATCTTGAGTAATGAAAGTACGACGTCATCCACAAGGTAGAAATTATACATATGTTATAAAATGAACAGTTTTTCCTCAGTTAAGTGCAACATAATCTATTACAAAGAGAACAAGTTAAGGTCGTGGAAATTTTTCATATGATATTACTAATTTTAGTGATTCTTGTCTACTGGATGATAATTATCGTCATTGGTTCTTGATTCCTGCCGTAAGATTTCTGTGAAGATGAAATATGTTTGAATTCGCTTATTATATAAATGTATATTTTCCATAGGTTGCAATATTGACAATATTAGCCTTTTTAAATCGTCGTAAGAGCTTTAAGACTGAAATGTTTAAAGGTCGTCCTGGTGTTGTGATGTAAGAAAAATATTAGTGATGAATTAAAACTTATTTATTGTTAAAATGATTGTTTGTTACTGGTTTGTTAACTGTCATATTGGTCTGTTGTAGTCCGATAGATTTTCTGGACAGAAATCGTAACACAATTGTAACTTTATTTGGAGCAATAACTGGTTCTATTTTGTTGCTTGTACTGAAAGTTTTTACTTCTCATGACAATCCTTGGGCTAAAGGTTGTTTTTTATTCGTCTTAAAATATATGCAATAATAAGTAATATGTATTGTTGATTTCGTCCATAATTTTCTATCTTGCAGCCTTCCTGACCATTTTATTTTGTATTGAGATTGCTTTTCTCTTTTATCCAATCTTTGGATGTTTGGCTTCACATTATCGTATTATTGGATCATTGTTAGGCTTTAGTTACAGTCTATCGCTGTAAGTTTACAGTTATCTTGTTTATATTTCTTAAGCTTAAAGTTTTTATGTCTTATGGACGATTGCCATGATCTGGTTTCCTAACTGCATAATGACAACCTTTTTCCAAATTTTTAATTCTTTTCAGTTTCTTGGTAGGAACTATTAAAGATATTGAATTTTATCAGAAGTGCGCGGTTGGTGATAATCCTTGTTTTACAAAAATGTGATAAATATCTGATATGTCATGAACATTGAATTTTTGTGCAACATTAAACATTTGTTCGTTGTATTTGCAGAACAATTATTATCTTTTTCTTACTGTCGGAGACATCCCAGTAATTCTTTGTCAACTCTTTATTACTGGCAAATTTTTGATCGTGTTATTTAAAGAGAGAAAGAATTTTGGTCAACTATTCTATGATGAGGTATTTTACCGTTTATTACAAAATGATTTACTTATATTTTGTTGAGTAAAATTTTAATATTTTAACAGACCAAAGATAATTCTATCAATGCAAAACTTTCATTGCCATGGTTCAATGATTATGTCAAAAATATTTTTTATCCAAGGTAACATCAAAAGTCTTTTTATCACAACATGGCGCATGTATATAACTTGTTGTAAAGTTAAAGTCATTTTCTTTAATCTTTTCAGACAAACACCTGACCACTCCAAAGTTTTATCATACTTAAGGAAGATCTACAATCCTCATAAATGTAGGAATGATTTTACTCAAGTCAAGAAAAACAATCAAGTTCCCTTAATTTCCCTAAAATTTACAGTTTGCTAACAATACGTTTTGATATGTTTTCTTTAACAATTTTGTAGATTTTAAATTTTCAACTCATACTTTATCTGTATTGATGGTTTGTTGTATTATTTTATATGGCGTAAGTTTTCTTTTCGTATGTTGCTTGCAGCTTGCTACTATAGTTTTCAATGTTTATATGGTTGAGGAATGATGAACGATTGTTGTAAAAAATTCAGTTAAATGTTATTGAAAATATTTTGCAAAATTCGATGCTCTTTTTTATTGTCGCTGCAACTGCGAGCATACGATGTAGAAAAACAGATTTAAATCATATAATAAGGTCATTTTGTACAAAAATCAAAAGAAAAGGAAGACTGTTTTCACGACATTAACATTATAACATTAGTTCTTAATTTCAAGGTAACTCCCGTGTACGCATTGTGTACCTATGTTTTCTTTTGACAGCAAATCTTTTTATCATTTTTTAGACAACAATTCCTGTTATTATAATTGTTGCTCGATTCTTTAACGTTAGCGACCAAAATTCATCTTTGGAAGACGTTATTCATGGCATTCGTGGTTGGTTCTGTTTATTCATTTTATTATTTTCTTACCATATCTTTTTTATGAAACGTTTAATTCTTTTAGATTCCTTAATCGCAGCGTTGATTCTCACGTCTTTGTTTTGTGCGATCTCCCTTCTTCGTTTTATGGAGAACCATAAGTAATATTTCATTTATTTTTTTGTTATTACCATTGCACAGGATAAATGTAGAGTCGTTCTTATTTTTCTTCATTTCATTCAGAAATAACATGTTACGAATGTTCAAAGGTGATAAATCCTTCATTACAAAAGGAATAAAATCTTCACAGTTTATGATTGTAAGTTAAATCATCAAAGTAAAGATGAAATTGTTCAATTGAAGACAACATTTGACGATTTTTTAGGGAAAATGTTTGAGATATCAAAGTTTTCAAATTGGTTATTTTCTTTGGGGTAAGAAAGTTTCATGAAACATTTAACATCATTTGATATACGTATACGAAAAAAGTTTTTCATGAATATACATTTAAAGTAATTGTATTTCAGGTTATTTGTTACAGTGGCTTATGTTGTTCCTTATTTGTGGTTTTTTCTACTGTCTAAAGTTTTCAATTTTTCGAAAACGGGTGTTGAATCCTGTCAAAGTAGCAAGGTAGGTCGAAGTCCAAGTAATTTTCTTTCTACATAGTCTATATCGGATTCTGGCAGCGATAGGATATTGGAATTTCAATAAATGCAAGAATTTTGGGATCCATGAATTTCGCAATAAATGTATTAGGACAGGACAAAATCGAATCTAGAGGAAACGAGTTTGCTAAGCTTAATGAGAGAGCCAAACTTTGGATGAAAAATAATGGTGAATTTCTCCAAGAGATATAAGCTACAGCGACTTAAACAGCGTGTCATGCAGTCGGTCTTTTTCAGCTCTTATTCGTTCTCCCTTTGACTTGTTGTGTTGATTTGTTTTAGAATGAGCTGGTGTTCTTCAAGTAGTACTTTATTAAAAGTGTTTTCTATCAGGCTGATGTGATTTTCTTTTCTTTGGTTACTGTGATGTTGACTTTCTTGCAGCAATTAAGTCTAATATTTGCGTTTTTGCTGAGCTCTTTTGGCGTGCAGCCGGTTTAGTTGTGTTTCTACGAGGGACTCAGAATAAATGGTTTTTTGAAAGAACTCGTTAACTGAATTAAAAATACTAAAAAATTTGTTTTCGTTGTTTGTTTACATGTTAAAATTAAATTTAAAGTTAAAGTTATGTAGTGGATTGCACAAAAAACATTTCTTTTTCATTGTCTTGTTTTTTTATGTTCACTACTTTTTGTAACTTTCAACTAATCATCATGAATATTTGTCATTTTTTCAGCGTTTTCTTTGCTGTAGGACTATTAACTAAACTTACTCTTCCTTTGACTGCTGTGACAATTTTCCGTGATCCTGATTACAATAAAAATATAATATCCATGAACAACAGGTAGAAATAAATGTTTTCATGATATCATCAAAATATTTTTAACAAAAAAATTATTATCATCAACATTTTCTCATACACAGGAACGCGTATTTAGTATTTTCCTATTTTTGGTTCTTCATTGGTCTTCCCATGGGAATACTTTCAGCATTGTCACGTATTTTCAAAGCGATGATAATTGGGCTTATCTTGTTACCAAGAGTGGATCATAGTGTTTTGCCTGAAGGTTTTCAACGACTTGATCCTGGTACGTCATTAATGTCTTTAATCACGTGATTTTTATTCCTGTCAAAGACAGAGAGAGGTTAGAGTTCATTCAGTAGATCTCAAAATGTTTTCTTTGTTACATTATTTAAGGTTATATTTCGTACATCGCCTATCTTCATGTTCAAGCTACATTTAGAAATCCTATTTTACGAGTATTTTGTCAAACAATCTTTGACAGAAGTAAGTATTTATATCTAATTTAAATATGTTTATAATGAATATAATTATAAATGTTCATATTACTTTACAGAAAATGGTCTCCGTCAATGGAAATGCTCACCTCAAGCACGCACCAGGTGGTTCCTTGCCTTAACTTTGACCCGCAATCCTGAGATCATCAGTTATCGTAAAGTTAAAGAAAAAACTTTAAATGATGCAGTTCGCACGAGTTCTTTGAAAATCAATTTTCCAAGTTCGGATGAAACCAACTTAGTTGTATGAGATATAGTTATATCCACGACAACAACGTTTTAGTGGGGAATGTTATTCTTTTGTTTTTTTTTTGTTTTTTTTTATTTACTTTCATGGTTTGATAGTTAAGGAGATTGAAAATTAAAGTAATGATCAACTCACAATCCTCAGATCATCAGTTATCGCAAAGATAAAGAAAAAATTTCAAATGATAAAGCTAGCGTCAGTTCTGGTATAGATAATGCGTTCGGTTTGGAGAAAACCAATTTAATTGTTTGAGTTATGATTGTTTGTTTCGTTTGTTATAGTGCTTTTCATATTTACATAGTTGAGAAGATGAATGAAACTAGAAATGTAGTTTTCAATTTAAAGTTCAAATATGACAGGTATTAGAATGATGCGATAGAGGTATTTTACTGCACAGAAAGTCCATTAAAGTGCAAGCATTTATTAAAAAATAGAAATAAAAACATTGAAACTGTGAAAGACGAAAAGTGCTGAATTACTGACAATAACAAAAAATAGATCGTAGTTTTGGCCATTTAAAAGATGATTGAAGGAAGATTCAACGGTAAAAGAAACGAAAGGACAAGGATTAGAATCTTCATTCTTTTGAAAGAAGATAAGTATGCTGTCGTATGTTACCATGAAAAAAAGTCCAAAAACAGAGTTTATGGTTACTGAAATTTATCTCATCTTCTTTTGGATGATGGAATTATGCAGCAATTGTTACAACAATGGCCGATTTCTTTGCTAAATGTCATGACTTGTTTTCAGTTAAATTTTATTGTGTTAGAGTTTCGTAGTTATGGCAGCATTCAGCCCTAAGCTCGTTCAACGTGTTGGTATTTCACACAAAGCGTCCAACATCAACGGCATATCTTGGTCCGAAGACAACAAGCTTGCATTTGCAACGAATTCTTTAGTTTCCATCATAGTATCCTTTCATTTTAATTACTTATAATGCATAAAGCTTTCTCGTGTCGTTCTCCTTCACTTGAAATCAGAATATCAACGGTGTTTGTATTGATGACAAGAGGAAAGAACCAAGATTAAAGTTTAAAAGAAGTTCGATTCCTGTTGATAGTAATCTTCCAAACAACGATGTAGATTACGAGTTCTCAATGGTGAAATTGACTCCAATGAGCGGCAATCCATTCTACTCTACAGCTGTCTTAGATTCAGCACTTAATCCAAATATATTGAAGACCGCAGGTTTTGACGATGTAACTTGTATAAAATGGTCTCCAGTTGGCTGTGATAGAACAGGAAGGTAAACAATCGAAAGATGGTGGATTCACTGTTTTTTTTTGTAGTTCTAATGAATTCTTTCCTTATAGGTCTGTTCTTGCCGTACTTTTTCGAACGAATAAACTTTCATTGTACATTGCAGACAAGCAATCTCTCTATGGATGGTTTGAGGTTATCGATTTGAATGCAAAACATCTGCAAGAGATGAAGAATAATGATTTCTTTGTTGGTAAATATGTTCATTTGTTTGTTTGTTTTTGTTTTATCTTATAACCAGATAAATAAAATTGTTATTTTTGAAGAAAATGAAAGCTTGAAAGGTGAATTGTGTCCTGATGAAAGGAGATCACTTGGTAAGAAGGAAACTTGGAAGGAATTCAATGAATGGCAAAGAAGAAAATATCTTATAAACTTCACCAACATAGAATGGTTTCCTGCGACTTTCAGTTGTTTGCATAAAGCAACTAACATCTCGTACAAATTTACATTTCTTGCAACAATTGTGAGAGGTTGTCAGTTGTTTGTATGGCAAGCACAGTTGCCTCTTGTGAAGAATCACAGTCATCTATACAGAGCTGTTGCAGCCAATACTTTACTGTTTAATCCTTGTATTCTTGCATGGTATGGTACAACCAATACAAATGGTAAGTTTGTACAGCTTGGAAATTTATTAAGGTGTTCAATGATTGTATGAAATTTTGTTGGAAATGTATTGTTTTTATTGAAAAATCATTCAATATTCGATATTAATTGTGCAATGTGCATTAAAATATTTTCACGAGCATTAATCAAATATGGAAGCTACTGTCATATTTTTCTTCCTAATTACCATTTTACTGTGTGGGAAAATTTTAATTAAACATAACTTAACAGACAGGACATCGAACACTAAGATGAATCTATTACCAAAACGAATAAAACTTTGTACATGACATTTGTGAACGGAAATGTCATCAATGTGTTTTTATTGTGTCATATCATGCTTAAAATGAAGTTTATTGCCTGATGACAATTCACATGCAGGGGCGGACACTTGAGGACCCCCATTGAACTAATTACATGAAACGCTATCTAAAGCAAATTATTGAAGGCAAATCTTACATCAGACACGCGAGATTACACGCAGACACGCGTGTGTAGTGTTTCGAGATTCTCTCGCGGAGTGAAAATTGATTGAGCCACACACGCGTGTTTAATCTTGCGTGTCTGAGTGTAAGATTGACTTCATGAAATTACTAGGTTTTTCTATTACAGGTAGCGTTCCGTGTATTTTGTTTAACGTGGCACCTCCAACTAGTCTCTGTCCCATAAGTATGTGTTGACTGATCAGAAAAATTGGCGTTAGGAAACGTTTAAAGATAAGAATAGTGTGTGACTTTGCATTTTTTTGTTACTTAGTTTCATATTTGGCGTGTGGTAATTCAGATGGTATCGTCAAAGTATTTTTATTGAATATTTCGTCAACGAAAATTGGAATTCCAGACATCAATATTGTAAAAGCTTACAGTTTTTGTGACGTCGCCGATGGCGTTTCAATCGATTGTATGAAGTGGTATCGTGATGTGAGTATTTTCTCAATGTTACCAACTCTTACATGTTTGTAAATGTAGATCGTCCAGGTTGTTAGAGTCCTGAGAAGGACTGTTTTTGTTGTTGTTGACTGACGTTTCGACAACCTTAGCGGTAGTCATCTTCAGAGTCAAAAGATTTTGACAGTCCTTCTCAGGACTATACCAACCTGGACGATCTACATTTACAAAGATGTAACAATACTCCCGGGTTTAAACCATTTACTTTGTTACCAACTGTAATGATTTACAAAACACAACCAAACTCTTCGAATATGTCAATATTCCTGTCCCCCGGCGCCTGAAGGGAATAAAGTCAACTGTGCTCTATGCAGGGTGTATAAAAAAACTGAACAGTTTAAGAAAACATCGCTAAAGTCGTCAGAGCACAAGTTATGCAAAAACGTTTGACGAAATAGGTAGTTGGACTTTCAATGGATCATCTCAGAGTAAACTTTTTGCGAATAATAAACATTTTCAGATTGAGAATTGTGTTACCAAGAAGCACTTTTGAAATAGCTTGCGTACAATAATGTCAATGCTAAAAAACCATTGGAACAGGCAAGGTTAAAATATGGCACATGATGTCCGGGAAAGACGGCTAAAGCGTTTTTCTCAGTCATTTCTGAAACCGTAAATGTCGAGATACTCCTCAAAAATCCTCCCGAAATCTTTATAACTTTTTTTGAATAAAAATTGCCTTGACATTCTAATTGCTTTAACCTGTCGCCATTACTGGGATTTATTGATATCATCTTTATAAGATATCATCCTCATGTTTGCTTTAATCCTCTAGGATTCTAAATTATACCTGGCTTGCTCACAAGGTCCCCATATATCCCTCTATGGCTCTCATATTATGAAGGAAGGAACATTATCAAAACCTGTCTTACAGGTTATTACTGGTATTCATCTTTTAAATGTTAGTGGTCTGGACATAACGTCAACTGGAATGCTTTACAGCGTGAGCTCGGAGGGAACCGTTCAACAGTTCAAGATCGGTATGAA